TGTCCATTAATATTTATGTATAAAAGGTAGTCTTAGCATCAGATGCAAATAATTCATCAGGTAACAAAGTAAATGCTTCTCATCATAAAAATAGCTGACACCACAAACTGTTTGTAAAGACAACAGTAAAACATTAGCTAAGTATATCAATTATGCGTTCCACATATTGCACTTGGAAACCTAGACCACATCTGAATACCTGTGAAAGAAACAATATGCTACAGAATCCACCTACATTACAATTAGGATTAGACCATCACTTTATGACTTCTTCCCTTGGATAAGTTGCATCTAACATTTATTGGCCCGAAGTACAAAGCACAAATGTTACATTTCAATTTACACAGTGGCTTTCACAAGAGTCATTGAAGAGCTCACAATTTCTACATTCTAAGCGGTAACATGTATTTGGTACTTTTTCCAGAAACCATACAAAACATCAGAATGAACAATTATAATAATCCTTGCATTTGATATAGTGCCTTATCACGTTATTGAGACTTCTCAACGCGCTTTGCAGAATATATTGTAAAGTGAATTGACTGTATATTTTGTGTTGCACAGTATTTAGTAAATAAATAAGCAGCTAAAAGTACATAAGATGAATATCCATGTCCAAATGTACCAGAATAGTATCATGTTGAATAAAACCCTGAATAATTTTCAAGCTCCAAATAACATGAGCTTATCTTCCATTTACAAACCATCCTGCAGTCACTCAAGTGGCTTTCCATGGAAACTGATGCTTCCACATACAGTTGCTGACACAATTAGGCCTAATAAGCAATTCAAAGAAGAATGCATCATTTCCACCAAAAGCAAAACAAGTTTTTGACCTGTACATTTCACTGTACGTCAGTGCAGATTGATGCAACTACATTTACATAGTAAAACAACACAAAGTGTATTGACTGGATTCTGCTACAGCTGGATGTCATTTGTAGGTTTGTCTTTCACAAGAAAACCATTTGTACAGAAGCTAATGCACTCCCTTCCTGTCCTGTCCACAGCTCTTATCTCTTCCGTGAGAGATGTCTGTTCAATGTTGCTATGGAAATTGTCAGGATTGCTCCAGGGATCACTCCAAATGGCACAACATTGTGAGCAGTATAAGTTCTACACTTATCGGATATCTTTCAATTCCAGATTTCACAAGCTGAAAATGATATTAATATTATCAGTTTCACAAAAATTACCCTGATCATCTCTTCCTTAAGTCCCAAGGAAAACATGACAGACACAGGGAGCGGAGTAGCCAATTCTGCCCGGTTTGGGCATTCTGTTCATACTTCACAAATCTATTTATTCATTGTTGTTTTGTTCCTGCTCTTACAATAGTTTGAGCGGCCAAAAGCCAACAATTAAAAATATACTGTCACTACCCATAAGGAAAGAGGAATTGGACAGCTGTTGTAGTATGAACTGCTGCGTTGAATGCTTGTAGTTCATTCAGATAGTAATTAGTCATAATATATTCAGGTGATGAAGGATTTCATGGGAACAGTCTGAAGAGACATAAAAAGCCGGCCTGGTAGACAGTTTGACAGTGTGACTCTTCCAGATAAAAATGAGCCATTCTGATCAGTCATGCTGATCTGCCAAATGTCTTCCCTGGGGTGGGAATTCAGCCACAGGCTTGAATACATTTAGAATTCTGCAAATTCAAACTTGTGTAGTGGTATTTCTGCCAGTTAATAATAATAATAATCCTTGCATTTGATACAGCGCTTTTCACGTCTTCTAGACGTCTCAAAGCGCTTCACAGAATAGACTGTAATTAACTTGGAAATGTCCAGGATACCAAACCTTGGGGAGATGAAAGGTAACTTGCAGTTAGTCAGATTATAAAATCATGCACTTTTCATGGGGCGAAAGATGTAATGCTGCCACTTGGACTTTTTTTGCTTAAAACCCATTTCAGTGCCTTGGCCCCTAGTGTTTAGAATTGTTCCTGTAGCATTCAATAGTTAAATCTATTGAGACCACTGTAGTGGTCCCGATCTTTGTTTTGGTGCTTATTAAGGTGAGAGATGTCAGTGCTGCGCAAATAGAGCATTTTTCACACATTTTGTACCCAGTATTAAAATCAAGCAGCACAAGGTCAAGCTGAAGACAGCTGGGTGCAGAGCAAAGTTCCCTCTACTTTTCCAGGAAAGTGCTTCAAACAGCACCTCGGCATCAGCAGCGGAGTCAGAAGGCAGAAGGTTCAAGTCCCACGTTGGAACTTTGAATTCATGTAATCTATGCTGATCCTTCAATGCAATGCTGGGGCGTGCTGCATTGTTGGAGTTGCTGTCCTTCAGATGAGACATCGCGTTCAGATCAGGTTGCCCCTTGAAGACCTTCCTCTTCGACCGTGTCTATGGTCACCTTCTCCGCCCCCTTGGCTCAGCATCGGGCTGCACCATTGTTAAGCGCTCTGGGACGCCGCCCGGTGTGGAGTGCACTATATAAATGCAAGTTGTTATTGTTGTTGACGACATTAAACCAAGGTCCTGTCTGCCTTTTCAAGTGATGTGTCAATGAGATGACTTTGATGTGCAGAGAACATTGCCTTCTGTGCTGTCAGTAAATAGCATCTATGCCAACAGCCACAGGAATATAGAATCCATCCTTCATTTCTTGGTGGAAAGTCAGACATGTTTCATATTTATCCAGGGGGTAACTAACATTCTTTAAGATTGGTAGAGAATGACTACATCAAGCTTTGTCAAAAAAAAGATGAATTTCACACATTTTTCTTCCAAATGTCTAAGAAATCAATAAATCAATGCTATTTTTCCCAGAAATTATCAAATTGAATAAGGCAGACTAAAAAGATAGCTGAATACTTAAGTGATGCCAAATCAAGCATTGAAGCAATGCTGTGCTGTCCGTTTCATATTATTGTTAAGGCAATGATATAGTGCGTTTGTATAGGCGGAAAAAAATAAGAGTTTTCACTTTTCATTACTTCCTGACAGAATGCAAGTTATTCTGTATGAAGTGAATTAATTTGGTTTGTCTAGAATATTTATTCAATACGTTTATATTTTCTGAGAGGATCACTTTGCATTCAGCGAGTTCCTGGACAGATATTCACGACCAGTAAGTTTGGTCATGCTGCTCCAGTCATATCCCAGTCACACAGGTTTTGCAACCTAGCCCATCTCTCCAGTGTTGTGCACGGTGACTCTAACATTGGTTATGTGGCTTGCCAAACAAATAAAGATGGCAATTCCATCACTAGATAGATATAGAAACACTGAAGTTATGGATAACAACTTATAGGCATATTCAAGAGGAAGCTAGACCTTCACATGAAGAGGAGGAGGATAGAAGGGTATGGGAGGGAGGAAAGGAATGGAGACGCGTGAGGAGTATAAACACTGACACAGACTGGTTGGGCATAGTATCCTGTTTCGGTCGCTGTACATCCTTTGTAAATCTTTGCAACAATAATCAAGTTTAAACTTTCTTGATTTTCTTCCTTTACATCAGCTTTTCCAACTAACTTCACGATTTTCCAGGACCATCATTCATCCACCTCCTGTACAATTCTGTCCATTTGCCTGCAGTGATTCATTCAGATGCGGCTTGATTAATTATTCCATAGCAAGTATCATCACTAACTTCAATTTAATGATATTTAACACTGACAATCCTTGACAAAGGCAAGAAACAGATGGAGACAAGGCAATTCTATAATGAACCCATGCATTGGTTTTGGGTTAAGAAGCCAGGCAATATCATCCCACATAGCACCATCTATATTGCAAAAGATACACCACAAGAGAGTAACCTTTCAACAGAGTTTGAGATGCCAACAATGATCAAGGGTATTACAAATATTCAGGAGTACTCCTCTAACGTCATGCTGACCAACCTGCATTTTTGGACGAAGAAATTGAAAGCATCACCAGTTGATCGACTTGTTCTGAGGTCAAACTGGTGAGCTAAATAGAAGGTCAGAAAGATTCAGTTTCTTGCACGAGCTTCTCATTCACTATTGTTTCCATGATATATAAGACAGTAGACAGCAGGATGCTCGTCTGTAGTTAACATCTGACTTTGATCCCTTCTATTTCGTGGGCATTATGCTTACTGCATTCCACTCAGGGACATTTCTATTTGCAGGGAGATTAGTAAACCATGGAAACACTTTCTTTAGAGAACATTGAGAAACCAACCACCTATGCCATTAACTCCCAGTATATATTCAAGGATTAAGCTTTCAAAAGGGCCATTTAGTTTCTTATATCTTTGAATTCAGAGTGCAGTCACTGCTGACCTTCAGCACCTAAGTTAACATTCAAGCATTGCTACAGTAATCTGTCGTTCCTACGACCAAGAGATTTAGCAAGATAGTATCAGTGGCTTCAAAATGAAAAGTAAGGATTTGTAAGTTTGCTCTTTGTTGTTACGAAATGATTCCGCACATTAAAAAAAGGCTATTTCCGATCCATCAGGTAAAGATTACCCATAAATGTTACAAAGTTCTCTACAGAGGGCAACTTTTATTTCATTTATTCTTCATTTGGACTCCAATAATGCTGGTTTTAACCTTTTGTAAAACAAAAACTTTAGATGTAAAATGCAGAAACAAAATCTCTTTTCTATGAGGGGCTTCTTGTAAGAATGGTACAGAGCGCTTCAGGATCAGGAAATGCACAGTTATAGCTACAATAAGACCAGAAAGTAAAGCAAACTCTGTTTGTACAATTTACCCGATTCTGGATACAGTGCAATCCTCATCAGGCTCATTATGGCGGTAGGAAGGATTAAAGAGAAGAAAATGTCTGTGTTTTTCCAATATGAGGTTTATATACTGAATTAAACGGTATGCGCAATATTCCTTACCTTGATAAATGTTCAAATTTTGAAGATGACAACAAATTGTAAGTGATGGAAAATGAATATTAATAAAAAAATCAGAAGGATCTGGAGTGTGGGAAGAAAGCTACAGACTGCAGATGCAGTCTGATATGGAAAAATGTGAATAATGCAAATCAGGCTCTTACCCTGAACTCGTTGGAGTTGAAGCTGCAAGTGTTGCTGTTGGAGAACTTTTTGACTGCAATTCTTTCTGTTCCTGTTGGTTTTGGAAGAAGGATTTAGCTTCTCTGGAAGCAGCGTCCACTTCTTTAGTCACCCTAACATAGAATGAAACAGTTAAATAGTTGTATAAATCCAAGGTCACTACTTTAACAGTAAAGTGCAGCATTTATGCAGACCCAAAAGTGAACAGATTTGATCAGTACGATTCAAACTTAAATGAAAATACCTTAACTAAATGTTTATCTCAAAAGAAGAAAACAATATAAGCTCCTTATTGACTTTTAGGTTTCCATTTGAAATAACATCAGATATAAGCTCGTTCAACTTTTCAGTCTGACATTTGACAAAAGTACTTTATCTCTATTGTCATGTGCCTGAATTGTCCACTGTCAAACACTTATTAAGTGAAAAGAAGAAAAGGCTGAGAAATGGCATTTTAAAGATACAAGTAATGCAATGAAGTAATAAAATGGCAGAACAAGTTAGATGGATTGAACGATTATTCCGGTTACAATTATTCTTCAAGACAACCAAATTTAAACTCGAGTTTCACAAATCTATTTCAAATTGACATTTCTGTCACTTTCAACAACGAAAAGCCTCTACCCTTCCCCCTTCTTATTCTGAAAGTGGTATGTCGGGTATGGTTCCACTGGTACTGGCTCTGGGACCTTGCCCAAGTGGCCATCCTTTGTATGTTAGTCCAGATGGTTATTGTTGGCAAGCTATTAGACTGCAGGGGGTGCACCACAGCTGAGCCCCATCCTGTCTTCACCCAATTCACTTCCAGCAGGGGTCGATGTACTGTGAACAGCAGGAGGAGCCACAAATTCAAAGGCAAGAGATTTATTTGCACCGAGGCCACTGAATGTTTCTATTCTATCTGTTCACCAAAAAGTACTTTATCTCTATTGTCAGGTGCCTGAATTGTGCACTGTCAAACCTTTATTAAGTGATACGAAGAAAAGGCTGAGAAATGGCATTCTAAAGATACAAGTAATACAATGAAGTAAAATACTGGTGTGTACTCTGAATACCCAATAGGAAAAAAAATACTGCCGTTTAAACAGCATTCTACTTTGACATAGAAAATCAGAATGTCAGTCTAAATTTCTTTCTGAATCACTGCAAGTGAAACTCTGCATTCAGGAAAAAGCAGAAAAATACGCAGTAGGGCATAATGCAGAAGCTTTTCTTTTTCAAAAAATTTCTAGGGAAAAAAAAATGTGTGCCCATTATATACGTGTGTGCCATAGACAAGAGCGAGCCTGGCACACACACAGATTCACTCACACACACACACACCCCCAAACACACACACATCAGTCATTTAAAATCTAAACCACACTTGCACATTAATCCAACAAGTCTCTTTCTCCTACCCACACCCTCTATTGGCTGCTGAATTCATTCACAAAATCGTCATTCCACCTTTCAATATACTCTGAGAAATGCTTTGGCACGTCCTCTCGACGCAAAAGATTCTATAGCAAACGTAAGGATTATGTATTTCACATTCTCTTTCTTTACTAAAGGAGACAAATTTTTGAGCGTTAACCAACGTTGGTTTCAAACTGCATGCTTGGGAGGTGCACGACTGTCCTCTGAATTGACTGATCTGCCGGTTTTCCTCCTCCCATCAAACATAGCTGAGATCTGTGGCCCATTGTGTGAGTGACTCAGAGGCACAGCATATCATTACATTAATATGCACTGGCCACTGATTACCAAATGCATTTAGCAGAACATCAAATATCAATTCAACCGATAATGCTTCTTCACGACTTCAGAACCATTTGAAATGAAGCTTTAAATGTTACTGTATTATTGAACTNCCCTTCGAAAAATCTTTCACATTTCAAAAGCTGAACAGATTGCCTTTCATTTCTTCCAATATGAGCATCTTACATAATTAACCTTTAATCTTTGAAGCTGCTGTGGGAAGGATTATCAACATGAAAATAGTCGCACTGAATAATTTGTAGCTTCAAATTGACTCCATCCATGGCCCCTTATCTTCTCGCAAGGGTTAATGACATTGAAGCAAGATTAACACAATGTTTTGTGGGGGAAAACAGAACGATAATTAAGCAAAATTGGAATAAAGACAGGCTTGTAAATTGAGGTTATTCAGCTCAGTTAAAGGATGAAAGTGCAAGTCTTTGTCAAGTTGGCTCTTCCTTAGTTATAAGTTCATCGCTGCTGTAAACATTTCACAGTAAGAAGGTTTAGACTTTTATTCCAGATTTATTATTGTGCTGTTAATACAACCGTGCCCTCCTAAGGCACTCACTCTGGTTTAGATTTCAGATATCTGTACTCTCCTAATGTTAAAGTCAGGAGACCAAATCTCCAGGACACGTCGGAAGCAGCAAAGAGCAAAACAAGGCACAAAACAAAAGGAAGCAATAATTTTATATAATTATAACTATATAATGCAATGATATAAAATAATTGTTATAGAATTATTTATATAAAAATAAATGTTTATATAATTTTTAAGATTAATTTATATCAAATGATTTTTTTTCATTTCGCCCACAAAATATACAGTCAATTCAACTTTACAGTGTATGCTGTGAAGCGCGTTGAGACATCTCAAAGACGTGATAAGGTGCAATATCAAATGCAAGGATTATTATTATTAATAAGCAAGGAACAAAATGGGAAACCTAAAAGACAGGAGTGAGGGGGGGGGGGGGAATTCCAACAAGAGTGAAAGCAGAAAGTGGCTTACCCAATCTCTATATTCAAGTTCTTGATGTTCAGAAGGGAGTTTTTTTTATATAATTGTAATACAGGAAATCAATGGGAATGGGGAAGGAGGAAAGATTGCAGAGGAAGTCACACTCATATATAATTTCTAATTTGATCCTTTATTTCCAACAGGATGGAAGTAATTGTATGCCAATGATGAAGCATTTTTACCGATTTACCGTGTAGTAATTCATCTCCTCCCCCATTCCTCCAGCTGCACAGATCCTATTGCTAACACAGACAATGGGTGAGTGCCACTGGTAACACAGTCCCAGCAGTGAACCATGGTATTTTGGACCAGATGGCACAGCATAGTTACCTTCCTGCCAAGCCTAAGCTTCACAAGGCTCTGCTCCTCTCTCACACCCAGACAGCTCACTCTATTCTGCTGCACTCATTCCCTGAGCCATTACCTGCTGCGACTTGTAACCCTCTGATACCCTCTGCCCACCATCTGCTTTCTAAACAACGCCAGGTCTAATTTGGAGTTAAATACTCTTTTTGCTCAGCTGTGGAACATTGCACTAGAAGTGGCCTTTAAATTGGACTGACTTTTATGGAGTAGGAATGTTGGCACTACCACAAAACAATCCATTTAAAATAGATACTGGTCTGGTAAACAGACAAACATAACTAGACAATTTCCATCATTCCTCAGCCTCTCACTGCCACTCATGTACCACAGAACATTTGGGGCATTCTCTCTCACTCTCTTTCAGTATCTTTTTGCACTCCAGGAAGTCTCTTTCCACCATCTCCCTACTTGAAGTGCTCTGGGATGCTACTATGTGTAAGGAGCGCTAGATAAATACAAGTTGCTCTTCTTGTTGTTAAAATGTGCATCTTTCACACAAAGAACAATATGGTTCTTTGTTCCTCCCAAACAAAAGATGTAATGAGATTGGTGGGAAAACAAAGAGGGAGAGGGTAAAAGCACATTGAGGTTTCATCACAAAAAGACTAAGAACCATACTGTAAGTCATTAACTAATGGATTTATATTTTTGGATATCAAAGGCCATAATACACTTATGGAAAAAATGTCCAGATGCTTTTAAAATAAGCAAACTATACTGGGACATCTCATTTAGTGAGGTTAAGTCTCCACGTTATGGGTTCTAATGTGTTTACAAGCTGTATGTGAGGTTAATTTTATACCCTGGCTCTGAAATTGTTGCTTGTGATAAGCTGTAATGCACAGTTCACAAAATACATTTCTATTTTGTTCACAGACCCATGTCCACGCGTCAACTCTCCTTTTACATCCATCACGACACTTATCTGCCTGGCTTTATTAACAGCAAAGAGAACGGTTTCATAAAAAATTTTTTTTAAAAAAAACAAGTACACTATTTGCTCTCAGGTTACTAGAGTAACCTCTTGGGTGTATTAAAAAAATCTGATTGCAGTGCTAAATCCATCATCAGTCACCTCTGCAATAAAATAAAATATTAATATTATTGGCCTCAATGGTTATTAGCATTACTAGCCTCCTGACTGCATCTGAAAGGCAGTGTCTGTGTGACTTGATGATGTAATCGGGCAACAAATCAAACACTATGGTCCTCTGATGTTTAATTACCAAGATCAGTGCTCTGTGCCGAGAGCTTGCCTCAATTTTAAATAGAAGTTTACAATAAGAACAGTGTTTTCTGGATGTCAGTGCGAGATTTTTACTTCTCCGCAGATAGACCTCCACTTGAGCATTTAATGTGCACTGGAGAGAAATATTTCTGTAGCAGAGCTCTCCAGCAGTGGTATAAATGGAACAGAGAGGAGCAATTACACGAGGAATGTCTGCGGTAAAAAGATTAGAAGTAAAAAGAAGATACGCAATTTGTTATTTAATTAAAAAAGGATGAATCATAGAACAGGATTAATATTGAACAGTAACATTTAACAACTTTTCTTGAAATAAATGTGTGGGTGAGGAACTAACGTTTTATTAGGCGAACCGTAATACCAAATATATCAGCACAGGAACTCCTGGTTCCTCAGTCTATGAATGACTGTTTTGGATGGGCGCATTCCTCGAGTTCAAGGTTCCAATTTCAACTGTATCAAATTATAATAACTAACTTCCATTTATATAGCACCTTTTTACATACATAAAACATATACAAAATGAAGTGAATGGTATATATATATATACACACACACACACAAACCTGACAGTTAATATGTGCTAATTATTTTGAATGTAGGGGTTAGATTTGGATAAACAAGGAATATAAGCCTGCAGAGCTATCTATTTCATGTACATATCATAGAAATGTAGCACTAAAATTCATAAAATGTCAATAGTATAATAGCAATATGCAGCAATGTCATTTGTTCATGCTACACTGCTCATATCTCAAGATAAAGTGTGCTGCTAAAACCTTTTTTTTTAAAAACATAGTATGTACAAAAATGTTACATTTATGTTCTGGCCAAGTTTCCACTGTGTATTCATTAATTTTCAACCGCCAGCAAATGCCCCATACAAATATTTGGTCCAAACAAAACAAAATGAGATGAGGTGAGCAATACATTTTCTTGTTAAGGAAAACTTCAAAGTAAAGGTCACAGCAGCTCAGGACTATTTTTCATTGTTTTTGCTGGTTCTAATACATTGCATTGGAAATGTCACGGCCATATGAATTTATTACATTATTTATGAACTGTGTAACCTACGCCAGCACTGACTGACCTCTGGATTGATCAATGATTCAATAAGTGATTATTTACATCCCCACCCCTGACCCCAGGGGAAGTCCTTCAATCTCGATATTCTCCAGGGCACCACAACTCCATTTTGTAACTTATTTTTCAAACATCTCCCAAGGTTTATGGAGCTTCTCAGCAGCATTGTATTCTCAGTCAGAGGCCGCTAACTGAGCTGTTTTTGTCTCTTGGAACAGTGCCTCATTTATGAAGCTGCTCGACCTCTGGTATTTCCAGAGATTACTCTGACGTGGACAGCCGAACAAGCTTGATTAAACGGTACTGCAGAAACTCAGAACCCAGAAAATAGACATAAAATCAACAGTGCCGGTATATTCTTCAATAGGGAGTCAATTGGGAGGACAGTTGAAGTGTCAGAACTGTGGAACAGCTTTGCCAATAATGAGACCTCTGACATAAAGGGAGGACGTCACTGTGTTGTTTACATCAAGAAAGGAGTGTTTCCTGCAATTTTCCCCTGGACAATTAAGCTCCATGCGTGACCTAAACGAGAGGGAAGCTCGGCTGCTTATCTCCAATGAAGTCCTTCTGTCTTGTTTTACTGAAGTGTACGCGTCATATACAAAAACATAGTAACAGTTTCTGGCAATGTCGGCCATTGGTCCTTCCAGCCTACCTATCCATACATCATCCATCTCAGCATCGAACAACCTTGAATGCTTTTAATTTCCAGGAATTTGTCTGGTTTATTTAGAGTAAGATCCATCATCTCCCTCAAAAATGTTCCCATACATTGAAGCACACACGCATGCATCCAGTTACATCCCAGTCCAGATGGCAATTAGACTGCCAAATACTTCAACAAAATACACACTGTACATTATAAGGATATCTTTTGAAGTGGGGTGGTGAGTGGGGGGGAGAAAGAGGGTAGTCTTGAGAATTAAATCTCAGTAATGTTACTTGCTAACTGGTAAATAATAATCATTGCATTTGATATAGCGCTTTTCACGTCTTCTAGACGTCTCAAAGCGCTTTACACAATAGACTGTAAAGTGAATTGACTGTATATTTATGGGCGAAATGTGGCAGCCAATTGTGCACAACGGTGTCCCACAAACAGTCGTGGATTGAAATGACCAATTTATTATTTTTTCTCTTGAGGAATTATTATCAGGCGTGTGGAGTAAGGAAACTTGCCCAAGGTTTCACCCTGCTGCGAATCAAACCCAGGTTTCTCGCTTGCAAAGCGAGTGTTCTAACCACTGAGCTACAGGACTCCACAGATATATGGTGCAACAATGCACAAGCTTTGGGGCACTTTTCAGAGCCTGTCCTACAGAACGGTGATGACAATGTTTTAGCTGGGACTGTAGGCAGCCTGTACTAGTGAGTTTAAGACAATCCGTGCCATGGAGTCTGATTTCTACCTGTACTTTCAGCATTCATAACAAGGAAGAGTACAGTGAGCTGCTCCCACCCACAAGCAACTAAAGCTTGTTTCTCAGACAGAATGGAGGAAGGGGAGAGAGAAAATAACACTGTAACAGGCAGCCCAAGCTCCAGATTTGTCCATTATTCCATCTGAAGTGGAGAGATGAGGAATCAGCAAGGCTTGAGGTGGGCGAGGTTTAAAAACACAGAGGACTCTCCGGATAAATAAGGCACATTTTTGTTTTCGGAAAAAAAAAGTACCTGAACCTGAATAATTTTAAAGTTGTGTAATTCGTTGATTACACTTGATTATCGTTGATTACGTTTACTGACTTAAAACCTGAATGGAAACAAGCTATAGATCATTTAATGGACACTTCAACTAATGCAGGATGTGCACCAAACAATCCAGCTAACAAGCCAATTTAAAGGCCTAAAACCTTTTAATCATCGGTGGTTTAAAACAATCAGCATATCCTATTGACACAGTTCTCAATGATGCATCCATTTATCCAGGATGCAGCACCGTGTAAAGGAGTTAAAAGGGTAAAGGCACAACAATAGAATATCTGCAGAAATACAACTGTAGCAATTTAACATGGGGTCTACAAATAATGGCAATTTTCTTTTGAACCTATCACACCAACTGGTTTATGAAGTCCAAATAACTGCAGGTGTAAGTGGAACCTGCAGTAACTCGACTGAAAATTTATCTCGTGGATATTATTCACAAAGACCCAGACGCTCAAAATACTAGACTTTTGTTTCTTGAGACATAGATTAAATCCTGGATGGCTGCCGCCCTCTTGTGGCAATGAGTTTGAGTTTCAGCATTGTTTAAACATTGATTTCTGTATTTGAATGCAAGGACATTGTTATAAAAGCGTTGGTCTCATGGTGTACAGTCACAACTTCATAACCTACTATAAACATGCTCATTTTGTTCTATTGCTTAGGTGCCTACTGAATTGTCAGAAGGCTGTTGGATCAAGCCCCATGCATTCAGGCCCTTGAGCTCATAAGTTAGGCCAACTCTAACACTAAATTAGTCTATGTTGTACTTCGAGTGAGATATTAAAGCAAGGTACAGTCTGCCTGTGCAGGTGGATCTTAAAAATCCTGTGGCACTTACATGCTTACATTACAATTTGAGATTTGATAGTGTTTTAATAAAACTTTGCAAGATCACTTACTTGACCTCTTCACCCGCAAAGTCAAACACCTTTGTTATTGTGACCTTTGTGGGTGCTTTTGGCTTCTCTGCCTCTTTCACTACTTCCTGAGGCTGGTTCGGTTTCTCTTCGGTTACTGACAAGTCCTATTCAGAAGAGATTAAAATAAATATAAACTTTATACGTTTCCAATCAATACAGTTATAAGAGAGGAAGCATAATTCAAGCTGCTGCCTATCAGCTACCCTGACATGCCTTGCTTCATCCAGAAGCTTAACAATTTACAAATCCCACAAAAGTAATTCAAGTAGGCTGGGAATAATGGGCAGCTTTGCGACTTGTCTTGCTGGGAGTTGAGCTCTTCCACCTCCAGTCTGCCAAAAGTTTCTTTTGCTTACATTTTTTTTTAAAAAAACATTAAAAAAATGAAGTTATCTTCTTGTATTGTTCTGTTCAACAAACACTATGGGGGATAATTCAGCTATCACATTTTCAGGCATGTCAAGTTTTCCCAGCCACCTCCCTTGATTAAATCTGTGGAGTCCTGTAGCTCAGTGGTTAGAGCATTCACTTTGCAAGCGAGAGACCTGAGTTCAATTCCAGGCAGAGGGCGAAACCTTGGGCAAGTTTCCTTACTCCACACAGAGCCTAATAATAATCCCTCCAAAACCAAAAAAACAACAATAAATTGGTCATTTTCAATCTACGACGGTTTGTGGGACATTGCTGTGCGCAATTGGCTGCCGCGTTCGCCCACAAATATACAGCCAATTCACTTTACAGTGTGTTCTGCGAAGCGCTTTGGGACGTCCTCCCGACATGAAAAGCGCTACATCAAATGCAAGGATTATTATTAAATTAAATCAGAAGTGCTTACAAATTGAATAATGAAAAAACATATACATATATAAAGGATGTTAAAGTTCTTCATAGCTTTTAAACCAGTTGGTTTTCAATAACAAGGATTTCAGTAGGGACATGCCTTCTTTACTGTTCTGTAATTAAACAAGCTAACGAGCCACATTGCGAAAGATCGACTGGTTAACATGTCCCTCAAAAACGCAGTGAAATCACACAGCATTCAGTGTGCTGCGCTGTTCAGTCTTCTGAGTGATGAGACTTGGCTGGTTTCCAAACGCAGTTCAATTTTTCAAAACTACAACATTCATCAATATTTCCCACCGCTCACTGTGGTCAGCACCATCCTGTAACGCACAATATTGTTTCTGATGGACTCTGTGCAAACTAACTGTTAATGATTACCTTTTTGTTAGGTGTCTGGGCAGCAGCAGGTGGTTTAGACTTGTCCCCAACATCACTCAAGAATCTGGCCCACAGATCATCAGCTTTCTTCTTCTCCTTCTGTTCTACGATTTCTGTGCTACCATTCCCTGGAGCGTCCTCCTTCAGTTCAGTGGCACTATTAACATCCTTCACTTCCTCACCTTCTAAACACAATACTCCTTTCTTTTGGTTTCTGTCAAAACAAGATCTTACAAGTTTAGAATGCAAGTACTGTACTTAATAATAATCCTTGCATTTGATATAGTGCTTTATCACATCATCGAGACACCTCAATGAGCATCAGAGTAAAATGGATTGACAATGTATTTTATGGGCGAAATGCAGCAGCTGGTGTCCTGGCTAACAATCCCCCAAATAAAATTGGTCATTTACTTCATGGTTGTTTGCAGGGCGTTCCTGCGTGCAAATTGGCTGCCATGTCTGCCCAGACACACAGTTACTGCACTTTACAGTAAATCTTGTGAAGCGGTTTGAGATGTCCTCCCCACATGAAAAATCGCTTTATAAAATGCAAGGATTATTAAGATATAGCCACTTGAACTTGATATTCGAAATCCCAGTGGGTTTCAGGGTTAGACTCTGAAAAGGAGAGCATCACACACAAGCTTTCCAAGTACGCTGAGTGGGTTCTTTCCCTGACGTTTTATTTTAGAGTGACCGCAGAGGATTAGCAACACCACATGGTTTACGTCCTCACACTCTGTACCACGTTATGTTAGGAATGCTATTTACCTGGCAAGGATTTGCTTTGCGGATTTCTTTGGGGATTTCTTTTTCTGAGGCTGTTCTTCTCCCTCTAGGTCGTCTTCTTTCACCAGCTCATTGACATCATCTTCACTATAGTCTTCACCTGTAAAGGTCAAAGTTTACACTGCACTGAATCCTTCTGCACAATACAAAACTAAAATGGAAATAGCAATAAGACGTTTACATTTCAATACACTTAGAGGACATGGTAGCACATCCTTAGTGACATGGCCACTGAAAAATGTACAGGAGGGGAGAAAGGTTGGGCAAGAGGATAATGGATCTTCATTATCTGTTCGTGCATATTACGGGACCTCAAAACAGCACCTCTTCACCTCTCCAATCTTCCCTTCCTCTACACCAGTCATATGAAGAACAGCATAGAAAGAGGCCATTGGATCCATCACGCCTCTGTGCTGTGGCTGGCTCCTCCACAATCCCAAATCCCTGCTCTTTTCCCATACAATTACCATCAAAGAAGCCTTTGTTAGGTTTTAAATCTCAGTTTGTATTAGGTGTGCTTTTTGGAACAGTGGAGTTTCTATATCGGAGCTCATTAAGACTGGTTGGGATAGGTTAATGAACCTGGCCGTGCACTTGCAGCATTTATTTATGTTATTTCATTCATTCACCCCATCAATATGCTATACTTCACAGTAAAATCCTCTGAAGCTCTTTTGAGATGTTGTCCCCACCCAGTGTTCATCTTACTCACTCACTCACTCACTCACCAGCTCACTCACTCACTCACACAGTCACTCACTCACACAGTCACTCACTCACACACTCACCAGCTCACTCACTCACTCACACAGTCACTCACTCACTCACCAGCTCACTCACTCACTCACACAGTCACTCACTCACTCACCAGCTCACACACTCACACACTCATTCACACAGTCACTCACACAGTCACTCACTCACACAGTCACTCACTCACTCACACAGTCACTCACTCACTCACCAGCTCACTCACTCACTCACTCACTCACTCACTCACACAGTCACTCACTCACTCACTCACCAGCTCACTCACTCACTCACACAGTTACTCACTCACTCACCAGCTCACTCACTCACTCACAGTCACTCACTCACTCACCAGCTCACACAGTCACTCACCAGCTCACACAGTCACTCACTCACTCTGTCACTCACTCACTCACTCTGTCACTCACTCACTCACTCACTCTGTCACTCACTCACTCACTCACTCTGTCACTCACGCACTCACTCTGTCACTCACTCACTCACTCTGTCACTCACTCACTCACTCTGTCACTCACTCACTCACTCTGTCACTCACTCACTCACTCTGTCACTCACTCATTCTGTCACACAGTCACTCAGTCACACAGTCACTCACTCAGTCACTCACTCACTCACCAGCTCACTCACTCACTCACACAGTTACTCACTCACCAGCTCACACAGTCACTCACTCACACACACAGTCACTCACACACACAGTCACTCAGGACCTGTCCCGCACTTACCCGAAGGCACGTAATCCTCGTCGTCCTCGGAAGAATAACTCTCCGAATCGTAGTCGGACATTGTCCGCCGACCGAGCGGGAGGCCGGGCCTCAGCCTCCAGTCAGTCGGTCTCCGCCGCCACCGACAGCCACGAGAGGCCCCGACCCCGACCGACAGGAAGGGCTACGGAAACCCAAAGCGGACACAAACCCCACCGCAGAATAAATGCGTTTCCGTCACAACTGGAGCCCCCAGAGAGACATCCTTCAGCGGCGCAACGTCCACACCACCACCACCACCACCACCAGCAGCACCTCACAGACCGGGGTCCGGCTGACAGTTACCCGCCGGGTCGCTCCGGCCACTGGGGGTTATCGGCCCCCAATAACATATATTTTGGGACTTCACAACAAACCCTCCCCGTCAACCAAACTTGGCAGTGGTCAGGTTCCGCCTTCGCGCCGCCATCATTGGTCGCCGTCCTGCGTCTTCTAGCTTCCTATTGGCCTGTGGGCACGTCAGTCGCGTGACGTCAGGATCAGCCGTGGCGCCCGCCCCCTCGCCTCCCCCCCCCCCACCCCCCACCCACCCGCCCACCCAACTCTCGGGGCGATTGGTTGACAGCGGGCAGCGAGCCGGTCCCTGATTGGCGGAGGGCGCTGTCGATCGGGACCAGACGTCACCAGGCGCCCGGCCGGCAGGTTAGGTTGCGCAGTGATGGCGGCCGCACGGGAACGTCGGGGGCCCTCCGATCCGCTTGAACCGTCGCCGTGAAGGAAAGGGTTTGTTTGATGGCCGAGACATGCACAGCGCGGGCTCCTTCTCCGTGCAGCAGATCCTGAGCCTGGGCCTGATCCCTCGGGCGGGCAACGCCACCTGCCCCAGAAACATCACCACCTCCTTATGCGAATTCTCCGGTGAGTTGTCTCTCGGCGGCGGCGGCGGTCGGGTCGGGTCGGGGCCGGGGATCGTCGCTGCTCCTCCTCCTCCTCCCCGGACACAGGGCCGCAGTGCGGTGGGGGTGGGTGGGCCGTGTCTTCCTTCCTTCGGTCGGTGCCACCTTTCCTAACCCCGAGTCACCTCTCTTGTGCGCTGCAGCTGCCGACGGCGGCGGCGGTAACGCCGTCTGACAGTCATTTGGTTCGAACGGTGTAACGGGAACCGTCACTTATGTTTCTTTCCCCCCCCCCCCCCAAAAAAAATAATAACTCAAATGGATAAATAAATGCCTTGTCCCGACCTCGCAGCTGAACTTGTCCGCGGATGTATCTGTCACTCTCTCCCTGTTTCAAAAAGAAAAAAAAATTTAAAATTTTTTTTTTTTTTTTAAAAATGTCTTATGTATGAGCAACGAATATAATACGTAATGTAATCCCCACAGCAAAAAAAAAAGAACTTTGCACCGAAGGTCAAATGTTGAACCCGAAATCCGACTTTAATGTCGAATGGACTCGGTGCTCCTTCCAATTACGGTTCTCCTCCTTCCAATTACGTGCAATTACTGTACGTAACGGAGCTCTGGTCACTGGGCTCTGTAGTCCATTCGGGTGTCTTAGCTTTTTTGTTCTCCTCCTCCTCCTCCTCCGGGAATTGGGTCAATCTCCAATGGGGATGCGAAAAAAAAAAGCGAACCTTGAATACCTACGCAGCCACGAATAGGACTCCTTTTATTCGGAGTAGAGCAGTCTAGTGGAACCTGGTTTAGTGCCAGTGCGGAGCGAGTTCTGTGCACTTGTTAAGACGCTCGTGTCATCACGTTGTTCGTGGTCGGGAGGTTGGATTGAACCCCGGCCTGTTTTTGTCCCAAAGCACAAAGTGTTCCAATCTGTCGATCTACCTTCCCGGCGAAGTGAATAGCGGCGTAATCGAAAATGTTCTGCAACTCTGAATGGATCAAAATAGGCTTTGGCCTTTCTCTCTCAACCCCCCCACCACCACCACCACCACAAACAAAAGGCTATTATTACTGGTGCACAACAGTGAGTTATTTGCAGCATTATAACCCTACATGTCCAGCCCACCACATAAAATGTGACTCAGTCCCAACGCACATATCCCCCCTGCAGCTCACTGATTTTGTGTCATATATAAACTGTAAGAAACATTCCTCTTGGACCACAGAGAAAATGAGTGATTTACAATAGGCTGTGGTAGATGACCATTTAATAGAGCGTTGAACCCCCTCCCTCCCCCCATGTGAGTTGTGTGGGTGATTGTCAATTGTGAAATATGAACTTGCATTTCACGGCGAGCATCTTATTTGTACCATAAGCGAAGTGTGTCATGTTGCTTTTTACTAAGCTATTATTCACATGATCTTTACCTTCAGAATAATACTGCATTACTTTGTGGGGCTGCATCGTGATGCTACAACAGTGAGGTTGTGTTCTCTTGTTGCTATAGCAGCACAAGTGCTTTGTGTTGCTGATTGACTTGTGATATAATTTTGAAAGCTCTTCTAAAGCTCTTTTATCTCCAGACTCCGTGAGGATTTTTAAAATTATACTGCTAGAGTTGTTGATTTTATTATATCAGTGGCAGTACTGTACCATGTATTTGCCCTCAAGAACATTTGCAAGGATGAGTTTGCAGATTGTTTGGGCTTTTTTGTGAAATTTCTTCTCTTCCGAAGGTGTTTTATTTTTTTCTTCCACCGGAGTGCAAGGGGAGAGGGGGTAAATGGGGCAAGGGGGTAAAAGATTGCAGGCACCAGTACCTCTCCCACCTGTGTATTTCCTTTGTCTCAATGAATAAACCTCCTGAGCTTCTGGCTGTGGGTTCAAATAGCATTGCTGATATAAGCAAGAATATGAGCGGGTCTACTAGATTATTTATTTCCAGCATAGCAAGTACGGATTTTGTTTTTTTGCATGTGTTTACTCAAGGCACTGGTGCTAGAGCTGTGCTGCTTTCTGTGGTAACATTTTAGGATAAACTTACTCAGTATCTAATGACTATTCAGTGGCTGGATAAACTGGGAAAGTTCACATTGAAGTAGACAGAGCTGAAAGGAGATCGGTTTGAAGTATTCAGAATTCTGAAGGATACAAATAAACTGAACCCTCATGATATGTTTAACGCTGCCTACAACAAGCAGACACAGAAAACTCTGCTCAGAAAAGGAAATGTGAACAGACAATCTAGATTTATGCAGAAAATTGTGAATATGTGGAACAGAACAGAGAGATGATGGAGGCAGACTGTGTTAGCAAATTGAAGAAAGAATGAGATAGCTATCTGGCATCGCAAAACACAATACAGTTGTGTATTTTTGGTAAGTTTGGGTTTGGTTAGGTGGAACACCATCTGATCCTGTGAGCAGGCATAATGTAAGCCTTGTGTTTGTATCAGAGTGACAATGCCTGAACTTGCAGGAATTGGTAAATCAATTCCAAAGTGTTTGGTGTAAGTAGGCAATATAACTCTGGGTTAGCCATCTCCATTTCTCATTACTGGAAGCAATGCTGTATCACATCCCTTGGTAACATTGACTGCACATATCTGTTTGGGTCCAAACACCAAACTGCTGTTTTACTGCAAACAATTTAGTTGTTCAGAAATGGTTGTCATTTGTTATGATCATCAATTGGGAAAGATAAATCTGAGACCTTGATTATTGTTGAGAATGGATCCTTATACAATATGCAAGTTCCACCGGGCAGTGGCCTTGGTAAAGAGACAAGGTACACTCTCAGTTTCAAGGCAGCTTCAGAATTGTAAGGTGCAATGTTTAGAGCTGTCATCAAGAAGCATCTCTTTACATCCAAGTGCAAACAATAGCAGAAATGGGTTACCAAGCAAGGTGGTCAGAGCCAGAAAACCCGACTCTTTAAGAACCGCTCAGCGATGTAATGGGAAAGGCTGGCAGATGGGCTTCTTTATTTGGACATCTCTTGTGATCGCTAACCTGTTTTTTGTATGCTTTACAGAAATGTGGTATGGAGTGTTCCTTTGGGCTTTGTTATCCTCTGTTTTTATCTACGTTCCTGCTGGGTTGCTGGGATTCGTCATGCTCCGGCACCACAAATATGGACGTTTCATATCTTTGGGTATCATCGGAGGCATCCTGGGACCCATCATTGCAGCAGTGTTGACGAGTAAGTGTATTTTTCTGAACAATTATCTTTTTAAAAAATCTTCACTTACGAACATTCTCAAAGAAAGTTTAGTATTTTCTATCCGACTCATTCTTCCTTTGGGCATTTATCATGTCAACTTTTAATCCTGTATCTTAGATATTTAAATCTCTATATATCAAAACTTTTCCCAGGTCAATGATGACCTCCCTGTTTCCCACTCCCTCTAGCAGAAAAACGTAATGTGATAAAGCAGGTATATGGGACTGAATGGATTGCACTTTCAAAGAGCCAGCACAGACACAATGGGCCAAATGGCCTTCTTCTGTGCTGTAAATATCTATGGTTGTAAATTAATCACCAATCTAATTGCCTTGGCTTCCGTGAGGTGTGAAGGGGGTATCTCTGGGTTTTTTTTTACTTCCCTTTGCGGAGACGAATGAAAGTCAGAAGGAAAATCGCTGACAGCAGTGAGGGTGAGAAGTAAACTCAGGCATGGCTGGAGTTCATTCAGGAGAACTCATAAATAGCTGAATTATTACTTATTTCAAGCATCAAATGAGAAACATGAAAGCTATGCAATCTTCCTAAGATTTCTGTAACTTTTGAGAGTTATAGAAGAGGTTACTAGGAAAGGTGGTTCTTGCCAGAAGATTGAGACTCCTTTTTTTAAAAAAAAGACTCAGTACTGTAATGGGAAGACAGTAGGATTGATATTCTGGAAAGAAGAGATGAAATGGGTGAAGGGATCTTCTTCTGAACGTTTCTTGTAAGAGGACTTGTTAAAGAGCAAAACTGACAGCTACGCACCTCGTTTGCAAGAAATGCTTTAAAACTTCATCTTTAAAAAAATGCAGAACTGCCATTGACAATTAGTGCGCCAGGTAAATTGCGTGTCATAGTTTGTGTTGCCGATTTCCGTGTCTTTAATAAATGTCCTATTCTTGAATGACTTGACCAATTCTTTTATAGGTGCAGCTATAGCAGGTGTCTACCGGGCTGCCGCAAAGCAAATGGTGCCTCTTGAAGCGCTGGTGCTGGGAATAGGACAGATATTTTTCGTTGTTGCCATTGCCTTCTTACGAATTTTAGCGACTTTGTAGCAGAGGCATTCTGCTTGTTTGCAAGGTCCAGGCAAACTGAAGCCCAAGTTTCACAACTTCACTAAACTTGTGGTAGATGTGGAGAAGATGCACCTGTACTTTTGCAGAATCCAACCAAGTCCCATGTCAATCATTGCTGCTCATTCAACACAGGAACTGGCAACGAGCTGCAATCCAGGCTTCTGCGGTGTGTTAGAAGAACAAAGGATGCACATATTAATTTTGTTGCTACATTTGCTTAAGTATTGAGATCTGTTCTTATTAAAACTCAAAGCAAAAAAAAGGTGACACTCGGATTAAAAGTAGGGCATCACTTTTGCACACGTTTTCAAACTTTTTAAAAGAAACTGTACAGTTTTTTTCAAGTTAAAGACTACTCTAGAGTATGCATGTTTATTGTATTATGACAGTAAAAGCCACTTCAAGTCTTTTTAGTTTGTTAAAAGGAATTCAGAACTTGTCACATTTGAATTGTGCCCATTGTATCTAAATGCTTCACCAATTATGGTAAAAGAGTCAGGCAAGTCAAACGGAAGTGCTACCAAAGGCAAGGCCAGGTAAGTATATAATCTGAAGGTATTCCAGCTTTCTACAGCTTAAACAAGGTGAACAAGATCAGTCATACCAATATTGGACTCTCCTGTGTCCAGTAGTTTGCATAGGAATATACAGAACTGGAATAAAGTATTGCAGCTCATCTGCTCAGTCCTACCATTTGAAAATCTGGTGCCCAAGAATTCTCCCTTGCTGTAATTTATTCCATTATTTACAGCTCGTTAGTTTGCAAACTACTTTTTAGAAATTACTGAATTGTTATATTTGACGGTTAAATGGCCACAGTGAATACCTAACAATCATTCTATTACCACAGATAACTATGCCTCATAGTAGAATCACTGCAGCCAGACAACTACTATGATTCTGATGGTAAATATGCTATTTATTCACCACCCTTTCTCATTGTACAGAAAACAAAAAGAAAATATCTAGATTAATAACTGATAAAGATGGTGGCGTGTTTGTGTTTTCAGCAGTTTTCCCAAGAGCCAAAATTAGGGCCCAAGCCAGACCTTATATATTCTGGTCCTACCATAGATTTTTAAGAGGAACTGATACATTAAGAGTGTGACTTTCTTAAGAGTTCAGAATTACTACTGCAAGTTTTTTTTGCTGAGCCAATGAATGAAATGTCATCCCCATCTGTAGCTAATCACCTGGTCTTTGTGATTGACTTTTTAACGAAGACACAGTATTTGTCCAGACAATGTGTGAATATCATTCTTAATTTTCATTTCCAACTTCCAACGAGCTAATATCTATTGGGTAAGGTCTGCCATAGACTAACTGAATTTATACACAGTTCACTTGTGCCAATCTTAATTAATTTTTAGTACTTGTTTAAATCAAAAACAAGAGAATGTTCTTGCATTTATAGCAGACAATCCCATCATTTCTTTTCATTGTGCTTTTTCATATTAATCCTGACATTGGAGTGTTCAGCTGTTTGTGGCCATTCTCTCCCTTGTAAACCTCTGACAAGAATCTGAGTTTGGCACATGGTAAAAAGTTGCATCTCAAAGTGCTTTGGTGTTTCTGTACTTGTCATGGTTTGATTGATCATTATTAATTTTCATTCGACAAAGTTTCCTGGCATGCGAGACAGTTGCCCCTGTAACACTCAGCACTTCCTCTGATGTCTCCAGTGGAATCAGCTTTCATATTCCCTTATGTCCACAACATGATTTAACAGCAGAGTGAGGTATAGCAGTGGAGTATTTATCTACTCCCTCAACTTCCTGCTTGTGCTCAACCCCAAGGCTTGCTTCTCACTGCAGTCACCATTTACTCTGGACTCAGCATCTGTTCCAGTTGAATTCAACAGTTTCCTCTGTTGAGCTCCAGTGATCCCATTTTTTCTTTCTCTACTCTCGCATATACGATTGATAATACATTAGTCTTGCACAGACCACTTGACTAGCTTGTTTTTAAACGAAATACCCATTGTAAACTGAATATCCAATGAGCAGCAATGGAATATTAAGTCCACAAGACTTTTGTTTTTGCCTTTTCCAGTTGTTATGAGGTCTTTGTCGCTCATAACTAAACTGGTTATTAAACTAAACATAATAATCCACAGTTCCCTAATGTATCCTTTTTAATGGTAACACATTTTCATGCACTTTTGTAATTCATTACTGATTTGCTTATGGAGTAATGTATAGGTAATATTAGTGATATTAATAGTGCTCTGTGCAGCACAACATAGAAACCTGCCATACTGTGCCTACTGTCATTTATATATTATACAGCAAATTTAGTCTGGGTGTTCAAAAGTTTTTGGTAGCACCCTGTTTGTCGTTGATTGTCTTAAGTTTAGGCAAAAACATTCAATAATTGTCATCTGCTTTTATTGTACGCCTGACTCCTTTCGAGTATTTACACAACTGGTATGTTTAAATAGCACATATTAATCGAAATGTATCTTTAACCGGTAACTTTTCTAAATGAGCAGTCATGGTTTGGCAAAACCTAGGTTCAACTGACTATGTTTGATTGGTCTATAAACGTGGTGGGTTTTAACAATGTGAATTGAAAGTTATTATGGGTTTTTACTGCTGTGTAATGATCAAACGTTTGTCTTGAAATTTATATTGTTGGGGAAATCAAAATTTTATTTTTCTACTTACATGGCTAATTTTGGTGACATTTGCTGGTAAATATATTTATAAAAAAATAAATTTTGTTAAATTGATTGGAATAGGTGTTTTTTTTAATGTCTTTGTTTATAGCGTAGATTTGACAGTAAGTACATTACAACCATAAACAGCTAAAATGTCATTCATGTTGACAAACAAATGTATATTTAACTCGGCTTGACGTTAGCAAGAAAAAGGCAGATTCTGAATTTCAGAACAATTTGAAACTTAAAAGAAAATATTACAAGACAAAAATGAAATGCAAGTGAAAATGTCAATTTTGGATCAATCTTAAGAATTCACATTGGTGTGAGATCTAATTTGCAGCTTAATGTCAATGGTTAGTTTCCAGGATGTCAACATCAAAGAAGCTTAACACACACCAGAGCTCTAGAACTTACCGTTCAATTAATCATTCAAACAGCTTTTTTGCAATTTTATAAACCGAACCAGGGAGTGGAATATTTTGTGTAATCTTTGCTTGTTGTTTGAAATGCATTCTGACAAGGAAGGCAAGTTTTCTGATCTTAAGTTTGCATACTGCTAGTTTTTAAAACCAAAAGATCTTTGAATTCACTGGTATATATTAATCCTCAAGGGTAGCGCATTTATTAGGACTTCATACAGATATTTTCTGAATCCTGGATCACACAACCTGCCAACAATGAAAAAGGCAAGGGTATACTTGCAATTTAATTTACTTTTTCCAATGTGCTGTCATCAGTGCCCTGGAATACTGTGGACCTGCCTGGCAAAGGAACCCGATTACGAAGACTGCCACAGAAGGCTGGCTCGATTCTGACATTCCACTGCCAGGCATGTTAGAATCGAGCCAGTTCAGCTCCAAGGAGATGCTGCTTATCTCCCCTCACCCCACCTCCCAATTTGAGCACAACAATGTCCCACAAACAGCCATGAAGTGAAAGATCAATTTTATTTGCGGGATTGTTGGCCAGGGCACCAGGAAAAACTCCCTTCTCTTTTCGATTAGTGCTAATAGAACCTTTAGATTCCATCTGAACAGGTACACACAGGATCCTTGTTTTAACATCTCATCCAAAAGACAGCATCTCCAATAATACAACTCATCCTCAGCACTACAATGGAGGGCCAGTTTAGACTGTATGAGTTCAAAGCTCCAAAGCAGGGCTTGAACCCACAACCTTCTGACTCTAGAATGAGAGTGCCACAAACTGAGACAGGTTGACACAAGGATGATGTTGGGCTGGAGGGGGGGTGTTGCTATGGCTCCGGGACCCATTGCAGACCGAAACCCTCCAGCAGCACCACTGTGAACTCAAATACAGACCACTTCACTACTTCTCTGAGAATGGCTTTTCCTTCAACTGCAACGAGATGCCAACAACACAAAGGGTTTCTCTTTGTTGGAATCGATTATAATAAGGCTTAAGAGGATAGCGCTTGTTTGCCACAGATGTGCTTATTTGAACAATACCACATCAACTGCCTGGGTCTTTTGCATAATGAACAAATCTTAACTCAGACTAAGGTTAGTTCACATTAATGGCTATCCAATTTCACATTGAGCACTAAGCATGTTCCAATAATTACCTTTCGATGATGCACTCTTGTACGAGTCAGTTTCCTGAGATTTTTTGACTCATCGCAAGAATGATATAAAATCTGATATTAAAAATGTTATTTGATTTTATTAGTTGCAGTTGTTAGTCAGTCCTGACACTCAGCGAGTCGCTGCTTATGACACACTCACACTTTTTGTTATTCTGAGTCACCACCACTTGTTCATATCATCTGGAAAAGCAATGCTGGAGAAGTAATGTGATCGTGCCTTTGGCCACCCTCCCACCCCCAACCCCCCTGTCCCCAACTCCCAGCTCGGGTCCAAAAATCCCTGATTGTTCAGCCCCCTGGGACATATTTCCGACGTGAAGGGCGCCGTACAAATGTAATTTGTTGTTGTTGGAGAAACCTTGGCACCATCCAGCACCCGGCAGCTTGTTTTTTAAGTTAGTTCAAAAACTAACAGAAAATGATGTCAGTGTGTTTATTCCCTGCACCTTCAGTCTTTTTCTGTTTACTTGCAGCACCTGAAACCTGTCGAATGGGTATAAAGAAAATACAACTGACAGAGAACAATTCTTACATAATTTATTACTTATGTTATGTAATCAACCATATCTCCATTGGTAACTGCACACATGGTCTAAATCATCATATTGTACATGTTATATGTACTGTACATCTAGAAAGATAATGAGAAACGTAAGGCAGGGCAGATGATTGTCTGGTGTGTATACCAAGTGGCAGCTGAAGCCTTCTGCAGTGCATGAAATCAATGTTTAGAAGAGGTACAAGTAATATCTTCTGTAAAATTGTAAATATAGAGAACACTCTGCCCCAGAAATCTGTAGATGCAGAATCAATGAGCTGTTTAAATGAGGGATAGACAGGTACTAGGACAGAAGGGTGTAAAGGGGTATGGTAAAAGGGAAAGGAATTGGGATTGAAAGATCTAACAACCTGGTGGTGCAAGCTAGATGGGCTGAATGTCCTCCTCCTGTTCGTGCTTTTCTATGTTCCTTTTTAAACAACTTGTAGAGATGGTTTCTGGATCGGGAAGCCCCATCACACAAATGGGTAAGAGACAAATACTGAACAAAACACAGAATCCTGCACACAGGAGAGGGACTGCTCACACCGTGGATAGTTAAGCAAACTGGGGACTGGCTGTTTACTGTGAGCAATAACATTCCATGCTGTGAAATCAGGAACAATCTGTACTACTGCTGTGATTATACACTTCTGTATTGAGCATCACAAGCAACTCTGCGGATGCTACAGACAGATGTAACACACTGCGCCAGTTGCAAAAGTTATCCAACACTTAATGAATCACATGGAAACAAGGGCAGGAGCAGCCCTGACAGTTTAGTGAATAGAACTGCAGTTTATGGATTGGGAGCTCACTGTTAAAATCCTGGTTTGTGCTGAGTGTATTGGTCTCAGTTGGGACATGGTGATGGACTGAATTGCTCCCCGCCACCCACCCCCAGCTTTCTCAGGTTTACAGGGGGGAAACCAGGCAGAGTTCCCGATACTCCTGATACTAGTCCCTATTTGGGACCTCTATTGTGCGCGTGAATAGCAGCAGCCAGATTAGAGGTTAGCTTGGCTGTGTAGTCGCATGGCTTTGCCAATGCTCACTGCCAAGGCTCACACAAAAACAAATGGCTGCTTAGGCAGGATGCCAGAGGGCAACAAACACCCGTAGGACCACAGCCCAGCATAAGGAGGCTGGGTAACAGGAGCAGAAGCATATTCCAACGAGGAGAAAATTAGATTAATTGGAAACATTTTTAAAGAAAAAGTAAGACAATGATGGACAAGTAGTGATGAGCATTGTGTGTTTCGTGAATAGGTTTCACTGTTACTCTGTGTGAGCTAATCTTAGCTCTAACAGCAAAGGGACTCCATAATACATAATGTAGTTATTTATATAGCTGTTCATTTCACATAACCTTCCAAGGTCTTCCCCACCTGCGCCCCCAAAATTCTCTTGCAACCTGCCTGTATAGTATCATTAAGCAGCATAAAGAGAACTCTCTTCAGTGCATTTCATTTCACATCACAGAGCAATGCGACACCTCTCAGTACCCAATGTTCAGAGGATAGGTGACTTCTCAAGTCCACAGCAGCGATGTAGTTCAGATGTGTCCTCACTGGCTTTTTATAGATAGGACAGGAATATACACGTGTATCTTTAGAACCTATGGAAAATAAAATTTAAAAAATAGAAATCATGCTAATCTCCTACTCAGACATTTAAACTGCATTGCATTGTTCAAGGAAAACGTCACAGAGCAACATTATAACAGCCACCTCGTATTGTGTAGGGTTACACCTGCACAGATGGCAGGAAACGAACTGTGTGTGTGTGTGTGTGTGTGTGAAGTAGGCAACCTACGGCTTTGTGAAAATCTTTATAGCTGGTAGTTAAGAAAGGTGACTGTTGAAGAGTAAATTGAAAGTGTCTGCGAGTGTAAGACAGAGCTAAACGACAAGTTGGGATCCACGGGGAGCAGGGTTGGGAAAAGAGCAAAGAGACTGGGATCGAGAGTTAGCTTCAGAAAGTTATAAAACCATATGAAACAGATTGGGAATGAGAATGAAGGTAAACTTAAGTAGGAAGACAGATCTCCCAGCCTAAAACACAGGGCCACTAAGAAAATTGCCTTAATATTTAAGTGGGTAATATGCTTGGAACTTACCATTGAATCCACAGAATATGAAATGAATAACATGACAGTAAACTCCTGATAACTCCACCCTGGTTTAACTTATCACTACAAGTCATCATGTTGTCAACATTTATGTATTCATTCATTTGCCCAACTTGCCACTCCGAATGATTCATTACTGAGCTCCTTTCTGTTGGAGTTTTGAGTCATCGGGATTTTACTATATTTATCAAGTTGCTTTTCAGGTAATATACTGTACAATAACAATGTTGAATACTATACACTGACATTCATGGTTAAAAACTGAAATCCAACCAGCAAAGCAGAAAGGAGAATTATATCTGTAATACATTTCATCGCAGTCTAACAAGTGAATCATGTACATATTGATTTAGCTAACTTACTGTGATGATTAATAGCAGAGATATGAATAGCTGGCATGATTTCGAAAAGCACTTTGGGTTTGGATTCTGTCAGTCGGTTGTTACGCCTGTCCCATCCAGCACCCTCTAGATAGAGACCATAGACATAAACTCCCTCTGAAGGAGGCTGGTAAGATCTTCCTTGGCTGACCTACAGACATTACTGTGCAGCACAACACTGTCCAGAGCCCAGCCCTTATGAATCCGAGTAACTTCCTGTTAGCATGAAAGAAAGATGCACACAAATTACCCCTCTTCACTTTAACGGCAAGTAGCAACCAATCCCCATGTTACTGTATAACATGTCAATCATTTCTGGGGTGAACATTATGCTCATTGAGGCATCAGCCCTGGAGAATAGAATACCTTTTCACTTCGGTCACTGAGAAATCCTCCTGTGACTCACAAAGCCACAGTGCAGTTATTTCCCTGTTGGCAAAAACATGCAACCAAATGTGGATGTTGCACAAGGAAGATTTCTTTTTAGCAGAAGGGCAATTTTTGCTCTGTAATTTTGGTATCCAGCTGGTGTAATATACACTTTGCTCCTGAACCTGTAATTACCTTTTTTTTACATAAATCATTCAACTAAAACTGTTGCACTCTGAGGCGCCTAAACCCGGGCCTTAGGACATCTTCCCAACATGAAAGGTGCTGTATATTTGTTGTGTTAGCTTACGCCTGTGGCGTTCTGCACATCTTATATAGCGCTTGTGACAAGAGAATAAACCCTGTCTCTGCCTTTCATGGTTATTGCTGATCAACCTATGTTTAAAGGGAGCTAAAAAGGGCTGGTGCCCAATTATCCCCCTGTCATACACATATAAATGCAAGTTGTTGTTCAGACAAATATTTGCTTCTGCGTGATTCCTGAATAGGAATTACTTCTACTATTTTGATCCCCACAATACCGCTTTACCATTGACTGGGTATGACTGCCATATTATTTCCTGACCTGTCTCATTGCCGTGAGGAATCCTTGAGGATTGAAGAATCCAGTCATCCAGAAGCAGGTTGGGCTTCCTTCAAAAATCCACGAGTGAAATTGAAGGTTCCTTTCCAACAACTCAGTGAACCAGAATCCTAATGTACTTGAGGCCCAAGATGCCTTCAGACATGTTTTAAAAAAAAGTTATTTATAATCAAAACAATCTGTCCTGCAATGCTGAATCCCAACCACAAAATGAAGACAATTTTGTTCCTGATCTTTACATAATTATACACATTCTGCACAAACAGCATTGTGCAGTATACATTTGTATTAAACTTTTTTCAAACCATGCAAATATTGGACTGATATGGGTCACTTTATATTACATGCCGAAGCAAGCAAGGGTTTATTAATCATTATCCATTCATTCAAATATATGAATATTTCCACGTTTTTAAAAATATAAATATATATTTTGTGCTATATTTAGATAGAATTGTTTCATTCTTACCTTGAGCCACCTGACTGGTATGCGTGCATCATACATACAGTCTAGTGCATCTCGCAAGTTCTCACTCATTATAATGGTACCGTCTATGGCCAGTTTCAGGTCCGTTAATGTGCTTCGGACCAAAGAGATGATTCGTTGCATGCAATCAATTTCTTGATGCAGGAATATGTTCATTGGCCGAAAAGCCCCCATCTTTCGCAACCTTTCTTTAACCTTCAACAAAACAAAGAGAACTGAAGCATTGGGTAAGTAATTCAGTTGCCACAAGCCAAAGAAACGTATTTGGTAAGAAATGTAAACTACATACTATTCAATTCTGATCCTTTGCCCTCAACAGAACTTTCCCAATGCTTTACTGTTCATTTCAAAGTAGAGTACCCCAAACTGCACACAACATTCCAAACGTATTCCAAATATGGTCTCACAGGTGATATATAGACAAGATTGTAATAATAATAATAATAACCTCAGATTCCAAGCATTCGTGTTTTGGACAATTCTTCACACAGAATCTACTCGGTGTAAACAAAAGATTTTTCAAAGTGAGTGAAATCCGTGTTATCTAATATTATACAAATACCCCAAATTACCATTTACAATGGAGAGAATTAGGATTCATCACACAACCTACTTCGTATGATACGTATTCCACAGGCAATTTCGACAGCATGTCATCAGCAAGATGGGCAACAACAGCCTCCCTGGTTTCCCCACCCCCTGCTGAACTGTCCTTTGGCTGAATGCTGAGAATTGCATCAAGTACATCTTGGGCGAGTTTGCTTTGATAAGTGATATCAGCATTTGGGTGAAGACCAAATACCTCTGGCGTGTCATATGCTGGCAGGGTCTGTGGGGGCACAGGAATCTAAGATTTAATTTCTCATTTATTCCACACATAAATGCATTATAGAGATTAAAGTCTTCATTTGTCATTTATTTATGCCTTTCCCCAAAACACCTATAGTTCACAAGCAACGTGGAGCAAGTAGCACTGTGCCACGATAATGCATTCAAATGCAGAAGTCAGGTCCAAACATGTTGACACTCAGTTTGTGATCTGAGTTTTATCATCAGGAAGTATCGAGTGAAGGCTGAGCAGTTCACAAAGTGGAAAAAGAAATCAACGGGCAAATCTCCCCGAAACAAGAACCCCTTAAATATTTCCAATTGTTGATTTAGAAAATATTGAAAATGAAACTGTTAATGTAAAAGTCAGGCATAAATTAGAGATTTATCTCATCTTCTCTCCAGCATTCTTTGCCCTTTATATTCTCTTGCACTGTGGGACTTGGCTATTTATATATAGCGTATGTACATGAGACTGAAAGAGAGAGATGGTGTAGAACTGTTCCAATGATATCTTTTCTCAAAACCAAGATTAAGAATGTTCAGGGAACCTGTATGTGTTGCATATATTGTTCCACTGCAGCACACTTAGGGATGCTGTAATCCTTGTAAAAGCAGAAGTCGGATCCAAACATATTCTCACTGAACCAAACTTGGGCATAAGTGTTTAACAAGCGCTTATCATAGTCATCTGTGACACGACCGCCATACTGAATCTCTCCAATCATGTAGTGGATGGTGTTCCATGAGGTGCCCTGGTAAAGACAAAAAGGCAATCTAAATGTAAAACTTATAACATGAAATCAAACCCGGACATGCTGTAATCCAATGTGCTCTACCACAAAATAGGGATGAAGACTGAGAAAGTTTGATCAATTGGAGGAGGAGGATAGGCATGGACTCAGTTCCACCAAAATTAGTTTTTGGAACTAAAACCATAATATTTTGGGGGTTAGGGAGAATCTATAAGAAGATAATAATAATCCTTGCTTTTGGTATAACGCCTTATCACATCTTCGATACGACTCAAAGCGCTTCACAGAATATACTGCAAAGTGTAGTAACTGTGTATTTTGTGGGTGAAATGTGGCAGCCAATTGCGCACAGCAGTGTCCCACAAACAGTCATGGATTGAGTGACCAAACCATTATTATTATTTATTTGTTTGTTTGTTTGTTTTGAAGGGATTATTACCTCCAGAAAAGCGATCCTCCAATCAACTAACAACCAGGTTCCTACTTACTGCTAGGTAAACAGAGGCGTATGGAGTAAGGAAACTTGGCTAAGGTTTCGCCCTGCCCAGAAACCGAACCCAGGTCCTCTCTCTCGCGAGTCGAGTGCTCTAACCACTAACCTAGAACTGAGATGGTTAAAACATTGTATTTTTATGAATTAGTAATGCAGTTGAGTACTTTTTCGAATACCTTTTTGGAGTCTGTGTCATCGAGATGGTTTTGCACAAATTGAACTGTGGCGTTTAAATCTGCTTGGTTAAACTCGTAAGGAACGTTCCAGCCAAGAGGTCCAAACTTGCGCCTTTCTTGCACGGTTGAATGAAGGAAGGCTACTGCATAAAGCATGGGTTTCCAATGGGGTGTGTTACTTACATCTAGCTGGTCTTGATTAATACCTTAAAATCAAAGCGGAAGTTAATACATGCCTTTAGCTGTGAGAAGACAAATGGAATGGTTTTGTTACATTCTACAAAGGTGAAGATTCAGGCAAATTTCATGCAACTAATTAATTTGCATCTTTTAAAAAATACTATTCGGATCGGTGCTCTAGAGAAATGTAAATTTAGACATATCAGTCTGCACATGTTTGTAGCACATTGTTAATGCAATAAAGCTAAATTAGCAAGTGCTAATTGCGCAAAAAAAATCCCATACCTGCGTATGTGCGTTTCAGTCCAGCTTTTAATCCCTGTGGTGGCTCGTTGGTAAACTTAATTGACATCTGAAGTAGTGTAATGGGGAAGTGTTTGTGCACCTCAGTTGTTATCCATAGTCGGAAGGAAGCACAAATATTCTCAGTCTCAATGATTGTGTCCATCAGTTCATCCATGAAATCTAGTCCCAAGTGACAGTTCTGCAGTAACGCCCAGCCTCCCTAAATATTTCCCGATAAATTCACAACATCTTTTACAATTTAATTTGACAATTTAAATACCCAACGAAACACCTTTTACAATTTAAATGCCCAAATAAAGTCGTCACTTTAAATACATGGTAATTAATGTAAGATCGTTGTAGTTGAAAGCTTTAACTGACAGTAAGAGCCTTCCCTAGACTTTTATTATGCACAATTACAAGGCAAAAGGCTTAATCCTCAAGATCACAAGATCATTTTGGCCCGTCTGATCTCATCCTTCCAGAACATCATCCCAGCATCAAGCTCTAGTGTCCTGACCTCAACCACTCCTCCTGACAACCTGTTCCAGTCATTAATTAACTTCTGGTAACTATCCTGAAATTGGACAGTTAGCCCTAAGTTTGCTAAACTTGTGTCCTATTGTTGTATTGTCATGTTGCATCCTAGTGTCCTGGCTTCACTTTTTCAATGCCATTTACAATTGTATACACCTCTAATAAGTTCTCCTCTGAAACCTCTCAAGACTGAAGAGCCCTAGGTCGTCTAATTGAACTGGAACCCAACTAAAGGGACTGTACTTAAGCTGACCTTTGATACTCAGACTGAACTAGAAAGTGAGCTCTACGAACATAATGAATCTTCCTCCACTTACATTGCACATTGTCTGCTGCAGCAACCTACGGATGTGAGTCTCCTGCCCCTGGCCCATCGAGACAGAGCGAGTCACAATTTTGAGTCTTTTTCCAAGAGCAATGATGCTCTCTGATGGATCTGAGCCCATGGAAAGGAAACAGATCAGAGGTGTCCTGGGTGCAGATTCCTCCCAAGTCTTGTCAAGGTCCAGAACGACAGCTTCTGCGTACCTCTCACCCCTCGAATCGATGATGTATTTGCGGGCCTGGAGTCAAAAAACATGCAGGCGAGTGGGATAAAGCTAAATAGTAGAAATTACCCAAAGAAAATTCAACAGGTCACCAACCAATAATGAATGTTAAGCACAGTACGTTATATTTCACCTATTGCTGTGGAGCCAGGCCAGCAATCCTCTTGTTTACAGGAAATCGTTGGAGAAACATGCAACACCATTCGATTTCCCACAAACGTTACCTGTGCAATCGTGCGGTCAGGACACCAGGATCGGACTAGCAGGAGTTTGCGAAAGCAGTCGAGAGACTGATGGTAACCGTCAGGCACAAGCTCCTCCTCTTCTGGAGCAGCTTTATCAAACCAGTTTTTCCACTGCTTCTCATTCTGAGCAATCTGCAAATAGATGGGTGAAACCTGCATTGCAACAGACTGAAGCAAATCTCTGCTGTATAATTTGTTTTAAAACAAATAGCAATGCAAAGTAACTCTAATTGTTATTGAGTATTAGGGCTCAAGAAAAATATAATGATAATAAAAATAATAATCCTTGCAATTGATATAGCACCTTATCACATTGTTGAGATGTCCCAAAGCGCTTCACAGAATATATTGTGAAGTGGATTGACTGTGTATTTTGTGAGCGATAAATTCCTCAAAGTACATTTATTTCTAAATAACATAACATGTAGGAGCAGGAGTAGGCCATTCAGCCCTTCGAGCCTGCCCCGCCATTCAATCATGGCTGATCTTCTTATCTAACTCCAGCTAATAACATAACATAACCCTGCCTTATCCCCATATCCCTTAATCCCTTTTGCAATAAGAAATATATCTATCTCAGTTTTGAATATGTTCAAGGAGCGTCAAATGAACGTCAAATTTCAGTTGCTTCTTTTAAAAAAGGTTGCGTCAGTGAAAATGAATGAATATCTTCGACGGTATTGATAAGAAGTTTGAGGATAGAGTTATGGTTTCCAGATACCTTACTCCATATGAACTGTAATCTGGTCCAATTACCTTTTAAAACAAACATTTGGGGAAATAAAGATCAGAGGGAGAAAATCCACTTAGCTCCAGACTTGAACTCTTATATTTTAGCGTACAGGATTTCAGCAAATTCTTCCATTCAGTTTTAATTTTGAAGTCAGTTTTACCAACTACAGAAAACTGGTTTCAAAATTAAAACTGGATTTAAGAAGTTGCCAAATTCTGCCTGCCAAGTCTAGACTTTGGTGGAATTTCTCCCCACAGATATTAACATTTATCCATTTATTTTACCTGTGCCTTGATAAAAAGTACATGGTTATTTCACATTAAAGTAACTGTATTCAATCTCCCACATGCAGACTATACCTGGGTAAGAATGTCAGAGAACTGACAAAGTTTCCTCAGTTCGACGAGATTCAACCAAGTCATGTCAAGAATCCATTTGGCAGGTTTTTGAGGACAAGTCTTGAGATCCAAAGAGGCACCCCCTGGAATTTGCATAGTAACAAATGTACGTTTACGCAGGGCCTTTTACGTCACGAGGATGTCCCAAAGCGCTGGACAGTCCAGGGTTTGCACCCGAGCTGAGGGTGGGGAGGGGAAAGATATCTGAAAGGTCTTGAAAGAGTAAGGTCTTGGTGTAGACCTTGAAGAAGATAAGGAGTTCCAGAGAGCTAGAGCAGATGGGCCAATCCCAACCTGTGGTTAAAGGCACTGTCAATACAGAAATTGGGCATCACACTTTAATTTATGTGCAAGGGATGGATCACTGCTGCTCACTTTCTAATGAATATCAAGACTGGTCTGGAAGCAAGTTATTTGATCTCCTAAGATTGGAGAATGTTGTACAATTTGAGAACACCTAAAGATGAGGTTGGGGAAAAAAAACAGGCTTTGCTGCACATTAATAAAATAGAGAGAAGGCTAGCATCATTGATTAATAATAGAACTGTCACAATTTGACACAGAAACAAACATTTCTATCAGACTGAAGCTCTTTTTTTAAATAGAAAAATGTAACACAAAAAAAAACTTGCATTTGTGATAGCCTCAAAGCCCTTTACACAATTTACTGTAAATTGTTGTGACAGTATTTTGTAGGGGAACGTAAGTAGCTTTGAAGGCATACGATTTATCCCACTTTACTCCCAGACTTCGCAAGATTTGCAAAATAATTTTTGCAAACTTACTTATCAAAATGTGACACACCTTACCTTTAATGAGGGTGAGAAATTCCTCATGTTTGACCTTGTGGCATTGCATATCAATCTTCAGCGTGAGCAGGAGTCTGAAGAGGAACTTGTCCTGTTCATATAGGCCCCGAGTTGTGCACTTGTACACTTCATACGTCATGTATTCAATAATGTTTGCTACTCGCTTGCTGGTGAATGGGTTCTTAGCGGATCTGGTTATTATATCAATATAAATCTTTGAAGGTAAAATGACTGAACTAAAAGCATAAGACTAATAACAATGAAAATGTCATATTTACTGGGTTAAAAAAAATGCAAAGAAATACCACAACAAATTGGACGAGTACTGTACTTAAAGCTAACATCATGCATAGGAATGAACCATCAGACCTTACAAGTGACAGGTCAAAGATCCCAAGGAACTGCCACAGAGAAGTCTGGTACATCACATTCACCATGCTCATCTCCACAATCAGAAAATAAAGGGTGCTCCCTCTTGTAGCAACTGGATAGAAACAGAGATTAAGCTCATTTCATATTCTGAAAATAATAAGCCTTGTATTTGACACATCGTTCACATCAGCAAGATGACTTAAAGCGCTTTACAGGATTCACTGAAAAGTACTGCGACTGTGTGTGTGTGTTTTGGTGAATGTCTACACTTCAAGGTGGGTGTCCAGGAGATGCATTTATTCTAGTTGCAGGAAAATAAAATTAATATCAAAACGCAAACATTTCCTCACCATTAATTTAATTCAAAATAGCTACCATGAAGAATAGTTTCTGCTGCTCTAAAGCTCAATTCTCGTTTTAATTGGTTTTTAAATTTGTTTTGAGTTCTGCGAAACCTGACTTCAGATCATCCGAACACAAATAAATATTCATTTGATCATACAAAAGTGTGAAGTTTTACATCATTGCTCCTGCACAAAGGAACATGAATTAATACTTGACAGATGAGATACAGCACATTTCACATCAAGAGCTTAGTTACCTGGCCTGAACTCTTCTCTCGCAGTGTTTATTTGTGTCTCTGTCTCAGCTGCCGTCTTTAGTTTCTGCGTCACCTCTTCAGCTGTCTGCTTGGTGTTTCGAAGTACGACGATCAGACTTTCATCGTCTACAAGGGAACCCTGAGTCATTGTTAAACGGTAAAGCAAGTTATCTTCCAGTTCTTTCATCTTCCTTTTATTTGAAGTCACGTCCTCCATCAGGCTTGTCCGCTCTTTCTCCAGCTCCTTAAACATCAAATACCTTGTGTTACTGTAAACAAGCAGTTTGCTCTCTTCTGCTTTTATAATGATAATAATTATAATAATCCTTGCATTTGACATAGTGCTTTTTTCATGTCTCAAAGCGATTCACAGTAAAGTAAATCGACTGTATAGTTTATGGGTGAAATTCCACCCCTTTTAAGGAGCTGCAAATACTCAATGCAGATTGTTATTTTGGTTTGTGTGTTTTCGTATCTGGCCTTCAATAATAATCCAATAATCCTTGCATTTCACATAGCCTCTTATCACGTTATTGAAACATCTCAACGCACTTCACAGGATTTATTGCAAAGTGCAGTGACTATATATGTAGGTAAATGCCGCAGCTAATTTGCCCACAGGAATGTCCCACAGGAAGTTAATGAGCAATTTTATCTGGGGGATTGTTGGCATAAACCATAGGACAAAATCTCCATATGACTCATATGGCAATTAACAAATCTTGTAGTGTTACTAGGGTGATAGCAGGTCTGAGTTATAATGAAAGGCTTTAAAAAAACAGGGCTGTATTCACAGAAACCCAGAAGGTTAGAAGGCTGATCCAACAGAAGCATCTAAAATTAGATAGGGTGAAAAGTTAAACAGTTACACTGATTTGTTGGTAAATCAGTAACAAGGGGACATAAATACAAGATGACGACTAGAAAGATAAAGGCTAAAAAAAAACCCAGATGGAATGTGAAACACGTTTCCACAACTGAAGCCAAGTCAATTGCAGGGTCAACTGCAAAATAACTCAATACTTTGGGTCCATAAAATTATTAATTATAACACATCTGCAAAAAACAAACATATCCATCAGTCCTGTTCACCACTAGCCCGGTTTCCTGTGTTCGCACGCAGCGTGCAGCAGCCCTCCACCCCACCAAAGTACGAGAGATTTTCCTCGCCTGCTTCTCCGTAAGAATGGCTCGGCCCAAAAGTTGATCCTCCAAGCCTTGGATGGTGACGGTGAAGTCGATAATTGAAGTGCAAGCATTAATCTCTGGAGTGTAGGCAGGATTGGCCAGTTTCGTGGTAGCGTAAAGTCTGAAACCACTCATAATGTCCACCTCTTTATCACCTATTTTCACCTGCACGAAAGAAATCGGGAATTGCTTTTTTTTTTGCTAAGAGTTGATACAAAAAACGCTGCATAGGTAAGGTCAATGGTGGTGTTCATCTTCACTGATAGAAACAACTTGCATTTATACAGTGTTCTTCATGTAGGATATCGTCTGGGGACTACACAAGGATGGGGTCAGATCCCAAATGAGAGAGAGACAGGGGGGAAGTGACTGTAAGTGCATTTGAAGGAGTTCAGGTGGTGAGGTTTTTAAAACCTTAGTCAATGAATTAGTAAAGGCTTTACCTTTCGGGTGGACCCAGTTTTGATGAAGTTTTTCTCCAGCACATTATCCAGAGCTGGATCCAGTTCTTCTCCAACGTCCTCAACAAGTAGTGGCCTCCCCAGAGAAAGGCAATCCTCCAAGTGATTTCGAAAGTATTTATGATTTAGTGAAGTTACCTATAACCAGATTGGAAACATGTGCTTCTTGTGTACCATTTACTACATTGTAATTTACCATTCACCATCCTCATCTTCTGTACTAGAAACACTGAATTTTGTATAAGCTAAAAATAAATGTAATTAAGCAACTCCACGTCATTCGTCATCATTGCATTTGATATAGTGCCTTATCACTACGCCAACACGCTTCACAGGATTTACTGTAATGTACAGTGACTCTGTCACTGCGTCACTTTGTAGGTGAAAGTGGCATCCAATTTGCATACAGCAATGTCCCATGAAGCGAATTACCATGTTTTATCTGGGGGATTATTGTCCAGGACACCGGGAGAATCTCCCTTCTCGTTTTGAATAGTACCATGGGATCTTTAACAGATCTTGAATAGGCAAATAGGACCTTGATTTAACGACTCATTCGAAGCATTTGCATCAATCGTGAAAATACAGCTAAACGTCTAAGTTGTATTAGAACACGAGAGTTGGCAATTCAAGTCATATCTACTACCTGAAGTTCATTCTTAGCTTCTTTATTCTTGATCCAGGTCTTGCCTTGAGCCTGTGGATCAATCAGCAATGGGTAGCGAGTGGCCTTTGTAACAATTATTCCATTTTGTATTGAGAGATCATCGTTAGGCAGACCCTGCAAGTTCCATTCTCCAACTGTGGGCCCATCGATAAGCATCTCAGTGACATTCAGAGTTGTGGTGAATGGAATGTTATGCAGCATTATATCTTGTTGCCATTTATTCAACAAAAGGTTCCTGAATTCCTGGTTGAATGGACCAGAGTAGGACAGAAAAGCTGTAGCCAACAGAACATTACCTATAACAAAGAGGGGATATATTCAATTAAAATGTCTCATCTTTAACTGTAATGGTTCAATGGATGGAGAACATGAAGGAAGACTTGCTCATGGCTGCACCTTGACTTTAACCACTGAGAGAAAAATACCAGGGAGAAGGAATATCTTTGCGGACATATTTAAAGGATTACCGAATGCCTGAAAATACTTCTTACCCATTGAAGAAAATAGCAATTTCCTACCTTCCAAAACCAAAAAAAGTTTGCCAGCAATTGTTTTATAAAGACATGAAGTAGGGTAGGAGAGAGGAAGGCATTTGTTTTTATTTGGCAAGAGACGGAACTATATAGTTAGCTCTTACCTACAAGCCTCTTTTCCTCAGCAGCAAACTCTTTGCTTTGTTGAGTCCAGCGAGCCTTCTCACCAGACAAGCCATCAATCAGACTTGACGCCATTTGCATCTTCTGTCGGCAGCGCTCAGCATCCTCCAGCAATGCCTGGCAATCAAATACCAAGGAAAATGGTTTCACGATTCAAAGTGGACTTTTTTCAGACTTTTCCAAATGATACAGTCCAGCAAGTCTGCCCGGAACGTGCAATTTAAACACAGCAAAAATATTCACCCGAGCGGTGCCTCTGAACATAATGAGGAAAGAGCATGTCATTGAGATTAAAGCGTACAGCTCCAGACAGCAGGGGAGCTGGCACCAGCATAGGCTCAATGACCTTCCTGTGCTGTAATTCCTATGGGTAACAAGATTAGTTGGAAGGAAGAAAGCCCTTTAGCCCACCTGATCTCATCCTTTCAGAACACACACTTTACCATCCCCCCATCACAGCACCAAGCTGCTTTTTATATGAGAGGTAGAGACGAAGGGGGCTTTGGGATAGAGAGTGTGGTGGGACTGAATGAACGACTTTCTCTGACAGTGCAGACTCAATGGGCCGAACGACCTCCTTCTGCACTGAGTTTCTATGATTCCATACATCCAGTATCTTGGCCTCAACCACCTATCCTGCCAACCTTTCCCAGTCATTAAATCCCCTCTGGGTAAAGGAAAATGCTGCCTCAATTTAGCATCTAACAACACCCTCAGGTTTACCTGTTTCTCTCTTGTTGCTTGTTCATACTCTGCCTGCACAGTATCAAGTTCTGCCTGCTTAGCATCGAGCTCGCTCTGTGCTTTCTTCAGCTCCTCCAAGGCAATGGTTAAACGGCTCTCCTGTACGGCAAGGTTTGCCTTGAAGATATTAAGTGAATCATCTGTAAATGTCAAGACCATTCCTCACCCGGCACTTTTCGCAACGTAAAGGGATTGCATGCACTCCCCATTAAGCTTCTTGTATGAATGGTTTAAGATAGGAAATCAAGCCATTTAAGTATGAACTGATGTACTTGTTATTCTAAGAAGTAACAAACCTTAAGTGGCAAAACTTCTTTGTTTATTGCATAGAAGTTGGCCATGGCTCGAGTCCAGGAGCAAAGACCGGCTACATTGCCACAAACCCTCCTCGCAACCTCAATGTTGTAATCTAGCATTTCAAAATACGGACAGAGCAATTCCACCGTTTCCTCATTGATGGTGTCCTTGGGAAATTGCTGTGGAAAAAAAAGAAGCATTTGATGGCAGTTAAATAGAAAAACGTTCAATTGTACTAGAATCCTCGCCTCTCCAGACAAGGGAGATCTCCTTTTACTTTCCACCTTACGATGGTGCATTGTCAATATTAGATAAAGGCTATCATATCTCTCTTCACCTTCCAATCACTCTGATCTTCTACCCCACTTCTCTGCTAGGGCTTGCTGTACGTCTCCTGCCCTCTGCATGTCACAATCAGTGGCTGAGCCTGCAGATTATATGCCCCCAATCTTTGGAACTTCTTCTCTCTAGCTTTCCACTTGCTTCCCCCCCTCATCGCCTCCCCATCTGTCTTTAAATTCTGTTGGCGGGTGTGAGCTGTAAATGATTTGACTGAAGGAGCCACTTTGCTGCCGAGTCCCGTATCAGTCACCTGTAAGGCTTGCAGTGGGTTACCCGCCAAAAGCTTCAATGACTCCTGCCACGATGGTATGACGCACAATCTTTCCACGTCAACCTTCACGGGGTTCAGTTTCCGCTGGAAAAGCAGCAGCACGCAGTCCATGATCCTCATAATCAGATGGGGAGGTCGGCCAAGCGTTCGTACTAGGGTGATATCAGCCGGTTTAATGGTCTGAAACATGTTCAGGGAAGAGGGTTGGTGTGCTGCCTTTGCAAGACATCTCTGCATTATTGTATAATAATAATAATAATCCTTGCATTTAATTTAGCACCTTTCATGTTTCAAAGCGCTTCACAGGAATTACTGTAAGCTGAAGTGACTGTATTTTGTAAGTGAGTGACCAATGTTATCTGGAGGAATGTTAGCCATGACACAGAGAGGAACTGAACTCCCTTCTCTTTTCAAATGGTACCGTAGGATCTTTCAGTCAACCTGAACAGACAGATGGGAAGTAGGTTTCACATCTCATCAGAAAGGACAGGACCTCTGAGAATGTTGTGTTCCGGTCAGCGTCACTTTGAAGTGTCAGCCTACAGTATGTGAGTTCAAGGCCTTGTTCACCTGCAAGGCAGCCTCAGCCTCCTCCAACGCTGGTCTGGCAGCTTCCAGTTTCTGCTCAGCCATCGCCTTATCGGTAGATATACTGTCCACAATCGCCTGAGCTCGGTCTTTGACCTTCTGTACTTCCATCTTTACTGTCTCCGCAGCCTGAGCCTTCACAGTCACCTCTTTCAACACCTATAAAAGGACGTCCAAGGCCACAGATACTGATGTCATCAGCATAAAAGACTAGGAGAGTTGTGATAAAGAGCATGCAATAGAGAGAGTGATGGGGCATCATTCATAAGCACAATGGTAATGGATGCAAACCAAAAGCAAATTTATTTCTGCTCTCTTCAGATCTCTCTGGACCACATCCAGTTTCCTAAGCAATTCCTGTGATGGACATGATGGCAATAATTCAGATTTACATCCAATGCTCTGTGATGCTGTTTGGAGCTATAACAAAGGATTAGCAAATTGACACCACAACTTCAAAGTTCAGGTTAGCTCAAGTTTTAAAATTCCCTTTAAAATATGGCTCCTTAACCCCAAGTGGGGCAAAACTGCTTATATGCAACAGAATAAAAATCCACGATAGCAAAAAACAATTTTCAATATTTAAAAAATGCTGCACGATGTAAGAAACATAATGATTGATTGTGAATATATACAATTATATTTTAAAAAATCCTTATCCATTTAAACTTCACTTGGGTGTTGGGTTAGATATTATATTACCATATCAGCCTTGTCATTGGCAATTTTAAGCTCCTTCTCTTTTATTTCCAGTTCTTTGCTGAGAGCGACAATAGATTCAGACGCCTCCTTCAGCTTTTCCAAACCAGTTTTCATTCTTTCGGGAAAAATTACAGGCGAAAAAACAATATTAAAATAATCATTTTGAACTCATAGACACTTCTCTTTCAACAAAAGGGAAAACTGTTTTTATTGCTTGTTTTTTGTTTAAAAAAAGGCAACATTATTATTATAATCATATTCACTTTGAGGACATCTCAAAGAACTTCACGGGACTTATTGTAGAGTATAGGGACTGTATATTTTATAGCCAAATGTAGCAGCCAATTTGCACACAGCAATGATTCACAAACAGCCAATGAGTGAATGATCAATTTTCCTGGGAGATTATTGACCAGGATACATAAGCTTTTCAAATAGTGTCATGGTTCCTTTAGCTTCCATCTGAACAGACAGACGGAACCTCGGTTTACATCTCATTCAAAGGATGAGATGGCCAGCTCCAACGATGCAGGACAGACACCCTAGCACTGCATTGGAGTGTCAGCCTACACTTAGAGTATACATGTTCAAAGTCCAGGCATAGGGGTTGAACCCACAACCTTCAGGCAGACGCACCTCAATTTACCATTACATCCAAAGTATTAACAATAGTATTAAGAGTAATATTAATAATAATATAAGTATTAACAATAACAATCTTACCACCTTCAATAAATACACTACCGTCTTTTTAAATCGGGGGAGGAGGTTTGGAGAAACAAGACAAAAGATCTGGAAGTACCTCAATACAACAAATACTCAGAATACCTTTCTGCCAATGTCTGTAGCTCTAACTGTTTCTCCTGGTATACAGCTTTGTAGCCCTGAATGAAGGATAAATAGGACTTTGGTGTTACATGGGTTGGACGCCGGTATCTGTGAAGTAGAAAATCGAAAGGAATTAATATTTATGGGTTGGGTTGCAATGTTGTTCAACATTCAAAACTTGATGCCTCATTTCCTTTGCTGTTTGTATAGAAAACCAAAAGGTTTGAAAGGTGATGCTTATTGAAGTTAATCAGACTGAACTCTCCATTTACTGAGAGTTGGTGTACATGAGGCCAACATTAGAGTGTGTACCTGAAGGTGCTGTGTATAAAGTACACACTGTGGTAATTAATATGGTCACTTTCAATCCCCTGGATACAACCACAACAAAATCAACAAGGTATAAAATCATAGAGAGGGGACATTTGGCCCATTGAATTTATAGACCTCCTCTACAGGAGTTATCTTATCTAATCCCAGTTCCCTGTATCCTTCTATGTTGTTCTTATTCAAATACCTATCCAATTTCCTTTTAAATGTTGCTAGGTTCTTAGATTTAATGGTGACTTATTAATCAAGCATTAATAATTATGCATTAATATTGTGAGGTTCGTGGAAAAACACAAACCTCCCTATACAGACGTACTGTACTCTGGTCAGATATAATTACGTGAAATAGCTTCAGTGTAAGATACTGTCAGCCCAATCCAGCCTGTAATTTCTCTGAGTCTAGTCTATCTGCAGGTTTTCAGGCAAGAAACTCACTGACCGCTGGAAGTACAACATGCATTTCTCCGCTACACCATCGTGAAAGGTGCCCATGCACTCCACCACCTGCTGCTTCACCTTCAGAGTGCAGTCAATCTCAAACAAAGACAAGAAGTGCTCAGCCACTGCAAGACAAAAAAGCAATCGGTTTCTTAAACCAAAGGATAACTGGTAATATTTCATTAAGAACTGACATCAAATGATTACTGTACTTCTGTTCACAAAAACGCACAGCATATTCCACATTGGGAACAATCTCGCCTCTAAGTCACAAGATTGTGATGGGTTCAAGCCCCTTGCCCGGACTTTGAGCTCACAGTGTCGGCTGACACTTCAGTGCAGGTCTGGGGGAGTGTTGCATTGTAGCAGGTGCCCACAAAAATCAAAGGGAGTTTCTCCTGGTGTCCTGGCCAACAATCTCCCATTCATTTCCTGGTTCTTGTGGAATACTGCTGAGCGCAAATTGGCTGCCACGTCCAGCTACAAAGTACAGGCACTATGCTTTATGGTATGCTATGGTATGGTATTCACTATGCTCTGTAAAGTGCTTGAGAGAGGTCCTCCAATTTGAAAGGCGCTGTATCAAATATATGGATTATTATTAGGATATATTCCCACCTGCAATAAGAGCATCTTTTGGCCAGCGACTGAACCAGTCCATGGTGCAGCCGGAAATAAGTGCTGGGAATTTCAAAGCTTGGTTGCGGAATTTCTCCCCGACTGGTGAAAAGCAAAGCACCAAGTGTAGGTTCTGTCGCACCCGGCCCATAAAGTAATCGTACAGGTTCTCGTTAGTCGGTGGTCGCCGTGGAAACTCCTGCTTCATTACGGGAGTGAGGTCGTTGCTAATTTCATCCATTTCATCCCGAGTAAACAGATTTGAGACCTGCCAAAAAAATGACAAAGTGCTTCAGCAGTCAATTATTCAGGTGAAATCAACTCTGAACGATAATGATAATACAGAGTTTAGATACTGTTGCTGCCTCTCACAAGCCCATGGGTACAATTATTTTCTTGCCCTTTTTTCCAGTTTTCTCCAGCTCAAAGATAAACTCCTTCAGAGTGACCAAAGAGCCAACAAACCAGTTACCAATCCTCCGCCAAAGGAGATGTGGCAGCCGGACAGACTCAGCGATCTCTCGGGAATATCTTCCTCTCTTTTCTCCCTCCCAGCGAGTGGCAGCTGTTTCCCCTATAATGTGGCTGAGATCAGTAACAAAGACGTGTGAGATGAATCAGTGGCACAAACCCAAAGCCCATTATTCAGTGGCACCCCATAATGATGCTCAAAGACTGCTCTATCTACCATCTAAAACATGGCGTGTAGTTTTTCTATACTTAATAGTTATATGAATTACGGTAACACATTCATTGGCACCGACACGCTTACAGAAATGTAATTGGAAACACCCTGCATTAATAAGAAGGCTTGAGTATACAGGGGAATGGAAGCGCTGTACTCTACCTCTCCAGAAGAAAGAACGTTGTTCAGATATTCCAGAAATGCCTCGTCCTTGATTTCATTGTCTGTAAAAATGAAGGTTACTCCTTTTCCCTCCTGTCCAGCCTTTCTGTACAGCAGCTTCAGATCCTCCAGCAGGTTAGTGGCACTGTATGACCTAAACACATCCAATGAAACATGCAAATACAGGTTCCCGTTTAGATGAGTTCAAAAATAATTTTTGAGGTCAAGAAATGAACGTGGAATATAGGTATAACAAATAACCCCCAGCTCGGGTGCCCAGCCAGCAGCACTTTGAGATGTCCTCCTGACATTAAAGGTGTCATATCAATGTAAATTGTATTGCATTGTAACAATTCTAATATAGTTACGACAATTTGTAATATACAGTAGTTGTATTTTAACTTCTTCCTTATAGCTCTGAGTTACCAAAATCTGTCAATTCTTCAGTATTTTTTAACCCAACAGTTTGTTAGTATGAGGATGTACTGTATCTTTAAGAAGTATGTAGAGCAGTCAAGCTACAATAATAATAATAATCCCTGCATTTGATATAGTGCCTTATCATGTCTTCTAGACGTCTCAAAGCGCTTCACAGAATATACTGTAAAGTGAATTAACTATGTTTTTGTGGGCGAAACATGGCAACATGGCACGCAGCAGTGTCCCACAAACAGTCGTAGATTGAGTGACTAAATTATTATTATTATTTATTTTTTTAGAGGGATAATAAGGTACTATTGTTACAATGCAATACAATGTAAATTGTAGTGTAGTATATTAATAAAATTCACATCAATTCTCTTTATAGTATGTTCTGTGAAGCTCTTTGGGATGTCTCGAAGACGTGATAAGGCACCATATCAAATGCAAGGATTATATTATATATAAGGTTTTGATCCATCATTCACCCTCAAATTCAGCTCGAGACACACCTGGTGAGGGTGACTTGGAACGTCTGGTATCCAGCAATGAATGAAGCCAGTCTTGTGAGGCTCTGTTTGCCTGAGCCACCCACACCAACAAGGAGGGCACTGCCCCGAACAGTTCTAATGATGCGGGATATCTGCAAACAAACCCCACAGCACGACTGTTAAAGATGCAACATCGTCTGTAAAATCTGCTTAAAGTTGAGTGGTGAAATGGTCAGGAATACAAGTACAACAATTATTCTAAAAAGGGGCAAATCCGAACATTCAAATGCTATTGACATCTGCAAATAGCAGCACAGAATACCCACTTTCAAATCAATTACCAGGGTGCAAAGTAATCTTTACGTTCACAGATGAATTTTTAAATCTTTTGCAATGAGCTCTTCCACCGTGTACATGATCAGGTCTGAGAATTTACTCAGCTTTCCATTGCTTTCTGTGCTGTTTTTCTATTCAACAATTTCTGCGCACAAACAAAAGCTGCATCCAGCTCACCTTCACTAAGTGAATCATTGCATCCTCAAAGAAGACTAGGTCCAGATGCCCACCTCGTACACACGCGTTGTAAAGGGACATGAACAGGTTCAGCCTATCGTTCAATGCCTCAAATGATTCTATAGCCTCATAAACTTTAGGCATGTCATACTCTGCATCTTCTGGCTCCTCACCTGGAATTGGGAAGGAACAGAACCTATTCAAAATAATCCATTGACCGTTTCAAACATTCTTAGGGTTATTAAAAAATACACTGCCAGAAGCTCATTTTGCCACTGCCTACCACGATTCAAAGCTAAAACTGCATCAAATATAAAATCACCAATGTGCTCCCAACAGTCTACCAATACATACATCCTGGCAGGCCTGCAAAGTATTTGTAGCAGCCTGGGAACAATTGCCAACCAACCCAAACAGGGGTTTGGCCAAACAGACATGTTACCTACACTGCAAGGTACCATCCTTCAAACAAAACAATCCAGATACCAGTGACTAGTCAAGTGAAGCATCCCAATTTGAAGTCTGTATTCCACCCTACAAGAATATCCAAGCAGTGCCTAACCTGTAGCCTCAGGTGCATCACGCAAAAAATCTACAAAGAAGTCTTCACTCTCTGTATTGAGGACGTCTTTGATTTCTTCCCCAAGTTCGTCAGCAGCAATGTGGATTAATGTTTTATCAAACCATTCGCAGTCTTCGGTGTTTGTAAAGCGATCAGCCACCACTCGGTTACATTCGTGCCTCCAGAGTTTCAGAAGTATCTACATTTAAGAGTCCACAAAACTGTTATGCTTGATATGTGAAGGAATTCATGTCACATTTATTTTCCAAAACTTCTTCAGTCGTTTTCTTAATGCCTCTGTTACAATACACTTCAAGTGTTGATTCAGCACTGGCAGTAAGACTTTTGAGAATTGTCCATTATTTGAATATACACTATGAGTGGGGACAATTACACTGTGCATTTGTAAGGTCTCTTGTAAAGTGGCACCTAATAGTGGAGTTTTCTACCTTGGAGGAGACTAAAGTGGACACATTATCCTCCTACAAGTACACTTCTTACCAGCTAATTTCAGTGCAGAACTGGAGAAACATTCCACATGGAGGGTAGAAATTAGGAAGTTAGGGGAAATTGAAAGTCTCCAGTTATGAAGCGCTGAACAACAACAACAATAACAACAACAAGAGCGTCCTGGAGGGCTTGACACTGGCAGAGTCTGACCCCGAGCCAGGGGGAGAGGGAGGGGAGAGGTGACCGTAAGCTCGATCAAAAAAGAAGGTCTTTAAGCTGAATAGTCACTGGGTTAAAATGATAGAAACCTTTACCTCTTTGTAACATATGACGTCAGCAGTAGTATTGAGCATGCCCTGCCAAATTCTGGAGAGGTCTCGCAAGTTAAAGACATAGTGAAACTTGGCTGGTGTTGGAAGCATCTTGACTTTGACTATTTGCCAAAGTTTACGTGTAATGGAAATAAGCTGAGCTGCCAGACGCGTCACCTCCTCAGGGAATCCTCGCTCCAGACAGAAATGACCTGTTCCAATCACACCTGCAGCAAGTAGAAAAATGATTTAAAAAAAGACAGGTTTGTTTAGCTATTTGATGTATTTGAAAGGAACACTTTCACAACTGTAGAACTGTTTAATTACCCATCTTAGTCCTACGACTCACAAGAATTCAAAACTCACATTAAGGGTCAACTTTAAAAAAAATCTCATACTTTCAACCCCAGGCAACCAAAGCTGCCATTTCACCTCCAGTTTTAAATAGTTACATTAAGATAGACCATGTAGTGTCTGACAGTGACCTTCACAATGGCATGAAAAAATCCACATCAAAGCCGCTGAAACCTTGGTAGTATTTTGCAATATATGGCCCTTGACTCAGATTTCTGAATAATAAAACGCAGCATAGAATACTGGCCACAACCAAATGCAAATGGACTGGTTCAAATGAGTGGTACAACTACTTGTGTCATTGAAACGATTCTTCTGTGAATTCAATATAATCACATGTAATATTATCCAGACATTGGCCAGCTATATGCTGAAAATGCCACATGCACACATGCCTTGCGTGTATGTAAACACAATATAAGAGTTTATCTCGGCAGTTATCTGTCCACTCACCACATGTATGATTGAACGTTTTTAAAATATCCTGGAGCAGGATGTGTCAAGCTCTGTCATAAAGCCACCAAAACTCACCAAAGATTTTGTCAATGGAGGCATTGGAAGGCAATGTGCAATTAAAAATGCAAAAATGTCTCTTCAGCCGTTGAGGAACGTCATTTCTTCCTCCACCTGGGTGAATCATAGCAGCAACAAGTTGAATGTCCACTATGTGTGTGAATTCGCCAGGCTTCTCCAGGTTATAGAACCCCCCCTGCTCCATCAATTGTCTCACAATCTCATTGGTAACCTTGGAACACACCAAAAGAAAATGTTACCACAGCAATATTTCTTCCATTTGGCCAATAACAACTTGCATTGTTATTGCAACAATAACGCCCTTCACTCGGGGTAGCGGTTCAGAGAGGGGAGGAACAATCGAAATAGGTCATTGATATCATGGCTGTCTTGAGGGAACTTGCCAGGGACAAATTGGCAGTCGCGACTACACTACAGAAAACGGGGAGCTTAGAGATGTTACAGTGTGATTAAGGGACATTGTTAAATGCAAAAGTTATTTGTTATTATAATTCCTCCCAACCCATGGTGAAAGATTTCCATAGTACTACACAAAGTTACAGTCTCACTTGATTATGAATATAAAGAGTATTGGATATTGCACTAAGATATGGCCTTCATTGTTAACATCCATGATTAGCCACACAGCAATTCCAGCACAGAAGGCACTAAACTCAAGTGAGGCAATTCTCTAGTGGGAGGGAAGGGAAATGAAAAACGTGGAATATTTAAGTTAAAAAAAAACAAAGAACAATCATTCTTGCATAAGTTCTGTGCGCAAACTGGCTGCCTCCTTTGTCTACAAAATGCAGTCACTATACGCTTTACACTTTAAAGTGTGAAACCCTTTGAGACATTCTCCCGACATTAAAAGCACTGGATCAAATGCAAAAATGTTACTATCATTATAAGGTCTGTCATGCATGTTGCAGATTCTTCCCCCCACAAGGATAAACTATCTGTGAGCTGTAGCACTGGAAGCAAGTAATGGTTTACATACTGTTCCAAAGGGAGTAACTATCAATTAGAATCTAGATCTTGAATAAATGAATGAATGAATGAATAATGTACTTATATAGTGTGAGAAAACAGTTAATCCAATAGTTCCATTATCTGTGAGCTGGCACTGAAGGCAATTTGAGGTGGTAGCAGAGAGCTCAGGGAATTTGTTTTGAAGAAATCAAAACATTAATCTAAGACGTGGAATATTTTTATTCAGTTAGCGTTCCAAGTTATTCACAAAGATCAGAATCAAGTCTAAACCTCCTGAACACCTAGAGTGACACATTGGCACTGTTTCACTCTTATATATCTTGCTTCTCAGATCCGTTCCTTACTGTGATAACAGATATTGTAATGCAGATTTGAGGCAGCAAGGAACATTGCACTTACCTGATCGCCCCACTCATTAATGACAGGCAGGTTTATGTCATCTATAAACACAGTCATTTTCTTGCCAGCTTGAGGGCCATAAACATTTCCCATTCTTTTGTCCACATAGCTTTCTATCGTTCTCTGATCAAAAATAGTCAAAGCACATACTTAATCAGGAGGTAAATAGCTAATTCACTTCATGGCTATTTGTGAGATCTTGCGATACACAAATGGATTTTCACATTTTCCTACAAATACAAGGTCACTACATGTGTCAGGAAATCCATCTGAAATGCTTCAAGATATTTCAATGTCATAGATGCTAAACTACATGCAAGGATTACTTATTTCAACACCAATATATTTTGTTTGCTAATTTTTCTCCCCATGCTCACTTTTGTTACTCAAGATAGTTTTTACTTATTTTAGGAACAATAAAAATCATTAAACCCAGGAAACCCACATGTTGACTCTGAACCCCACCCTGACTTCCCACTGTAAGTCTCCATCCCTTCTGTGCGCATTAACGCATCCAGATCAATGTAAATGACAACTGAACATGTCCTCCACGTCATTGGCGTTTAAGGGCCCGTAGCCAAGAATATTCACAACTGAATATTACCATTGATTGATCAGGATATGACCTGCAATTTATTCACAGAAAATACAATGCTCAGCTATATATAGAGGGACACATGTAGTAAATTAGAATGAATTAATCCCAACGAGGGATTCAAGAAATGTCTCAAATCAGCAGAATAAAAATGAATGGTTTGCTGGTCATCTGAATGCTGAGACTGGATTCAATCTGTAACCCATAGACACTGTTTTTAGATTACATTTAATTTAGATTACAGCATTTTCTTGGATTTTTTTTCAAATATTTTTCACTGCCGATGGGCGATGATACACAATGACTTGGAATCTGACACAAGTTTCATGATTCTTTCTGATAATAAGGAACTTATTACTTCCATGTGACCCCCTAGCCATATACAGTGAATGGTAACTGGAATTGAACAATTTGTGTACTCCTTACCTGGAACATCAAAGGTGTGGTAGCGGAGGAGAAATTGAGTCTTTTTGGCAGGTGAGTCTCTGTGTTGTATTTAGACAGGTAACGTTTTATAATGACAGTCTTAGCAGTTCCCTGTTCCCCAATCAAAAGCACCCACTGTGAAAACAGACTGATTTAAAGCAACTCCTTTGATGCAAATATACACAATAGTAATCATTACATTTGACATCAGATTTCTTGTACGTTTTAAACCTTTCAGTTCATCCCAAATAATGTCTCAAATGAACAATTTTGGGTTGTATCTAACTACATGGATCATTATACATGTAGAGTTGACGTCCTCCTCTGCTTTTCCAGGGGCTCTGCCAAGTGCTAATAATATTCTTTGCATTTGATATAGCGCCTTATCATGTCTTCTAGACTTCTCAAAGCTCTCCACAGAAGTTTATTTTGTGGACAAAACGTCACAGCTAGTTGCGCACAGCAGTGTCCTACAAACAACCGTGGATTGAATGACCAAATTTTTTTTAAGGGATTTCAAGTTTGACACATTTCAATATTGTGCACAAACAATGAAAACATCTCCTTTAGATTTTGCTGGAATTAATTTCCCAGCTGAGTGGCCCAGTCAGCTACGTGAAGAGCTTTGAGACCTGCTCCAGATGTGAATCAATCAATGTTAATCATATTAAATTCTGGTCTTAGCCTCATCAATGCTTCTGTAAATATTTCCCAATATCTTCATAAACAAATAATCAGCATTAGCCCTTTGTAGCTTCCTGAAATGTTACAATGTTAAGGTGCTGTATCAATTGTGAGGATATATTTTATATAACCAGCAGCTTACCTTGCCCTGTTTGGCAATATTATGAATGAGAAAGTCAATCCTAACATTGTCCACATTAGGCACAAGGATGGATCCATATTCTGGAGTACTGTCTATAGGATAAACATACTCCTCAACCTGGGTGTTCCAATGTAACCAGTTTCCTGTAGGAAAGTGAAATAAATCTTCTGATGAGCAACAATTTATACCTCAGCACAACATGTTTATTACTTTTCACCTTCGAGGCTCATTAATGGTTTTGCCCCATTATACCTTCAACTCTACCCAATCTGGAAGAATGTTGCAATACAAAAGTGATAGTTAATTTTATGAGATTGTACTTGACGTGCCGTAAAAAAAACTTGTCATATATACTGTTATTTACATACCAACTTTTTTTAAATGCACAAACCTTCCTCATCTGGCAATAAATGTCAAATATTTTTCATAAACTTCAATTGAGAGGCTCACTGCACTGTCAACAAACAAATACACAAATAAAAATAATTCATTTGCGCGCAGCAATGTCCACAAGCAGCCATGAAGTGAGCAATTAATTTTATTTAGGGGATGCTTGCCAGGACAACAGAAATTCTTTCCTCTGATACCCTCTAAATCAATACCTCTAAATAATCAATACGCTCCATTTCAATACCCTATAAATCAATTTTGGAGGAAAACCAATGGGTTGTAAACATCCAGAGATGTGCTTGAAAAACATTGAACTGTACTCACCATCAGGTCCTACAAGGTAGTCAAACATCAGATTTTCACTAGGTACAGGAATGTCAGGCAAGTCCAATTTGATGTAGGGATGAGTTCTCAGCCAGTGCTCCATTTTTTGTCTGTCATTCAACTCAAGTGTGGCACCAATACTCCACATCAGGCTGAAGATAAACAAGCGTTCCAGGTTCTGCCGGCTTATCTCCCCCGCCTGCTCCTACACCACAAAACAAACACTAGTTGTACCACAGAGATTTAGACTATGTTTAACGTACTATAGTATCAGATTAGGAGCAGTCAAAGGCCATAGAAATTTACAACATAGAATACATTCAATGCATTTGGAAGCTTCAGAGTATGGCCTAAATAGAATTAGCTCTCTATCTTTACATGAGGTTTGAAAGTGTGTGAGAAGTGATAGGGCCAGTTCGATATCGTGAAGTATTGCTAACTAGTCACAATCAGCATTAAATCACCTGGGTCGACTTACAACTCGAGAGAATGAGGACTTTAAAGACTGTAACCTGAACTCCCTGTTGCAAACTCTGGCAACATGCCAGACATAGCTCTAGTGTAACAGTGCTAGAGGCAGCCACTGTGATATTAACCAGTGCCCACGATTTATTTCATTCACATGCGACTGGGATCTCCACAGCTGTAACATCTTCAGCCTGCAGCAGGTTAACAGTGAAGAAATTCAATTTGAAGTCACATCCAAAAGTACTGACTGAACTAATTTGGAACCGACAACAAATGTTATGATGAAAATAGGACCTTAAAAGATCACAAGAGAGACTCAGGTGAAGATAGCTCATCATAGAAACAGGAGTAGGCCATTCAGCCATGATTCTACAAGATCATGGCTGATCTGTGCCTCAAGTCCAATTATCCGCCTTTGCCCCATATCCCTTAATACCCTGACCTAACAAATATCTATCCAACTCAGTCTTGAAGATGTGAATCCCATTTAATCTCAACCTTCTAAAATACCGACCCACCACAGCATCAAGTTGGCTTTTTTTTTAAATAAAGGAGTCCTGGGTCAAGCTTACTTCCTGGTTAACTGTTCCAGTCATTGGTTACTCTTTGGATGAATAAATATTTCCTGATGTCTGCCCTGAAACTGCCCTTTACAACCGTAAACCTGTGCCCTCTTGGCTTGGATGCCTTGCCGCCTCCAAAGGTATCGTTCTGAGTTGAAATTTTCAATCCCATTTAAAATCCCCGTGACATGTATTTTCAAGACTGAAGAGCCCTAACCTACTGAATTATTGCACAAGGCCCATTCCTCTAACACTGGGGATCATCCTCATTGCTTTCCTCTATCTTAGGGCCCTTCCTGCTGCAGCAACCAGAACTATATGTGGTTCTCTAGCTGTGGCCTGGCCAGAGTATTGTTGAGTTGAAACAGCTTTCACCCTAGACTACTGCTAGATTGTGAGAATCTTAACAAGGAACTTCGATCGTGGATTTAAATGGTACGAAATACCTTGGGTGGAATGAGTCCTTGCAACATGTTAATGCTCTGCATAATAACAAAGGCTTCAAGCATTTCAATCTTGGGTTCCAGAGACTGAAAGCAAAAGCGGTAAAGCTCTGGGAAAACCGCTCCGTAGAACTCTTTCAAGATTTCAGCTTCACCTGGCGAGCGCATCTTTAACCAACTCTTGTCGAGAGAATAATAAACAAAGACGTTATGTGGAACTTGGCAATTTCCTGTTCAAACAACCGAGCTACAAAACAGAATCACGGGTCACAGCATTTTCCCCACACTCAGTAAACAGTAAAGATATCCTCAAGGTCAGATTTAGTGCATCTGGTTAATGTTGCATGTTCAAACAACTCCCCAAAGGGCCCTAAAGACTTCATTGATTCACAGGATTTTTTTGTACAACAATCAATAATTTGCACAAAACTAATTGGACACTTAAACTGTTAAACCAATACTGACGAACCAACCCTTACACTGATTCCAGGAATTGAGGCACTTAAGATTCTCACATTTATATCATAATAACCTTTAGTGCAAAATTAAAATGCAGAAACTTTTAATTTTTTTTACTGTAACAGACTTCGGGAGTGGCTTTCTGGTGGCGTGCCAAGCAATGCTGTCTCCAAACGAGCCATAGGTTGCACTCGAGAGGGAATAACACGGATCGACACAAACTTATAGTCACTCACCTCTAGAATCGGCCTCCAGTCAAGCACAGAGGAACTCATGTACACCATCCCATTCCTAGAGACCGTGGCAGGAGAAGCATTGTCAATGTTGTGCGGCTCAAAGACTATTTTGCAATTTGAAGCCATTGGGATTCGGTCTCCGTTTGCCAGAGTCAGTGTTTTGTTGTCATCGAGAACAGAATTAAGATTTTCTATCCAAATAGCATCAACAGGTCCATCCAGTACCAGCCAAATGTGTTCACCTGAAATGCATTCAACGTACATTCAATCCAAATTAATATTCATCAGTATTAAGACCACAACAGTTAGATTTTCTTTAAGATGCTGGGTATCGATAGGTGTTTTTGATGGCAAATACCTCTGTAAATATGGCTGCATTATTTAAAGTTATAATAACCATCCTTGCATTTGATATTGCGCCTCATCACGTCTTCGAGACGTCTCAAAGTGCTTCACAGAATATACTGTCAAGTGAATTGACTGTACATTGTGTGGGCGAAATGTTGGTGTGTTAATACAAAAATGTACAATTTGTAAAAGGAAAATCTCTTTCAGAAAACATAAAAGTATAATTTATGTGGTAAAACTATTCTCTCAGGGAGTTAGTTGGTAAAGAAATGCAATTCTTCATTCTGTTTTCCTGGAACGGTCTTATACCTTTCTTAGCCCTGAGGGTCTTCCTCCATAATGTTGAGAATATCCCGTCAGTCCAGTCATTGGTGGCTACATCCAGACGGCCAAACATCTGTGGGGCTGTAATTGCTTTAGGGTTCATCCGCATCTCTCTGTGAGGCTCACCACACCCTGGGCAATAAACAGCAACGTGTTAATACAAAATAACGTCAAAAGCCTATCAGTGATGCTGATGGTTAACAGGCAGGTTGTGTGCAGATGTTGCTAACACAAATTTACTGCTGCATTAGCCTATATATATATATTCATTTCAAATTTGTTTTATTTTGTAAAAGAGCTTCTGAAGAACATTTTTTGACGTGAAAGGCACTATAAAAGTGTAAATTACTGTTGTGAATGAGGATATATTCGAGGGGTAAAATTTTGGAAAGTTCTCTCTGCACCACTGGGATCCAGGTTCAAATCCAGCCGAGTCCAGAGTTATGAAAATTGTCCCCTCTTTCTGCCTCTGCCAAAACAAATCACTTTCCCGTCGCCTCACCCACAGGACCAAACTGCCCAGAATTGGTGTTTACAAGGTTGGCTGTATCTTCAAATCAGTCGGAATGGAGGGGAGAAGGAATGAGTTGAGGGAACATTTAATCAAAAAAATTCAGTCATCCTCAGTAAGTTATAAACGTGATGCAGTCTGTTCCTGTGCATTGCATCGTTTAAAAACTGCCACTTCTAGCAAGGACTGTTTTTTTTACCTATCATAGCCTTCATGAGGGTGTGAATACAAGTGGTCTTCCCAGCCCCGCTCGGTCCCAATGTCATCATCCCATGTCGGACACGCTGCGTTTCAAACAGCTGGATAATCTTCAATTTCCATGGTGCATGGTTTACCAGCCCTCCATCCTCAATCTAAAAGCAAAACACAATCTCATAAAGGTCCATGGACATCTCCCGGGGCTCAAACAGGATCCTTCAGATATCTATTTAGCACTTTTGAATGTCAATGTAACTCCTGGCAACTCTCACACTTCACCGGGTTGACATTATTTGTTTTCAAACTGTGCTAATAATATAATATAATAATAAGAATGCAACCTTCTCACCAACCTGTTTATCAATGGCAGCTTCTAATTGTGGATAGCCCACTTTATCTAACTGAATGCCGGGAAACAAGTCCTCAATCAGGCTCAGAAACAATGGCTCATCCTCATCGATCTGAAAACAACATACAGAGAGTGAAGGTTTGCGCTTCTTTTCACTTCTGCTGCAATGAAACCAATTCATGTTCTAATTCAATCAACCGGCCCAAGGTGCTCTCAGCATCAACTGCTCCAAGACTGCATGGCTCACATCAGACACATACTGTTATTTCACATGATCTTTGGGCTGAATTTGCCGCGGTATAAACCGAGCGTTAGAAGAAACTGTTTGGATACACTTCCGGTGCTCCTATTAAAATTGTGCACAAATGGAATTTGAAGCGATTTTCCAAATACCTCGGACGGCCGTTTTCGAAGAAAGGAATAGCATTTTTTTAAGGAAAATTGTTGTTGCTGTTAACATTCAGCATTCTAATCATAGCAGCTGTTTGGTAGTATGTGTGTGTTGGGGTGGGGGGGTTGGGGAGGGGGAGGGCTGGGGGAGAGGGGGAGGGAAAAATACCGTGAATTCTCTCAGACGCAATTAAAATCGATTACCAGTTTGGAGAGGTTCATGTCTCGAAGGACTCGCATGACGATGGTGGGCTCCGTGTCATTGGGGCTGGCTCGCTTCACAGCTCCCAAAGTCCGCAGGACCGACAGAATATTGCGGAGGCCAAAATCGTAATGGACCTGAAACGCACAGACACCAGTCGCGGATGACAAGCTGTTCCACAGAGTAACCGGAACGTGAATTAACGTTCTTCAATTCAAAGGGTCAAGCACAAAATAGTACGGTTTTAAACTAGAGTGGCTTTAGTGAGAGATATTCCACTTGGTCTAGATTTACTCCATTTATGTAGCATTTCATAAATAAATTCTAAGGCACCATTTGAAAGGAGAATGAAGTTTCTCCCCATGTCCTGGCCAACAATCCCGCAATTAAATTGGTCATTTAGTCCATGGCTGTTTGTGAGACAATGCTGTGTGCAATTAGCTGCCGCATTTCACCCACAAAGTACACAGTCAATCCACTTTACAGTATATCCTTTGAGTCATCTCAATGACATGATAAGGCACTGTATCAAATGCAAGATTATTATAATATTATTAGTATTACATATTTAAATACTGTCTTAATTTTGAAGCCGGTTTTCTGTAACTTATTTGTAAGAACTACAGAAAGTTGGCTTGACAGCTGCGACTGAATTCAACACTGTGCAAAATTCTGCGCACTTCAAAATGCAACAGAAATAGGGTTTATCCAGACTCAGGTGAGCTCTCTGCGATTGTCATTTATTACAGATCAGTTACTTCCCCACCCCACACAGTTCCTGTCACAACAACAACAAAAATTGCATCTTTCTAGAACTGAATAGAATACACACATGATGATGGCATGCTAAACTGTCCTAAAGGCTCCAGAGGATCAGCCTGGCACACTCACTTGTTTGGAAAGCTGCTCCTCACACAGTTTATAAAGCACAAAGAACTTGCGAGCCAGGGTGATGTTGTCTATGAAGCCACAGCTCGCCAGTTTGACACGGATGATGATCTGCCGATCAGGCACCATCATGGCCACTGACCGGAAATTAATCTTGAGGTTTTCTGGAAGTTCCTGACGCCCAGCATAACCCGGGTTCTATTCGGAGAAACTTTGGGTCAACTTTGAAAGGAAAAAGTCATTCCGACAATTGCAAATCATCGAAAATTGCATATCATGTCCAGTAAAATAATTCATTATAGCCCAATTACTACAATAACACATACAGCATTTCCACTTCTATTGCACAGATTGAAAGCAGAGTAAAGACATCTATATACTATAGACATGCTATATGTCTGTGCCTACAGGTGTCCCCTTATTTCGTTATCTAACAGTTTAGAAATTGAAAGCCAGCCCTCCATGACTCTAACCCCTGAGGACGCTTTATAAATGCAAGTTGTGGTTATTGTTGAAAGCAGAAAGACCTTGCCCTTTTTGTAGCTCCCTATTACATGGAAAAGTCTCAAAGCACTGTACAGGTATGAATGTTTAATATTTGTGTAATGTAAGAACAGAATAATCTTATGTAGAGCTACAGCTGCTATAGGCTTGAATTGGTGGTGTCGGCTTAGTTCAGTCGGTACTACTCACATTTTACAGTAAATCCTGTGAGGCACTTTGAGACCGTTTGATGTGATAAGATACAATATCAAATGCAAGGATAATTTTTTAAAACTATACTAGTTTCTAAAGCCCTAGTACTGGAGCCTAGGGGAAAAAAAATCAAAGGATAGGAGGAAAAAGTGCATCTGGTAAATACTATATACTAAGATATTCCATTCACTTTTCCGGTACAACCAACGATATAGGACACAAGGAATCTACAGCACCTACAATACAGAGCAAACATTAAAAAAAAAATATTTCATGCTCAGCAAGAATGTTGTTGCATCCTACCATTGTGAGGAAGATGCCAAACTCTGGGTTCATGTCCACTGAGTCTCTGTCTGTGAATATAAAATGTTTCCTGCGTTCCTTCTTGCAGGTCAGGATAATGGCAATCTGCTGAGCAGCGACTGAGAGCACAGGCAGGTCTATCCGGTTGAATTCGTCAAAGCAGCCCCAGGATCCCGACTGTGCCAAGCCTATGGTGATTTGAAGAGAAATCAGCTTGGTTCAGCTTCTAATCCCAGTCAGTGGTCAGAATTGTCAGACGGTTGAACATCTGATGAATCATCAGAAGAATCAGAATGGAAAGCATTGTGGTTTAAGCAGTATCCCAACCAACACTCTGGGCTCCTCAAGCCTTAGCTCTTGTCAGCCTGCACTGTCCAGAATTAGGTAAGTGTGGTGCACCCCTCCAAGGAGAGAGAGTGCAATCCATTCCAAACACAGGGACATTTCCATGTGTCTTCAAATAGTCAATTTTACAGTGTTTTACATAAATAGCAACACTTTGCATACAATACAGAGCAAACATTCAAGGTGACATACACATGTGGAACTCAGTCTGGTTTAGATATTCTTAAGCATGGTGATGGATTTCGACGTGTTATCAGACACCCGGCTGACAAAAAAAAACACATCAGAATCATAATAAGTGAACTCTATTCATTACCTTTGAAGATTCTGCCAAGGCCTCGAAAGTCCATCTGATCAGAGCAGTTAAACACCACCACGTACTTGCCCAAGCACTTGCCCATGTCTTTGACAGTCTCAGTTTTGCCAGTGCCAGCTGGGCCTGTGGGGGCTCCACCCATGTTCATACCAATGGCTTGGGCCAGGGTGATGTAGCACCTGCAAAACCATTTGCAGAACAAGTCACTTTGAAAGACACGATTACTCTATAAGTCACTCAGAAAAAACATGCACTGGGTGAGTTACTTGGTTGGAAAACCATTCGATTTGCTGGAAGCAGCCTCAATGAATGTTTTTAATACTATGTTTTTATGTAACAATACACTTTTGACAATAAAAATGCACAAAAGAAACAATTGCATCATTTAGAACTCTGGTGGCTGTAAATTCCCTTGCGAGTAGAAAGTTACGGTAAGATTTAACCACCTGGACAGATTTAAACAATTCAAATACAGCTTTACACAGTTCTGTACCTGTCAGTAAGTGGAGTGATGACTAGTCTGTCGGTGCACCCCAGGTACTCATGCTGATAACTAAAATCCACGTCAGTAATGGAGATCCTCATTTTATCAGCATCTTCACTGAAGTAGAACCTACATTGCTTCAGCCATTCAAAGTCAGTAGGAGACTTCACTTGGGTTCGGCACTGTAAGAAATTCAAAAAAATTATTAGCTATTTAAGCAAACAAAGTCTGTAAATTGTGTATATATTTCTGATTATAGAAATTGATTTCAAAATATTTCCAATAGATAATCTGTAATGAGCCTCCTCCAAAATGGCAGGATATGTCATTATGAAACTGTAATAAATGTAAAATAATATGGGCCATTATGTTCACAAAGTCATAATAAAACCAATTACCAATTCATCAAAGATATCTCTTTGATGGACGTGGATGGTGATTAGCGTCTCATACTTCACGCGCTCATAAAAACCTAGGTCTTTGGTTGTCATGTCAATCAGAGAGTTCAGCATCTCCAGAAAATATTGGTTGGTTGTTGGCATAATTTTACAATCTACTTTTGCATTTCTCAAGGCATCCTCTGCATCTCTGGTCCAAATAATCTGTATTCCAAGAATGCCAACCTATAATGATGAGATTAGTAAATGATACTTCATTATTATAACAGTGGCTGCTTATTATTATTTGTAGTTTTAACAATGAAATTATTCAGAACTTTGCTCCACAGAGCAAGTATAAGCATATGAACATGAACAATGTTCCAACACTGGCTTCAGAAGCAATTTAGAACGATCAAAGCTGAATTCCGACCTTGATTTTAGATTATCTCAATTGGTTGATTTGCCCTGATCTGATATTCAGAGCATCAGACATCTGAATTCTCACAGCTCGACCCAACTGTAGCTGAAGTTCCCAAGGCTGATCTCTGCTATGGAACCAGAGTTCAGGCACTTTAACCTGTGTTAAAATTACTCTTTTGAAGCATGCACTTTTGTTCCTTTTAAAAAAAATCTTTTGAAGATATTGTTCCAGTGGAAATAAGCTCTCTGCCAATTTATTAAATGCAAGTGTACTGTATGGATAACACGGTGGGTACAACAACATTACATATGTAAAGTGCCTTTCACGTCGGGAGGACGTCCCAAGGCGCTGAACAGTCAGGGATCAGGACCTGAGCATGAAGGCCCAGCCGTCGATGGTAGGGCGGGTAGTTTTCTAAATGCATCCTTCTCTCAAAACAACCCCCAACATGTCTATCCAGTTAGTTGGTGTGTGGCTTTCTGGACCTACCTGAGCACAGAAGGAGTTCAGGAACTCGATGAGTCTGAAGTGCTCCTCTTGTATTACGCAGGCAGCATTCCGAATAATACTAAGCAGTGAAGCATGGGACTCCTTAAGCAGAGAATTCAGCCACACTTCCACATTGCCCTCAGTAATGACCGGTTTATCCAGTTCAATAGTTTCTCCTTCTTTGGAGCTTATTGCCAATATGCGGTCATAGATCTATGAAGCAAAGATGGGATTGCACATCCTAAATGTTAAAATTGTACAAGGAGCTACATTTGCAACCTTGATACACCTCTCTACTCTATAGCATAATAGAGTAAATCTAGGATAGAATTTATTATCAAGCATACACTCTGCTGCAGATTAAGACATTTAATTGTATCTTCAATCAACTTCAGGAATCCAAAGTATTTGCTTGTTGCAAACAAATGCGTGCAATCACACTCACTTTCTCATGGAACTGGACTGATTTGATGTTGTCAAATACGTTAAGTAAATGAGCCTGGATCGTGTGGGAGTCGGAGGCTTGGCCCAGGATCTCCAGGAGGGCAGGGTCAGAGACAAAGAAGAACCGTGGAAACAGCAAGCGCTTCTTTTCTAAGTAGCTGATATTGGAAAGCAAAATACAAGGCGACGGTTAAAAATAAATCTTAGTTTCACGTTGCAGAGCTTTTAATCATTACACCCGCAAAATATACAGTCAATTCACTTTACAGTATATTCTGTGAAGCGCTTTGAAACATCTTAAAGACATGCTAAGGTGCTGTATCAAATGCAAGGATTATTAATATCATCATCATTATTATTACTCCGCCACCTCTGGAACTCCCTGCACTCTCAAAAATTACAGTGTCAGCAAAATCCGAACTCCCAACCGGGAAGTCATTGTTGTGTTCCTACCCTATCTATTTTAACAGGGAAATCCACAACACAAATGTACTGTTCATTTTAAATGTCCCCCGGTTCCAATTTTGCATGTACAACATACTACGGTTTGCATTGGAAAAGCTTCATAGAGCCAGTTACTCTTGGGTGCAGTCAGTTATTATGGGAGAAAAAAATAACAAGCAGGAATGATAAAGCCTGAAACATAAAATATGTTTGATGATAATGAGAAAAACAGCACTCTCTTTCCGAGTAGCGTCATGGGATCTTTAACGTCCACCTGAACAGGCAGACGAGACCTCAGTTTATCCGAATATCCGAATGACAACACCTCCGAAAGTGCTGTGCTCTCCCAGCACTGCACTGGAGCGTCAGCCTGGTCCATGAGCTCAAAGTCCCGACGTGGGGCTTGAATCCACAAACTTCTGACTTAGAGACAAGAATGCTATCAACTGGGCCAGGCTGGCGCACATATCTGAAGACACGGAGCAAAACAACTGGCCATTTTCCCATTGCAGGGAACAAAGTCACAGAAGTCCGCAGATGTCTACACACCGTGACGCTCAGCATCTGCCCCAGTTACAAAGCAGCACTAGCAGGCGATAGGGTTCATGCCATCTGGTTGGCAACATGTGGCGAAATAAATAAATTATACTTCCCTTATGCAATTAGGCAGTTTGGGAATATCGTATTATTAAAATATAAATGCATTCCAAATACCGCACAAATTAATACATCCCAAAAGTACTCTCAGAATGAATTGCATTTTATGGTAGATTTGGACCATTTACCCAGTTAATGATTTCTGGCAGATTTCAAGTTGCTCCAGAAGGTGGGGTAACAGCTGGATCATTGCCTCGTCTCCCATACAGCACTGAACCACGTTAGGAATTTCATGGGCGCGGCTCATTATCTTCATCCACGATTTATCTATGTTGGAAAATCTCTTCGCTTCCTAGAGGCACAGCAAATTAGTCATGTATTCCTGCCTCTTGTACAGATTAATTTTAGAAGACCGTCTATTTTTGTGCCCTGTTCACTATTGACACTGAAACCTTTCTAAAAACATTTTCCTTTTAGTTTTCACTCAGAACCCCAACACATGTCAAATCGACCGAATGCAAGTGGTAGACGCCCACCAGTAATAATAATCCTTGGATTTGATATAGCGTCTTATCACATCGTCGAAGTGCCTCAAAGCGCTTCACAGAATTTACTGAACAGTGTAGTGAATTTTAAACCGAAAGCAGCAGCCAATTTGCACACAGCAAAGTTGCACAAATTGAAGCAGATCTAGGATGTACGCAGCTGAATGGAGCAGATCGGTTTCAAAACAAACCAGAAAACTTCTGTGCGCAAACTGTACAACCTCGCAAATGCTGGTGAGCAAGTATAATTTAACATGCAAAATTAATTTGCGAAATCATCTGAGCTTTGAAGCGTTGCTTAATCTCAGTCTGTAGGACTGTTGAGTCTTAAAATTGATGATCAGGTAGAATAGCGGAAAAGTCTTCAATTCGGTCTGAATTTGGAAGCTGGTTCATTATTAAATGCTGTTTTTAAATAGCTTTCAAATTAAAAAAAATTAATTATTTAAGCTTTCATTCCCCCAATTCTGGACCATATAAAGGTTTAAGGCAAGATAAAATTATACAGGTTTCTGCTGTATGTAAGGGAACAAATTGCATCTTTTGAGAGAGCACATTCTAGCTCAGTTACAGTCCCATTTCTGTTAGGTTGAAATCAGGGCAAACAATTTCCAGTCTCTTTGTTTCTCTTAGAAACATACAGTGCAGAAGGAGGCCATTAGGCCTATTGGGTCTGCATCACCTCACAGAGCAAGATCAGTTTAATCTTGTGTTATCCCCAACCCCTTCAAGCCTCTCTCTTTCATATTGCCTGTCTACTTGAAAGCTATAATGGAATCTGCCTCCACCATCCTACTCAGCAGGACACTCTACACCCTAACTACTCTCTGGGTGAAATCCTTCTAGGTTCTCCTTTCACTGTTCTTGTGGCTATCTTATAAGTATGTCCTCCAGTCACTGATTTTCCTATCAATGGAAATAACTTCTCCTTATTTAGTTAGTAATAGAACAAGCTTAAGGGACATCTTCGTGACATGAGAGATGCTATACCAAAAATGTAAGGATTATTCTCACGACTAATCATCAGGAGCCTTTGTTTACATGAACTCCCAAGTAGACATTTGATTTCAGTTAAATTATAGCTGACCTTTGGAAGCTGCTTAGCAATATCTCCCCCTACAAACACTGCTTCCAGGTATATCCACAGGTTCTGCACAGTCATCCAACTCTCAATGATATCCGTGGTCATGGATAGGTTGTGAACCCATTTCTGAATATGTGATTTAAACGGAACGTTGTATCTATGGAGTAAAATATGTACATTAAATCATTTCAGACGAAACATATTGAAGTGATTTACGTTAGTCAGTTTTCCACTGTATTTCTCCACATTTCTCCCATCCCTAGACAGATGGCATCTCCAAATGTACTTAATGTTGACTGTATCCATCAATGAACAGATGCTGTCATAGCCAGAATGAGTTGCAGTGGTAAATAATAACAATAATAATCCTTGCATTTAATATAGGGCCTTATCACATCTTTGAGACGTCTCAAAGGGCTTCACAGGATATACTGTAAAGTGAATTGACCGTATACTTTGCGGGGTAAATAATGTGACGGTGCTATACAAATGTAATTTTGTTGTTGCCGTTTATTATCATCAAAAAAATAAATTGGTCACTCAATCCACGACTGTTTGTGGCACACTGCTGTGCGCAATTGACTGCCGTGTTTCGCCCTCAAAATATACAGTCAATTCACTTTACGGTATATTCTGTGAAGCGCTTTGCAACGTCTCGAAGACGTAATAAGGCGCTATATCAAATGCAAGGATTATTATTATAATAAATACCAGTATTTTAGAGCGTGCTTGAATTTCAAGTCAAGTACAAGTCTAGAATGATTGAAAAACTGCATCTAAATTGATTCATTACAATTGACCCTGAACCAATCACTGCTCTGATATGTCAAAATCAATCTCTCCTACCTCCAATCAATAAATTCATCTGATAAACACAGTGCGATCAGGCTTGATTTCAAAACGGATCTGGAGTGGGCATCACATACTGATACAAACAATGCTTGAGATCTCACCTATTGCTCAAAAGAGAACCAAGTATCATTAAACTATCTTCTGCAAATGCGATGATCTCGGATGTGTTATCACCACGCAGAAGTAGCTCACCGCGAGTCTTGAAATTGGCAAAGGTGAAGCATCGATTATCCCACTCCGCTATTACCTGCTTTAGTTTCTGTTCAATATCTTTCTCTTTTACAGCACTGATGCAAATATCCTTCCCAAAAAAAACAATTAAGCAGGAATCAATTCATAAAGTAACTCGACAAACATCACACGTCAGCAGTGAAATCGACTGGTCCTGAATTCATCCATTAAGGATTCAATCATGCAAACAGTGAGTTAAGGGATAAATAACTTTAACTGGCTTTCTTAATCATTCGGTTGGTACAGTTAATGCTCAAAGTAAAGAGGAGACATAAGGACCTTGAAAGTCCCTGCTCAATCCCCAGCCTTTGTTGAATAAGCTGTTCTCAATCGAGTGGTGGTGAGAGTTCAGCAAGGATTCCCACTCCTCATCGCTATCCAGTGATCTCCGATGCAAGGTGCATGTGTGGACGTTGACTATGGGGACATTATAGCTAAACAGGCCACATCACTGTCAATGCCCACATCAAGCAATGGAGGAAGGACACTTTGTAAACAAATACTATAATAAGCACATTGTTTGGATCAAACCCCATCGCTGTGAAGCACTCAGTCAATGGTATATATCGAGTTGAAAGTTTAATGTATGCAGAGATCATTCCTAGAGTTCCTTTCCCGCTTTCAAATAGGCTGAACTATGTGTGTAAAACAGTACCGCCCCTACCTTCCTGCACACGTTTCATCAAAATCAGTACACACCTCAATCTCCTCTTTATACTTTAAGAGCGGAGCCTCCATTATGTTGCAAAGTTTAAATGTTTCGCTATCTACATCAAAGTCCTGAGCTGTGACCAGGGCAATGCGTTGCCAGTGGCGGGACACCATGGCTTTGTTGGACATCATCTCTAACAAGGGACAGCTTTCGCTGAAGTCATCGATCGTCTTTTTTAAATCAAGGTACGCTGGCCACTCCTTCAACCCCCTGGGCAACTTACGGCATCTGAAATGCAAACACATCTTATCACATCTGATGAGATCAGACTCTGCTCAGACACAAAACTACGTTAAGTCTCAAAGAGTTTTATATTTTCATACCCAGAGCTCACTGTTGTGTGCTTTGAGACATCCCCCCAACATAAAAGGTGCTATATAAATGTAAATTGCATTGTAGAAATTGTATTGCAGTGTCCTTATCACAGTAATAAGATCTTGGTATGAAACTACAACCATCATCACCTTTTCCACATCACTGAAAACAGATGGATATTAAATTGCAGATCAGATTTATGAAAATAATAAAGGCAATACTCCTCTGAAAATCAGCTTATTTCTGAAGCTTACTGTGTTTTCTGAATCTGGACTATTACTGAACCTTGACACAAAGCTCTAAAAAAAGTCTTTGCCCGCAGTCACTATGCATCTAAAAATTGGCTTCACTCGAACTCACTGAATCCATGTAGGCAGATTGACTGACAGTGGATAACTGATAGTGACTGACGTTGGCAGCTACATCAAAGTAATCTCAAAAGCACCAACGCAACCTTTCAAAGAGCAATTGTCCACAAAGTAGACAATCAATTCACTTTACAGTATATTCTGTGAAGCGCTTTGAGATATCTCAAAGATGTGATAAGGCGCTGTATGAAATGCAAGGATTGTTATTTTTATTATTATCTTTTTCTTGAGCTCTAATACTGTGAGGACTGGCAATAACAATTTACCTTATATACAGTGAAGTGCTTCGAGATCAAATGCAAGGATTATTATTATTTCTGCAATAACTTTTTTTTTTAAAAAATGATTCTTGGTGACACGTGTAAAGCCAACATAGAATCTGAACTCTTTGTGAATCAATTCTTAAAGTAATATTTATTTTTATTTCCCCGAGTTTCTCAAGCGCCTTGGGGTGTCCTCCCGACAGCGACTCCTGACTTGAAAGGCGCTTTACAAATGTAATTTTGTTGTTGTAGTAAGTTTCCTAAACTTGTGAATGTAACAGAGCAAAAATGAAGATGGGTCCACGGGTGATTATAACGAACTGATGAACAAACCGGTTTTGAAAATCTAGAAGCTCGTCGTTTATCTTCTCTATGTCCACCTCCGACCACAGAACATCATGGTAGCTATTCACGGTGTCGATCACGTTATTGTACAGCCCGTAGAGCTTCTGTAAAAGGTTCAGCTCCTTCTTGATTTCCAGTAGCTGAGGACACTGTGTCATAGGCAGCCCGAATAGCTCCTCGCCATTGGTGTACATGACGAATTTGCGATAGAGGTTTTCAAAACGATTCTGCACAAGCAAAAGATTTAATCAACAGATTTGAACTGAAATCTCGATCCTTATCAGCACTGCTGCAAACGTTCCACAATTGTTGTTATGTTTCCTTCAAAAATAAACCTCAATTTTCCCCCTGAAAAATTAATCTGACAAGCATGGTTCCATATTGCACTTTCTACAACTATCAGTTTGTTAATTTTCACTCTCAACATGTAGAATTACATAGACTGGACAACAGGGAGACAAGTCATTCAGTTCAATTAATAATAATAATTAGTCTGAACCAGTGTTTATACTCAACACAAGCCTCCATCCTTCCTAATCCCTTCTCCCGTATCCCTGTATTCCCCTCTCCCTCACATGTGTCTTGAGTTTCCTCTTAAATAAGTTGATGCTTTCTGCTTCAATCATAGCTTCCGGCAGTGAGTTCCACATGCTCACCACCCTCTGCATAAAGTAAGTTCTCCTGAAGTCCCTCTCACATATTCCAGCGGCTAATAAATATAATTACATTATTTCATGCAATTTACCTGATAAATAACCAATTGGTCATTTGCCTCTTGTGGAGACAGTCTAGGCTGCATTGGTCCTCCCTAAAGGAAGAAAAAACAAGGATGGAAGTGGTTGTGAAAGGAGAAAGAGAAGAAAATTGCAACAAGTAAATAAACCACCCTGCTGGACTTATGAAAATTGGCAAACAATTCTGAAATAGACAGCAATCAACAGTGCAAACAAAGGCTGATCTTTTCTCTATTCCTTACTACAGAGAACAGCTGTAGTGTCCAGTGCTGTTACCCGAGGCTAGAGACCAGTAAATTCATGCCAGCGTTGGCATCAAAATTGGCACCTTGCTGGTCTGTTCAGCTCAATGCGACACCAAATGGTGCATTGATCCATCAAACCTAGTTTTGTTTTTGCTACTTTTCCTTGAATCTCTGTGTTTTAATAAATCTAGAGCTGTCTTATACATCAGAACAGCTGCATCCACTCCTTTGCTGTGCAGATTTCAACACTGCAAAGTGACAAGTAAAGATGTTATTGGTAAATTTCAGCTCAAACATCCAATTAAATCTCAGAAGAATACAAATCACAGCTGTTTGTGGTACATTCATTTTCACAAATTGCACATTACAGAAAAAACTCTATGAAGCACTTTGAGACATTTCGACAGAAGGCACTGTATCAAATGAGAGGATTTATTATTATCATCATCATTGCTTATTATTCTGGACAAGGAGTGTAGTGGTATTTATGCAAGAGAACGAAAGGAAAAAGATCAGCTGATTTGATGTATTTATTTCTAATTCCGCTTTAGGCAGCAAAACATAAATCTGAAAAAAAAGTTAAGTAAATGTTTGGTTTTAGGATGTTGTCTCTGCTAATTTGCTAAAGGCATTTGAACTGCTCTTTCTGTGTCTAAGATTGGCAATTCAGTGGTCATTTATTATTATTATTATTACTTGCGCCCTTCGATAATTAGCCTGAATGATCATCATGTGGGAACCTTGACAGTGAGCATCAGCACGGGGCTATCATCATTACCAGTTACAGACTCCGAATGGTGACTGAAGATTCGTACAGCTTTTCATGCCGTCTGAAGATTACCTTCTCGTACTCCTGATAAAACGTGCCGCACTCGTCTGAAAACTTTTTGATATTGGCAATCAGCTCAGTGTGGAATGAGGGCTGCAAGGCAATGAGATGGTTCTGCACTTCGATTGCACGGTGAAGTAGCCTTTCCCACGTGTAGCGCAGTGTGTCCACGCTCTCACTGTCTTCCTTGACCACCTGCAGCTCGTATTTATTCAGCAAGTTGTACAATTCCTGGAACATTTCCAAACACGTACGCTTGGTTGTGCGGCAACACAAAACGGTTCAAAAACATGCAGCAAGTTCCTTATTTCCTCCACAACAATATCACGGTAATAAAGTAGGAGTTGGTACGAGTTTCCAACAGGAAAATAAAGTAACCGGTAGGCATCGTTTGGAATTATTGTTAATCAATTGCAGATGATTGAAAATGTTCCTACCTCAACAGGCCCAATCTTTAAGTCAATGGTGATCTGCTTTTCCCGGATGTCTTTCAAGGAACCCATGATTATTCTAATATCATCCATGTCATTGACTGGATGGTTTAATTTCTTGGACGTCTCTTCTATAAAGGTCAAAACGTTCTCCATATCGCTTTTGTACTTTTCGTTGCAATGTCGGGCATATCCAATCATCCAGGTTTTGGTCTCTTCAATTAAGGCGGACTTCAGATCATCTGCATATAATTTTTTTTAAAATAGATGAAAAGCTTTACGGTGATCAAATGAGCTTTGCGTGTTCATGCATTGTGAGATGTTCGGTTTTTTTAATGAAGGACGAATTTAGGAGCTTTTCTTTTATGCAAAGAGTAATCATTGATGGGAACAGGTTACGAGGAAAGGTGATGCAGGCCAGGACACTCGACTCATTTAAAAAGCAGCTTGTTGAGGGGGAGGTTGGGGTGGGTGTTCTGGAGGGATGGGATCAGGTGGGCCAAAGGGCCTTCTTTACTCAGACCAATCCTGCAATCTTGTGATGACTATAAACGCAGGTGAGGCAGAAAATCACCAGCTATTGTTGAACCGAGCTACATGTGGAATGATCTTGTTGATAATTCACAGGAGATAACAACAACATTTATATAGCGCCTTTCACATTGGGAGGACCCGATTCTTTTAATTCTGATGTAAGTTCAAAACACAGTCAGGGCACTTCACAGCAAATCTTGTGAAGCGCTTTCAGACATCTTCCCGACGTGTAAGTCGCTGTATCAAATGTAATTTACCTTTCAGTAAAACCTGTGAAGCACTTTTGAGACACATGATAAGTACCTGGATACAGGGCAAGAGCCCCCACAAATAGGGTCTTGGGTTCAGCTTGAATCTGGGCCTGCAGATTGTAATAGAACTCGATTTGAAACTCAAATTCCGACAGCAAATGGTGATCTTTTATGAATTCCGCAAGAGTTCTCTCACGATCTTCCTTCCAGATGTGGTTGTAGCGGCTGAAATATTCTAGAATGTGACCCAATCCCTACAACAGAAAGACAGACAGACTCAAAACAATAGTGAAAGCAAACCTGGATCTCAGCCATAAAGTTCTTACATTACTTTACATGCGCTATGAAACACTGACAAAAATTTTTATCATTTCGCAAGAGATTTCACCTGCATTAAAGTTTAATAAAACAACCTAAACCCCAAAAGGTGAATGTTGGCTTATTGCAACAATTTATTTTTGTGGAGGAAGCAACTTTCAAGGGTTCTTGCTGACTTTTCTGTTATCCTTTTCTTATAGCTTTGTACCTTTATACGGTTCTTCCTTGGCTCAGAATATAAAATCAAACTTTTTTTCTAAGGGCCTTCTTCATCCAAACTAATCTTGCGAAGACACCAGGAAACATTTCTAAAGATGCATTTGAAAGTTAGCTCTGACAAAACGAACCAATGATCGTGTCTCTAACGAGATCTTTACCTTTCTAAAAAAATTAACCGACGACGAAATCAGCGACAGCAGTTTGATAATCTCCTTGTTTTCTGAAATGATCTTGTAGTAATTGTTAGTCTGCACGAGGAGGTCAGCTGTCACTTTGCCAATATTATCCTCCCCGTCTGAAATTTGAGAGTACTTGTTATTGTTACTGCTAATAATAATAATCCTTGCATTTGATATAATAATAATCTTGCATTTGATATAACGCCTCATCACATCTTTGGGACGTCGCAAAGCGCTTCACATAATATACTGTAAAGTGAATTGACTGTTTATTTTGTGGCCAATGCCGAGTCATAACAATAAACATTCATTTTCTCATAGAGCTTTTTGGATAAATATTAAGTTGAAACAGAAAATGCATAGCAGGTTAATCAGTATATAATTGACACCATTGGGAGTTGAAGTCTCAGTCAGCTGTATAGGGAATGTGCGGTTGGAAGCAGGTTTTATCACTTTGCGCTTTGCACATTGAACCAAGGCTGAAAAAGTAACAATTCTGACATTCTGAACAGGCACATTTTGGTGCTAAACTTACAGCGGTTATTAAAGTAAATAGACAGTGATGAAAAATGCAAAACTACCACAAAATAGGCATTTTTACTCCATGAATTTCTATAAAACATAATGAATCATATTATGTATTGTATATACCTTTGTGGCGGCCTTCACCATGATCCTCAAATCCATCTTTGAGATGGTCGCAATATGTCCCAATACTTTGCAACTCGGCCAATCTGTAGTCACTGATTTCCTTCTGTCAATAAAATGAACGCCTTGGTTTCTGTACATGATTATATTTTGGTCCATTTACATTTATCACCTCAGGTTTCTTTGCACATATTGTACAATTTTATATCTGTTACAGGTTATCCTTACAAATGCAAAAGACTGGGTTTTCTTAATAACACATCACTTTGAAAATGAATTTATTACGCAGCATTCCATTTAGGCAGCACTTTTCATGTAAGAGAAGGTCTCAAAGTGTTGTACAGAGATGGAGAGCGAGTAGAGTGGTAGGACGGTGAGGGTAGCTGAAGACAGAGTCAAAGAGGTAAGTTTTTAAATGGGGTTTTAAAAGCAGAGAGCGAGGGGGGTGGGAGTGGGGGAGTGGAGCGGTGCAGGGAGAGAGCTCTAGTCGGTCTTCAATAATAACCAAACCACATACGGTCGTCTTTCTTTTTTTGCTCCACACAGTCACTCCTTTGGAAACACTGACGATGGAATCGGAGACGCGGTTCAACGTGAGCTGAATTTCCTCCAGTGTGGGCCGCAATGCAATGTCAGGAATGGCGAGGGAAATGTCAGCACACAGGACCACCTCAAAGCCCTGCTTCTGACAGTCAACATCAGATTCTAGAAACAGAAAACACTGGCACTGCAATAAATGCCAACAGCCTTTTTTGAGAAGTAAGGTCTATGAACTTCAATACTGTACCTTGGTAAGAGACCACGGTTGACATCTGCATACGTTTTCTCAGTGCTTCAAGGGTATTGCGTATCACCTTAATCAGTGCTTCTTCGTTTCTGAGGCTGAATTGATTAAGCAGGTCCTTTGCCTCTTGCTGCAGAAACATGTAGTCCTTTATTCCCTTTCTTGCTGATTGTGAACCAGTGTTGGGCAATTGCACCACTGCAGGTACTTTAGTTTCCTTGATGTCTGGTGTGAAAAGCAAAACTACGTTTCATAAATCCAACTAGTCTGGTTGTGACAAAAGCCATCCATCCTCTGCCCGCTCACCACATCAAAGTGGAAGTTACTTTGCTCATTGGTCATGTGTTGAATCTTTGCCGTTGGCCATTCACAGCTATTTCAGCACGTGGTAAGTTTCAAATCTCAGACACGCTTTCAGTGGAAAGAGTTTCTCCACAGAGAGGGGAAACCTATAGAACAGATACCCCTGATTTTCTTCCATAGCCCCCATAACACAGCAGAGTCCCAGAGGCACAATAAATGCTCCGAGACTCTGATCCTCAGCTGGAGTACGCTCAACTCCCTATTGTGTGCACATTCTTCAATTTGCAGTATTGAGAAGGAAAATCCAGTCATCTGGCTTTTGGATGCTGCGTCGCTCAATCAAATGTTTGATCTTTACAAAATATCATTGATGAACTTGACTTTAACTTTGACACACGCCAATTCACGTCTCTCTGTTACATTGTGCATTAATTGTACAAAACGTGTACACCATACCTTCCAGTTTACTGTTTTCAGTATCTGAATCCACATTCAATAGCATGTTAATGAGTTCGTTGGTTGCCAGTTCCACCAGCATACTCTTAAACTGCAGTGACCGAGTCCCTTCAGCACACAGGTCCTATTGGAAAATGAGTTGATTGACAAACACACGAGTTACTTTGTGAAATTAGATGTTTATTCATCGTTCAGTTATACGCATTATGGTGTGCAATATGCCAGATTGTTCATACCTGAGTATGGTTTAAAAACTTTTCACATGTCCATGGAGTGTCCCCGGGAAATTCACAAAGTGTTGTGGTGCTCATATCCAGCAGGATATGATCTATACGATATTCAATCAGGTCATTGATTCTGTGGACCAGCAAATCAAGTTCTCCTGTGCAGCACACATTAAAGTAATTCACATTAGAGGAGACAAATTCACCATCATAAGGAGATAGAGAGAACCAAATCAACTGAAATCTATTAAACATTCCTCTTGTCTTTGATGCAACCTTTCAGAGAACTACGGATAGACTTCGCAACCATAATAAACTTCTATCCAAATTTTTATCAAAGTGGACTGGTTATCACACAATTCAAATATCCCAAAACACTTCAAAAGATTTCGCTGTAAAGAGTAGCAACTGTGTATTTATAGGCATTAATATATTAATAGTTTATGAAAGGTAGAACAACAGGTAGAAAAACTATCAGATCTATCATTCTCTTATCCTACCATTTAACAACAGGCTCTCATATATTACAAGGAAACTAAACACAGCAACAATTTACATTTACAAAGCCCCTTTCAGGTCAGGAGGACATCTCGTAGTGCTTCATAAAGCAGTCTGTGAGCTTGAGCGGGGAGGGAGAGAAAATCAAAGAGGAGGAGAGAAGGTGACTGAAAGCATAGTATGAAAAATAGATCTCCAGGAAGCCCTTCAGTAAATACTAGAATTAATTACCTAATTTTGCATAAACCTCATCCAGAAACTTGTTGCTGTTTAGTGATGTCCAGTTCAGGATTGTAAGACCAGGCTGAAAGGCCTCTTCAACTTTGTGAACATGTGGCCCAATAAGTGTCTCATAGACAGGTTGGAATCTGGCACGCACTTTGCCATACTCCTCCAACAGCAGCTAAAGTCACAACACAATTAGAAACTTGGTCCATTAGTTGAACAGTTCAGCACACAGGGCCTAATTCGTTGCATACAAAGAACAGAATTATGTTTTTTTAAAAAGTTAACTGATGAGAATTTAAATACATTCAAGGATTTAAGGACTGCATATCTATGACTACTAAGTACTGCGAACAATTACAAGGCAGGCAACTGATTGAAAACTCAGATCAGATTTTTTAAAAAAAACACAACATTGAAAAAGTTAAGTTCAACTCTGGATGCGGTAAGTTGGATCTTAAATTTCCTCCGAGGCTCTCTCTTAAAGTACAATAACAGATTTTTGCTAAGAACAATAGGGTTTCTCTACGATACATTTGACCACATTTTCGGGCTTATCCTCAAAACGTATAAGAGAAGCACATTTACGGCACAAAGATAATCCTGCATGAGGGGCTTCAGCCACTCTGCCCCCACCCTCTCCATCCCACAGTCCCTCCACCTCGCTCCCTCCCCTGCCTCCTTCAAGACCCATCTCAAGACCCTCCTCTTCAACGGTGCCTTCGGTCACCCTCCTACCCCTATCCTCCTGCCCTCCACCCTTCCTGATCCCAACTACCAGCTCGGGTGTGGATCCCTGACTGGTCCAGCGCTTTGGGATGTGCTCCTGACATGAAAGACACTGTACAAATGTAATTTGTTGTTGTTGTTATCGCTTTACCATCTCCAGGGTAGTCGCTCTTACCTGCAGTTTATTGTACATTCTTTTCAGCTCATCCCGCTTTTGCAGAAGTGCCCTGGCAAACTGAGGGACCTCCAAGCCCATTCGAGCCATGCACTCAGTCTCCCTGATCAAGACGGTGAGATAAGGATCAAAGTTCACAAGCATCTCTCCAGTCTCTGGGTGCTTCACCAGCAAAGTTGCTTGTAGACCTAGTTGAGCAGTTCCTATCTAAAAGGGAATGTAGAAACATTTCAACCTTCATAGAATTTGTTTTCGGATTCAATCCACGGTATATTTTTTTCAAAACATTTATAAGGTCACTTTTGCATAACAAATCTACACAAAATATCCTGTAAAAGGAAGAATTACCAACAATAGTTTTATGTTTTTTAAGTCAGCCGGGTGTCTGACTCAAACAGAAACCATCAACATGCATTCTTAAGAGTATCCAAACCAGACTGAGAGTTCCACATGTGTAAACCACTTACACATAATAATAATCCTTGCATTTGATATAGCGTTTTTGACGTCTTCGAGATGTCTCAAAGCGCTTCACAGAATATACTGTAAAGTGAATTGACTGTATATTTGTGGGCGAAACGCAGCAACCAATTGTGCACAGCAGTGTCCCACAAACAGTCGTGGATTGAGTGACCATGTTTTTTGGAGGAATTATTATCCCCAGAAAAGCGATCACCAATCAACTGAGAACCGGGTTCCTACTAACTGCTAGGTAAGCAGCGTCGTGTGGAATAAGGAAACTTGCCCAACATTTCGCCCTGCCGGGAATCGAACCCAGGTTTCTCGCTTGCGAGGCAAGGGCTCCACATAGATATTTCCCTGTGTCTGGAATGCATACTCTCTCCCCGAGAGGCTTGGCTAAGTCTGGAGAGTATTGGGTGCAGGTTGGCCAGAGCCAAGGTTTGGGATTCCACCAGAGTGTGACTGCTGGAGTCTAACCATATTACAACAGAAGTCACTGGGAACACGCAGTGGGTCAGGCAGCATCTATGGAGAGAGGAAAATTAGTTAATGTTTTGTTGAGTTAACATTTCGACCTAAAACGTTAACTCATTTTCCTCTCTCCATTGATGCTGCCTGATCTGCTGCGTGTTCCCTGGGACATCTGTTTTTATTTCAGATTTCCAGCCTCTGCAGTATTTTGCCTTTTTTTTTCTAACCATATATGACAGCCACTTCTATATAAACAAAGCATTAAACTCCACTAAGGTCAACGAAAGTCTCACCTGCTGCATCCAAGCTCGGTGATAAAGCACCTCATACTCCAGCAAGACTCTGCCCACTCTGTTGTAGTTACGAATGATCTTCTTTGCATCTTCAGACTGTAGGACTTCGGGCCTCTGTTCAAACAGCTCCATGGGGTCTCGGATTCGTCTGAAGAGCTGCCAAGCCCAGATAATTTTCCCAGCCACAGGAGGGAAGTCCCGTGGGAGAGGAGGGTCTGCCTTCTGCTGTGTGTAAGTTTCGGACACGCAGTCAATATTGTTACCGTAGTCCAGGAGAATCTTTCGAAGCTGCAGGTCGACTCTCAGATCGGGGATCCCAAGCCTATGGTGGGAACTCGTGCTTAGCAATTTGGGCAATAGTGTAGTTTATTTGTAAACCCAACACACAGAACTCAATTGCATCCAAATAAAAAAAGTTTCTCGAAAATCCGCAAACTCTTTTAACAGAAAGATCAATGCGGTTTAATTAATCCAACGGGAACTCAACACAAGTAACTAGATTAGAACTGCAACCTTGCACATTTTACCCACAAAATATACGGTACACAGAATATACAGACCTTGCCACACTCCCGATAAAAACAGCAGCACAGAGAGAAGCCTGACAACGAGCTGCCCACCCACAAGATACAGTCGTTGACCTCGTTGCTCCCTAACATCGAAAAGGTGACCAATGTGCAATCGAAATTCTCCAAACACCTCAACTACTGCATGCAACACAGAGGCAGAAATACCTTTGTTTATCAACTCCCTGTTAAAACTCTGCTGAAATGTTCAAGTTTAACACCTTCACCTTCCGTTTGCAGGAATAAATTTCTCAAGATTGCCTTTACACCTGTGACGTGTTCAGACTTATTCGGACTTACTTCTCAAATTTCATCACAAGCGACAAGGCTTTCTGAGTGCTTGAGATTCTCCCGAAGGTGGTGTCCATGAACTGCCTGATTTCACCCTGTCAAACAAGAGAAAACATTACACACTCACACACACACGTACAACACACACATCTTCTCACTTATTCCCCAGATCAGCGAGAAGGCACAAACTCAGCTCCTCATCTGCTTCGGACAGACAGTGGTTTCCCCTTCATCTTCTCTCCCCGTCTGTCTCTCTCCCCCTCCCAAACCGGTCACATAACTGCCCCCTCTCATCGCCTTGGCTTCCAGGTGAAAATCATCACTTGGCTGCAGGTACTGGAGAGCTGCCAGCACTCTAGCAAGAGACAGTATCTTCACAAGCGAAACAAATGGCAAAAAGAATTCTTTCTTTGTATCTTTCTGTCTATCTATCCATCTAAGTTGTTTGAAGGAATACAAACATGCAAGTCACTGATCTGTTTGGTGAAGTGGTTGTGATCGACGTCAAAATCAGCCTTTCTGTGGTCCAATATTTCGTAATCGTGCTTTTTCACACTGGATACAATTCCCTGCAAATACGAGAAGAAATGGCTTACTTGATGATCAGGAATATTCATTCTCAACATGTGTCGGGATCCAGCATTGCCAAACTACTCCTGGCAAATAATAATAATAATAATAATAATCCTTGCATTTGATATAGCGCTTTTCATGTCGGGAGGACATCCCAAAGCGCTTCACAGAACACACTGTAAAGTGAATTGACTTTTTGTGGGCGAACGCGGCAGCCAATTGCGCACAGCAATGTCCCACAAACAGACGTTCACATTACGCAACTTGTGTGAATTGCAGCCACGCACCGGGTTTAGTTTTCTAACCTGAAATTTGTTTGCCATCTGCTCAAACCCTTCGATCGTGGTCTCCTGTAAACTGGAATATGTATTGATCGTCTCAAGCATCCCAGTGATCTTCCCAAGACGTCTCTCAAATGCATCAAACTTCCCAAAGGCGTACATCTCACTGAAATCAAAAGGCTGCTCCCTAGGATTCTCCCTCATCTTTTGCTTGGTCACGTTATAGCAATGTTGGTACTCCTAAAAGTAGCAAGAAATTAGGTTAAGTCAAGAAATTAAGTCACCCTTCAGTTTGGCAGTAATATGCTGCAATCCACTCCGAGTGGAATTGTTACAGCAGTGCTGTAAGGTGCAATGGTTGCACAAGTGGGACATCGTTTTGGGCAAATTGACTATGGTGTTCATCTAGTATAATAATAATAAATCTCTGGAATTCCATGTGTAGGTGAGATGCGTGGAATTCTCAGTTTGGCTTGGATACTCTTCAGCACGGTGATGGGTTTAAGCATGCATCAGACACCCGGTTGACCAAAAAAAAAGTTAATCTCACAACAGAAAATACGCAGTCACTACACTTTACAGTAAAAACCCAGAACATGCTTTGAAATGTCTTCCCAACACTATATAAAACCCAAGGATTACAATTACTTTTTCATGTTCTGCCAAACACAGAGTTCAAAAGGTGGGCGAGATACCAGGTTGAGGACAAAAAAAAAGGCCATCCCCTCCCATGGATAATGTAAAATCTACTCTATTTTGCACATCACCCATCCGTTGTATCGACTCGTGATGAACAAACCAACACAAGTACCTGATTAAGTCTGATACAGGCGGTTAGCTTGCTAACCATGGTCTCCAGAGGCACATCCCAGATCGTAATAGTCCCACTATTGGTAATGTACGTCTTACACGCTGTTATCATCTGGTTTGTGATCTGAAACAGAAATATTTAATTGGAGGCTAACTTTCGGATCAAGTTGAATTTTTTTTTTTACAATGACATTTCTTACGCACTACCTGCTCCCAACCCCCCCATCAAATTAGATCAATTCACTGCAGGAATTGCATAATAATCTAATTGCGCTGGGCATTTTCTTTCAAAAGCTTTCTGACCGCATCAATTTTTCTTGGAATGCTTGCTCTTTTTTGTTGGATCATTTTCTCTGCAGTCTCACTCTTACATACACGGCCATTTGCTCCTCTGCCACATTCTCCTGTAGCTATGACGGCAAAATGCCCCAGGTCAAAAACTGTCACTGATCTGAACCCACGGCACTCTTCCAAAACAGGAGCGAGTTTGTCCCAGTGTCCTGGCCAACAATCCCCCAAGATAAAATTTGTCATTCATTTCATGGAGGTTTGTGTGCAAATTGGCTCCCATATTTACTTACAAAATACTTCACTTTACAGTACGTCCTTTGAAACGCTTTGAGCTGTGCTCTCGACATGAAAGGTGCTTTACCAAACATAAGGATTATTATTTTTGTCCACCTTCAGCATTGCTCCAACAGTCAAGGAAGAGTCAAGACTGAACGTCGGAAAACAAATTTCAGAGCACATCACTAATTCTGGTGATTTAAGTTTAAACTTCAAAGAAATTGAGATTGGCTAATGTATAAACACGGTTCACAAGGAAGTGTTGTAGGAACGCCCTTACCTTTATGAACAAGGATGCCATCTTTTCAGACGTTCCGTAATACCTAGAGATTGTATGGATCATCCGGATGGCATTAAGGAGTCCTGGAATAGCACCCACTATCTCAGCCTTTGGGTGAGGTGGGATTGGAGGGAAGAGAAACAAACACCCATTATTTCTACACATAATTTCTCAATGTAAATGCGGACTATTTATCACACACCAGATAAACAATAAGACTTACAGGACTACTACTATAGAGAGGGTCCCAAAATCGTTCCAGTGTGTAGAGATATTTCATGTTGTCCTTGGCTTCATTAGTTGCATCTGTGATCTGTTTATCCAATTCCTGCCAGGTCTGCAAAAAGGGGGCAAAAAAAAGCAGCTTGCTAAGAAACACAATTCACCATCACTTTACAATGCCAAGTGCCGTTGCCTGGATCGGTGGCTGTTCCTCAGAGGGTTAAGTCAAGGGACAAAGTGCTGGATGGAGGCTTCTCAGTTCACCCTAAACAGACAGGCATTTTGTGCATCACCTAATGATCAGTCCAGAGCAGCATTCGATCCAGCCCAGAGGAAGACTGAATGGGAATCATGCAGCCAGTTGGGGAGCAAGGGACAAGGGAGCAAAATGATGGGAATACTAGCCTCCGATAAAGGAGAAAAAATAACATGAAATTTATATGATTTCCGTAAATCGTTGAGCTTTCATTGCACAGGAGTGTGGAGTGCGAGAGGACCCGGGTTCGATTCCCAACAGGGCGAAACCTTAGGCAACTTTCCGCACTCCACACGCCTCTGTTTATCTGGCAGTAAGTATGAACCCGATTGTTAGTAGATTGACAGATCATTTTCCGAAGGTAATAAGCCCTTCAAAGTAAAAAACAATATTTGGTCACTCAATCCACGACTGTTTGTGGGACACCGCTGAGCGCAATTGGCTGCCGCAATTCGCCCACAAAATACACAGCCAATACACCGCACTACATCAAATGCAAAGATTATTAATTATTATTCAACCCTCCGGGTGTAAATGGTTAGCTGCACACCTTCAGCAACTTTGACTTTGCGGCTGTGATGATTCCCAGAACTATTTTAACATCCGGCCGTTTGATCTCCCTCGTCAGGTAGTTGAACCTGCTCAGACGGTGCCTCCAGTGGTCCAGCTCTGCTCGTGGCCCCACATCATCAGTTTCCTTTCGGATCTGCTCGCTTTCAGTCAGCACCTGAGATACGGAGACCATCGTCGTCAGTGCCAGAGTTTCACCCTCAGATAGTCTGAAGCGTTAGAAGACATTTAACACTCAATGGTACAAAGATATCCCTGACGGTTGGCTCTCAAGATGTCACTACACCACGCTAAGATTCTTGCCAACGATCCTCCAAATAAAATGGGTCATTCCACTTTACAGCATATCCTGTGAAGTGCTTTGAGACAACAACAACTTGTATTTTTTTAGCGCCATTCACGCTGGGTAGCGTCCCGGAGCGCTTGACAGTTGCGGAGAGCCTGTACAAATTTTCAATTGTTTCCCCCTGCAAAAAAAGAGTTCAGATAATCCTGACCTGTTCGATTTGCCTAATCCATATACTCAGGCTCTCTTCTGCCTGCTTCAATAGTTCTGAAGAAGCTGCATGCAGATAATCTGATGGCCCTTTCAATGCCTTTAACTCCTCTGCAACGCATTCTTCCAACCGTACCTGAAAACACAACCGGGGTAAAAATTTGAGAGGCCATCGACCGGAAACATTAACTCACTTTCCTCTCTCTGTAGATGCTGCCTGACCTGCCGTGCGTTCCCAGCGACTTCGGTTTTTATTTCAGATTCCCAGCATCTGCAGTATTTGGCGTTTTGGGGTAAAAAAAAAATTCCACCTGGGTTTAGAGTTACTCTATTCATTACACTTTTCAGAGCGATCAGAAGTTTGGCAAATTCTTCAATACGGCCTCAATTGTGAAGCCCGTGCTCTGTAAGTGCTTTTAAGAACTAAGGAAAAACGGCTTCAAAGACTGAAATCAGCAATTTTACTCCACGATTGGGCGCAGGACGTTGTTGTGCGCAAACCAGCCATCGCATTCGCCCACCAAACACAACCACACCGCTTTTACAGCGCATTAGGATGTCCTCCTGACGTAAAAGGATTATTATTGTCATCACTAGCAATTCAGGTGTGTGGTAAACATTTCCGCCCAAAGAAGAGAGGTATTGATTTAGAAACGTGCTCTCACTTGGCTGGACAGATTCTGCTGCGCTCCAGAGAGAGTGCTGACAAACACGTCCAGAGAATTGAGGAATCCCTGTCTAACCGATGTGGCCTTGGCTCTGTTCAGTTCTCCCCAGCCCTGGTCCATACTCCCCAGGACTGGGACAAAGGCATCGCTCAACAGCTGCTCCACAGACTTCAACAGCCCAACGCCTCCAGCATCCAATACGCTGAAACTTACTTCCTAGAAAATATAGAAGATGGAAACTTCCATTGAAAGAAAACAATGGATCTGCTTTGCATGAGCTGCCGTCACCAGATCAGCCTCACTCTGAGGAAGGAGCATTACTATGTTTGAGCCCTCGTGTTTACGTGAGTATCACAGGATCACACGACAACAAAACCGAGAGGAAGCCAAGTTCAGCACGAACATGACTAACGTACATTTTTATTCCGACCTCTTGACAGGCAGCAATTGTGTTCATTTCGCGACTTTAATTCACGGCTTTGTGCAAAATACGTGGTTGTCCTGTAGCTCAGCAATTGGCTGCTGCGTTTCACCCACAAATATATAATCAATTCACTTTACAGTATATTCTGTGAAGCGCTTTGAGACATCTCGAAGACATGATACGGCACTGTATCAAATGCAAGGATTATTATTTTTTATTATTATTGTTTGCTCGCGCCAACCGCCCAACGGAAATGCATTTACATTGTAACATGCGTGGCATTTTTTTTTAAATTAGACAGAAATATTTTACCCTGTGTATGTTTTCATATGTGACAGGTTTGACAGCGTTATTTCGAAGGAAGGTGACACATATTCCACTCAGAGCAGCCTGTCTCCCATCAGTGAGGAACAGCTTGGGTGATTTAAGAGGCTGTGACCTTGATCCACTCGGTCCACAAGGCTCTAGATCACAAAAAGCAAACAACGGTTCAGAGCACCGCCAGCCATAAACTTTCCCTCGAAGTTCATTAATTATTTATAGTAGTGGCCCAACAATGTGGTACACTGCCCCACAGTACAACAAGAACATTTATTGCGATCAGTTATCACTGAAACTTAATGACAGACACCGCTGAACTGATATTATCGGCACCTTGGGATAGCTGCCCAATGTGAAAGGCACTATACAAATGTAATTTTGTACTGTGTTGTATCGGGCATTTTGAGAATCTGTACTTCCGTCAGTTTGCATTAACTTTCGCAAAACGTTAAGAGGAAGGAATGTAACCTGGCTCTGGGTGATCGACCTCCTGGTAGAAAAACAGAAGACTTAGCTTGCCGTCCGCACTGAAAAAATTATCGATTTGTTCCAGCTGAAAGGGCAAAACAAAAGGCGTTAAGTCTTCAGACGGGCTTTGCTCCCCTGATTACTGTATCTCTCACCACCAGAAACTCCAGACACAGGACAAACCCAAATTCCACTGTATATTAGAGGTGAAAATGGGTCCTCCATCATTTCCTAAATTCCTTTAAATTGCACCAGCGACAATCACTTACATCAGGAGGACATCTGGGAAAAATTCAAACAGCTGAAAAATTCGGCACCCGAGCTGGAGGGAGCAGGGGGGGGCGGGGTAGGGGGGGGCGGTGAACAGGGTTGGGGAAAAGGTAACTGAAAGCGCGGTAGAAAAGTCTTCAGAGGTGGGGAGCAAAAGGGGGGGATTTGCCAATTGACAACGAGGAGACTCATACACGGCTACGCAGAGGGTACAGTTAAACAGCGGCCGGAGAGCATTCTTACTTGAGTCCCTTCCAACATAGCATCTTCAATGTGGGACCTGGTGAGGTGGACACATGTTGCCACGATATCAAAAATATATTCGTGTCTGCTGTCCAACCGGGTGCGTTTTCCTTCCCGTTGCTCCCTCAGCTTGTTCTGCAAAACCATGTGAGAGTGGAAGCTTCTGCTCGCAAAGAAAGGACTTCTCCCCTCAACGGTGGAGCAATTCATTTACTTGAATCTGCGTTTTACCACGATGAATAATGTGTATTTTTGTAAGATTTACATTTGCTGAGAATAAAACCTACTCGGTGGACAAAACAGACGCTGTATTTTTTTAAAAAAAAACCGTAATTGTCGGTGGTTCTTGTTATGGTACAGGGAGTAAAAGGCTCGTGTTAATTGATGTTCTGCGGTTGTGCTCCAGGTTTAGCATTTCACTTGGTGTTTGGTGTTGACGGCACGATTGTTCCTGCTCCCGAGCCGCAGGAAACTTAATAACAGACACCGCTGAACTGATATTTCATCTGAACAATGCAAGCTCCGCAAGGGCACGTTAGCGGAACGTAAAAGATACATCGTTTTAACCTTTTCCTCTTGGTGTCACGAGATGAGACTTGTGTTCAGGCCCCCACGCAATCAGTAGCCTGGTGTGGAGCCGTCCACAGGGCATAGACACTTATTAAAACCCGTGACGCTACAAATCCGATCTAATTGCACTGCCTGTCGGTGTTACTGTACTGGCGATGAGCAGAGAGGCCACTGTATAAGATACAGTGACACGTAGGAACGAACGCAGGATTCTACCCATGTGTACCGGCAACACTGCAGTCTGCTTCTCACCACTTTATGATGATGAATTGCACCATCAGGATCTGTCGTCAGTGTATAATTGAACAAAACCATTAATATTTAAATGCAGAAGCTTTCTAATTAATTCATGAATGAATTCACCAGGTATTTTATTTAAACACAAGTAACAAATAACTCTCGTCTGTTGATTAAGGCATTTTCGGGCACAAAATATACAGTCAATTCACTTCACAGTATATTCTGTAGAGCGCTTTGAGACGTCTCAAAGGCATGATAAGATGATGTATCTAATGCAAGGATTACTATTATTATTTATTATTATTAAGCAAGTAAACTACCCGACCACATCCTATTTGTTTCGTTTTCTTGTTGTTTGTGACATTGTTATCTGAGCAGGATACTTGAAGATATACAGAGGAAAAACAAAGGGAGCAATCTAACCAGCAGTTTAACAAAAAAGGACGACATGAATACTGGGTATAAGAAACAGTTCACCCCCACAATAAACTCCCTTCTCCCAAATTATTATGGGTTTCTATTAATTTCTCCCAGTTACCCCTTTAACCAAATCTCCCATTCTCTTTATTCTCATTTTCTCACACTCCTTTTTCCTTCCTCCCAACTCCTTCGGTCGTTACCTGTTTCTCTTTGGTTTCCATAATCGAGACCGCGCTGAATGTGGGCACCTCAGCCCCCGAGCGTAGAGAATCTCCGGGGGTGATGGTGGGGGGGGGGGGGGGGGAGGAAAAGAAAGTCCGCTGGAGTCTCCCATTTCATTGTAACTCAATGCAGGTAAACGGCAGGTCACGTGAGCTCTGTTAACATCCTCATCAGTCAATTCAACTGTCTTATATTTCTGGCAGTGAACAGCTGAGCTCCACTGTTCACACAAGATCGATTATTTTAAAGTACGATGCAGATTGCAAACACTTAAAAGCTTTCTTCGGGGCGAGATACATCAGCCAAATCACTAATTTGGGTTTTAAGAAGTCTTCGTACATCTGTGTAAGTAGTAGTGGACTCGTGGCTTAACTCCAGAAGGTTAGACACTAACAAGAGGTTTTGTAGACAAACAATTCCTCCTAAACTTCAGTGTTTAAAATTTCCATATCTAATGAATCTAATAAACAAAGCTTTGATCTCTTTATATTTACAACAACAACTTGCATTTGTACAGCGCCCTTCACACAGGACGGCGTCTCCGAGCACTTTATTTATTTATCAACATCATTACAGCAGATATACAGCCAAACACCCATTGGAGGCCAGAGGATGGATTTCTAAGTGAGTTATTGCCACCTGGTGTTTTCGTAATATAACAATCGTGTCTTACAGCTCTTGATATTTCCAACGTTAGTTATTACAAGTAAATTTCCACTATTCATAAAAAGAGAATTTTTGCTGATCTCCTGACCAATAATCTCCCAGATAAACTTGTGACAATTAGCGAGACACGACTGTGTGCAAATTGGCGGCTACATTTGCATACAAACACAGTCCCTGCGTTTTACAGTTAACCCTGTGAAGGGTGTTGAGGCATTCCGAGAGGGTAAGAATGATTGAATGATTATTAGACACACCTGAAACTACCCGCGAGTGAGGGTGACTGGATGGCAATCAGGTTTGCAAACACTCAGCAAAGCTGTGTCGTTAGTCGTCCACCAGAAATGGGCAAACCGCTCACGCCTTGGAATATTCCACCGATAAACGTTGGCTATTCGTTCATTCGACCCGTGGGCACCAAACCGCCATCCTGATACATAGATACATAGACATAGACACAGGAGTCGGCTATTCAGCCCCTCGAGCCTGTTCCGACATTTTACATCTATTCCTCAAGTCCAGTTGTCCCTTAATATCCTGAACTTTATCCACTAAATATGTCAACTTCGAACTCACGCAAACGAGAGGAACTGTTCTCCCAGTGCACGACGGGGCCGGGCTTTAAAAGAGCCAACGCAGACACGATGTGTGGGGAGGAGGGGGTGGGCAATGGGGTGAGTGATGGGGGGGGTGAGTGGGGCTGGTGGTGGTGAGTGGGGGTGTGGGGGGGGTGAGTGTGGGGGGCGTGGTGAGTGGGGGGGGGTTGAGTGGGGTGGGGCGATGTGGGGGGGTGAGTGTGGGGGTGTGGGGGGGGGGTGAGTGTGGGGGGTGAGTGTGGTGGTGTGGGGGGGGGGTGGAGGGGGGGGGTGGGAGGTGGTGTGGCGGTGTGGGGGGGGGGGGGGGGTGTGGGGGTGGTGGGGTGGGGTGTGGGGGTGAGTGAGGGTGTGGGGTGGGGGGGGGGGTGTGGGGGTGGGGGGGCTGAGTGTGCTGGTGCTGGTGCAGTGTAGGAGGTGTAGTGACTGGGGGCTGCACCCGTGCGGCCAGAACTCCCGGAGCACGTGAGCGGCAAACCCACAGCGCCGCCCAGCGGCCGCTCCCCGCTATCGCAGCGCCGCCCAGAGGACGACGCGTGGCGGAAGCGCTCCCAGGCTCTAAACTGTGCCACCGGGGGCCGGTGAGCGGGTGCGTGTGTGTGGGGGGTGAGGCCGCGGTGTGAGGTGAGGAAGGTACTGCCGGTGGTGGGGGTGTGGGGGGGGGAGAGGCGCTGCTCGGAGCGCGCGCGGGCGGGCGGGCGCGGCCTAGTCGGCAGTTGAAGCCTCGGGCTCGAGTGATTGCGGAGGCGGAGATTCTCAGCCGAGTCTCTCGGACACGTCGGTCGCCTCCGTCCCCTCTCGTTGGATAACGACGACAATGACAATGATGAATAGATGTCATGAATAACAGTGAATAATTATAATTCACAATAATAGACGTAAATAATAATAACGATGACGACGATGACGGTCGCGGCGTTGGATCCGGAGCCTCTCATCGGGTCTTCTTCTCGACGCCTCAAAAGCGCTGCGCGGAATGGACGGTCAAGTGGACCGACTGTATATTTCTTTCTGGGCGAAGCGCGGCAGCCGATTGCGCACAGCGGCGTCCGTCCGTCCCCCCACAAACAGCCGCCCCCCCCCACACACAAACAGCCCCCCCCCCCCCACACACAAACAGCCGCCCCCCCACACAAACAGCCCCCGCCCCCCCCACAAACAGCCGCCCCCCCCCCCACAAACAGCCGCATCCCCCCCCAAACAGCCGCCCCCCCCCACAAACAGCCGCCCCCAACAAACAACACCCGCCACCCACAAACAGCCGCCCCCCCACAAACAGCCGCCCCCAACAAACAACAGCCGCCACCCACAAACAGCCGCCCCCCCCACAAACAGCCCCCCCCCACAAACAGCCGCCCCCCCCCACAAACAGCCGCCCCCCCCCACAAACAGCCGCATCCCCCCCCAAACAGCCGCCCCCCCCCCACAAACAGCCGCCCCCAACAAACAACACCCGCCACCCACAAACAGCCGCCCCCCCCACAAACAGCCGCCCCCAACAAACAACAGCCGCCACCCACAAACAGCCGCCCCCCCCCACAAACAGCCGCCCCCCCCCACAAACAGCCGCCCCCCCCACAAACAGCCGCCCCCCCCCACAAACAGCCCCCCCCCCCCCACACACAAACAGCCTAACCCTGAAGCGGCCAAATTATTATTGTTTTTTTTTCCCTTGAGGGATTACTACAGTATGGAAACTTGCCCACGGTCTGGCCCGGCCGGGAATCGAACCCAGGTCTCTCGCTTGCGAGGCGAGTGCTCCAACCACTGAGCTACAGGACTCCAGAAATCCCAGAGACAGATTGTTGGGATGGGATGCCACACCCTCTCTCTCTCTCTCTCTCTCTCTCTCCTGTTTTGCCTAATTCAACGACGAAAACATATCGCGTCCTTCACGCAGGACAGCACCTCGGAGCGCCTCAATTCCAGAGAGTATTAGGCGCAGGTTGGCAGGAGCCAAGGCTCGGGGACCCCCCCCCCCCACCCCCAGAGCGAGCGTTGGGGTAACTGCTGGAGTCTAACCAGCTAAACCCACGTAGCTTCCCATTGATGTCGCTGTCTGGCCAGCTTTCCCGCTGCTTGTCCGGCTCGGTCCGCCCGACCTGTTCGGGGTTTGGCTTCAAAAGGAGCCGAGTGGGAGGATTCCCAGCGCCCCGGGGACTGGTTTGCAATGAAGCTCCTTTTCCTTCCTCCTGCGACCCTGAAAAACCTGCCAGCTCTTGGCAGTTTTGGCCGGGACGCTCGACATGTTTTTTTATATATAAAAAAAAGCTCAAAATAATGGGAAGGCGGTCGGGTGGGTATTCTAAGAGAATGAGATCAAATGGGCCTTGTTCATCCAAACCAATCTTGTGAGTAAATTTGCTGCTTCTCTTGAGTCTACGGACATAATAACGACGACATAATAATAATAATAATAACTTGTATTTTATAAAAGTAATACATTTGCATCTGACCTCGTGTTTTCCTTTAAGGGTGTATATTTCCTATCGACGTATTGAAGTGTTGAATTTGAATTATTTGGATGTGTCTGGGCAAGCCACGACCCACCACACCCAGACACAAGTTTTAATGCTGATATCTGGAGTTAGTTCACTCAGATGGTTTCCTCATTTGCAGTTTCGATTGCCAGTTGTCAGGGTCACAACTTTTATTGAACAAAAGGCTTTTATTGAAGCCAAAGAGCACGAAAAAGATGTTGCACCATTTTCCCATTTGGTATGTTGTTGCTGTTTAGTGAGAAGCCTAGCCTAGGGTCTGATTGTCCAGCTCCTTGGGATGTCCTCCCGACATGAAAGGCATTATACAAATATAATTTTGTTGTTGTTGTTGTTGACACTCCAGCACAGTGCTGGGGGAGCACTGATTGCTATCCTATAGATGAGACGTTAAACCGAGGTTCCGTCTGCCTGTTCAGGTGGACGTTCAAGATCCCATGGCACTAATTGAAAAGAGAAAATAATTGAGGGACAGAAACTGGACCAAGTCTTAACCCTTAAGACCACGTTTGTCTTAATGTTTAAGATTGAGTTATCCCTGGATCAGTTGGTAGCATTCTCGCTTCTCAGTCAGAAAATTGTGGGTTAACGCTGTGTGTCGGGACATTGAACTCGAACAGTCTAAGCTGACATCCTAACGCAGAGCTTGTGGAGTGCTGGTTTGCCAGAGTTGCAGTCCATCAGATGAGACATTAATAATAATCCTAATAATCCTTGCATTTGATATAGCGCTTTTCACGTCTTCTAGACGTCTCAAAGCGCTTCACAGAATATACTGTAAAATGAATTGACTGTATATTTGTGAGCAAAATGGTTGTTTGTGGGACATTGCAAGTCAGCTACCACTTTCACCTCCTGAGTACACAGTTACTACACTTCATAGTAAATCCTGTGAGGCTTTGAGGTCTTTTGATGATGTGAGAGGCACTATATTAAATGCAAGGATTATTTTATTACTAGAAAATGGGGTGGATATGATTAAGGATCTTCTCGATCCGGAACAAGAGAAGCATTGAGCAGAGGGAAAAAAAGACCGTTTTAGAAGTTGCGGTGGTGAAAGGGATTCATCAAAGCCAATAGAAAAGCAGAGAAATGAAGGGAATCTTTGCAAGTGCTAGGGACACGTTTAACAATATGTTCTGTGTTTTTGTTTTTACAGAATGATGTATAACTTTTGCCCAGAATGTGGCAATAAGATAGAGGCTGATTTCAATTTTTGCCCAAATTGTGGAGTAAAGATTCCTAAGACTGAGGAGGAAGTGTGTCCCACTGTCACTCAATCTGCAGGATCTCCAGGTTTGTATTCCACTCCAGTTTCCTCAGCTCCTCACCACTAATCAACCTAAACCCAAAGGACTGATAATGAGAGTAATGGCATCTGGATCTGTGAGCTTCCGTGAGGTTTCCTGTCTACTTTTTGTTTTTGCTGTGGAGCATCTCGAGAAAGTGCAATTGCAGTATTTTTCAAATGTGTATTATCCTTGGTTTTTTTTTGCTTCAGCAGCAGAGGACATCAATAATTAGAAATGGTGCAGTTGAAAGAGGCCAGTTTTAATGTGACTTACTTTACTGCTAATGTTCCTGTCTCGTACCACATCATCATTCACAACCATCAAAGCTTACTTAGCTTAAGTAACTGAGTTTTTAGTGGCAACTAGCCTTTGGACTCAAACTTTGTTGTGGTTCACATTTTGAGAACAATACTACGATAGTAAACGTAACAGGCTGTTACTTTAATATGTCACATATACTGTGTTTATAGATGGATAAAGAAGGCCCTTTTGTCCTCATCCTTTCAGAATACCAACCCGACTTTCATTGTCATTTTAGCTCTGTCTCCACACAAGGTGAAAGAAACCAAATTAAAGGCAAGTCCTGCAAAAAATATCCTGTCTCGATCGTTATCCAGGAGGCCAATAGCTTCTCCAAAGAGAAAACGAGAAGTTGAAGAGAGAGGTGGAAGTTCTCCATCCACAGCAGGTAACCACTTATTGTGAAATAAGTGAAGTTGAACAATAGCAGAAAATAGCTGAAGAGCCTAAGTAGAACATCATTGTTTTTAGCAGAATGTCTACGTTCTGATGATTCTGGGATCGTGAATTAAAACCTATTTCATTATTACACAGAACAGCCCAGGAAGCCCATTCCCTTCTCCCTCACGAATGCATCAAGCTTTCTCTTAAATATGTCGATGCTTTCCGCTTCTACCACAACTTGTGGCACTGAATACTATGTTTTCACCACCCTCTGCATAAAGACATTCCTCCCAAAACTCGCTTTGAGATCTGCTAGTGGCTATCTTATATTTATGCCCCTTTGGTTTGGGCTGATTAACAAGTGGAAACAACCTTATCAAAGTCCACCTTATACTGTAGAATACATTCATCATTTTAACCACTTCTCGGGTTCCTTCTCATTTGTCCCATCTCAGGTGTCAGCGCCTAGCGCAGTTGCTGACACTCTTGCCTATTAATCAGAAAGTTGTGGGTTCAAGGTCTATGTCAGGTCCATGTCTAGGCTGACACTCCATTGCAGTATTGCATTGTCGGATGTGCCATCTTTCAGGTGAAATGTTAAACCTCGGTCCCGTCGTATTTGATATTGCGCCTAATCATGCTAAAACATCTCAATTTCACATCGGATTTCACAGTTTTCGATAAACTCGTGACCTTATTTGTAGGCACACGCTACAGTGCTATCCATCAATCTGTATCCACACAGGATTGTGAGATATTTATGGTAGCTTTACTATTTTGGAGTTGGCCTGCGCAGTCGTTTGAGCACACAGATTGGGTTTAAATTAGCTGCCGCACTGAAAGTGTTCTGTTATTAAGTGACTGATTCTTGGTATTTTCTCAGTTGTAAAGAGCCCCAAAGGAAAGCGCCACAAATACATTCCATTGACACCAATTTCAGAAAATGAAATCCTGACTGACCAGAACAACAAGAAGTGGAAACTTATCAAACTTCTCAATCAGGATGAATCTGGACTCCTCTATTCAGGTATTCTTAATAATAATAATAATAATCCTCACATTTGATATAGCGTCTTATCACATCGTTGTTATGTCTCAAAGCACTTCACAGAATAAATAAAGTGGATTGACTGTGTATTTTGCGGGCGAAAATGCGGCAGCCAATTACTATTATCCTGTTGCACAATATTTAGATAGAGTTTAAATAATTTCTCAACCATCTTCATAGGTACAGTATTGATTTGTATTTTCATATCGAAAATCATTCGAAAGTCAAGTAGTGGATTGCTGAAACTAGCCTTAATTTGGAAAATGTGCAATAATGTTTAGATAATTCATATCCATGATTCATATTTCGTGCAATAGAATATGTGCATTGCATTTATTTGACTCGAGGAGCCCTATGTACTCNTTTTTCCTGCCACTAACCCCCCACCCCCCGCCCCACCAAGGAATAGTTTTAGGCTTGGTACTCATGTTATCGTCTGAAAAGAGTGTAGGGCTGAATTGACTCACCTTGGGCTGAGCAACCAAGGGTGTCAAAATATTCATTCCACGATCTAATGAGAAATGCCCTAAAACCGTTGATTACAATTGGTTTTCATATAATTTTAATCCGCTAATATTTGCAGTATTAATGCATGTGGCCTTTTCTTGTTGAAACCCCCGTTTTAACTGCTGGAGACTGCAGTTAAGTATTTTTTCCTGTAAGAGAAATGCTGGTTGTGCAATTGGTGTCTCTGCCCGTTGGTCCCTCACACGCACTAAATGTCGAGTGGCCTTTCAGCTCCACCACATTTATCATCGACTGGAATTTTATTAGTCATTGATCGTTTTCTTGAAAGCAATGCCTTGGATGAAGAAAATTAATAAGTTAATGTTCTGGGGTATGGATAATATATATAATAATCCTTGCATTTGATGTAGCGCCTTATCGCGTCTTCAAGACCTCTCAAAGCGCTTCGCAGGATGTACTGAAAGTGCTGTGTGTATTTTTTGGGCAATCACAGCAGCCAGTTTGTGCACAACAATGTCCCACAAACAGCCCTGGAGTGCGTGACCAATCTGATTTCTTTTATTTCAGCAACGGCTTCTGCTGCCTCAAAACAATGCAGCTATATCATCAAAGTAGTAAGTGATCCTCTTCTTGAATTTCCAGAGTTATCATGTGTTGCAGCATTTATAAAGGGATTTAAAGTGACACTTCAATATAGTGTGGGGGGTGTTGGAGGTGCCGGCCTTCAGATGAAACATTAAGCCAACTGTTCAGGTGGACTTTGAAGATCCCGTAGTGTTATTCAAAAGGGAAAGGAGTTCTGGCCATAAAATTGGTCACTTAATCTGCTGTCTGTGGGACATTGCTGCTCGCAAATTGACTGCCGCATTCACCTGCAATATTCAAAATTACTTTACAATATATCCAGTGAAACCCTTTGAGATGTCCTCCCTGTATAAAATGTTGTTATTATTTACAATACTGCATGCTGAAGGTCCCGTGTGTATGTGTTTTCAGGACGCAAAAGATGGTAGAATATTCAACGAGCAGAATTTTCTCCAGAGAGCTGCAAAGCAGAATTCAGGTAATTTTCTGACTGCTAACTGAGGAAAGAAAATTGTAGAAAATTAATTAGGAACCAGTGTATCTGGCTCCGCACACGGTTTTGCCCTCACACTCCCAAGTTAAATGGTTGGTGTACACAAAAGGTTTACTTACACAACAGTATCTGTGTTCTCAGAATCAGTTTTGTGAAGCATTCTCTTCTTTTGTGGCTATTTATAGCAACAACTACAAGTGGTTTTGCTGATGTTTAAAGAATTGTCCAGTAAATAATGTACAACAAAGCAATTCTTCTTTACCCAGGAGTGCTTAGTATTCAGTTCTCTTTTTTTCGCCCGATCATTTATGTAAGAATATTAATAGCAAATACAGTACAAATTTATATCACGCCTTTCAGGTCGGGAGGACATCCTACGATGCTTAAATACAGTTTAGAAGAATCAGAATATATATTTATCTCCATAATTCAGAGTTCAAAGGGTTCCTAGTGTGTCTCACACACGTTTTCTTTTATCAGTTGAAAAATGGATGAAGTCTCGTCAGATGATGTTTCTGGGAATTCCCCCATGTGTTGGCTTTGGATCCCATCCAGATAATTACAGGTTAGTTCATGTACCAACATGTGTGTGGTTCTGTTTGGGGGGTGGGGGGGGGAGAACTGCTTTTTAACTTTCTTTTATTGACCTTAGAGAGCCAATCAGAATGTATTTTACAACAACAACAACTTGGATTTATACAGCGCCCTCCACGCCGGACGGCGTTTCAGAGCGCTCACAGTAACGGATCCCGGGGCCGAGCCAGGGGGAGGGGGAGGAAGGTGACCAAAGGCGCGATCGAAAAGAGAGGTCTTCAGCAGAGACATGAAAACGGGAAGGGAGGGAGCGAGACGAAGGGAGTGAGGAAGGCAGTTCCAGACCCTCCGGGTATAGTGGCTGAAGGCACAGCCGCCGAGGGTGGAGCGGAGGACTTGGGGGATGAGGAGGAGGCCAGACCCGGAGAAATGAAGGCAACGGGTACTGTTTTGAGGAGAGAGAAGGTCAAAGAGGTCGGGGGGTGCAGAGGAGTGCAGGGACTTGAATACAAGGATGAGGATCTTGAAATCGATCCTCTCAGGGATAGGCAGCCAGTGCAGTCTGGCCAGGACTGGGGGGATCGGGGAGCGGAGTTTCGTGCGGTGAGAATGCGGGTGGCAGAGTTTTGAATGATTTGGATTTTATGGATGGTAGTGGAAGGGGAGGCCGGTGAGGAGGGCGTTGGAGTAGTCCAGCCGAGAGGTGACAAAGGCATGGACCAGGGTTTCAGCGGCTTTTGGAGAGAGGTATTGGGGAGACGGGCGATGCATCTGTGGTGGAAGAAGGCGGTGCTGGTGAGGGACCGGATGTGGGGGAGGAAGGATAATTGGGGGTCGAACCTGACGTCTAGGTTGCGTACGGGTTCGGAGAGTTTTAGGGGGAGTTTGGGTAGGTGGAGGAGGTAGAGCCGTGAGATTTTAGACGTTGACGAGAGCCAAAGAGTATGGTTTCTGTCTTGTCAACGTTCAGCTGAAGGAAGTTTGCGCTCATCCATCCCCTGAGGTCTGACAGGCAGCTGACAGAACATCAGGGGACTGGGGGTCGCAAAGAGAGGTGGAAAAATAGAGTTGGGTGTCGTCCTCATACGTGTGGAAATGTACCCCATGTCTACGGATGACATTCCCAAGAGGGAGCATGTAGATCAGAAAGAGGAAGGGGCCAAGGATGGATCCTTGGGGTACCCGCAGGTAACCGGGTGAGAGCGGGAGGAGAAGCCGTTTATGCATTTTAAAGTACAGCTGATTCTGATTTTGTTTTTGTCCAATTAATTTTTATTCAGTGGGACATGTAATGCATTCTGAAATTTAGATGTGTTGTGCAACTACTTCTATTTCCTTAAATAAAAGGTTGTGTTGTAGAATCCCAGTGATTGAGCATCTCTGTAACATTACTTTTTATTCTCCTTGTTTTGAAAGTATTACCAGTTTGAGGATACCTTCAAAAATATTTATGTTACAAGGTATTTCGTAGCTATTGGTGTTGAATACAATTTAACATATGGAGAAGTCTGAAATAATTTCAACCCACGGTTGATTTGTTTAGGTTTCTGGTGTTCCCAAACTTTGGTAAGAACCTGCAGACTATCCTTGAGGAAAGTAAGAAGCCTTTGTCTGAGAAAGCAGTTCTTCAGCTGTCTTACAGAATGGTGGGTGTGTTTCCTTTATAATTCTGACTTCTATATTTAGCTCCTGGTTGGATTTTTGTAATGCAACTCCTCCCTGATCTCCCTCGCCCCACTATCATAAACTTCAACTCATCCAAAGCTCTGCTGCTCGCGCTCTCACTCACACCAAACTCTTCATGTCCATCACCCCAGTCCTCGCCTCCCTGTCTCTTAGCGAATAAATTTCAAGGTCCTTTCTATAAATCACTTCATGCCCCAGTGCCTCCCTATCTCTCATCTCCTCCTACCTCATTCCTCTGCTCGCCTCCCCTTTCTAATCGGCTACCTTTAGCTTGTGTGCGTCCCCGCCCTAGCCACACCACCATCAGTGTCTGGGATTTCCAGTTCCTCACCCTAACCACTGGAACTCTCTGTGCCAATCTGTCTTGCCCGTCTCTGTCTGTCTTCAAGTCCTGCCTCAAAACCCCTCCGACTGTGCCAATGATCACCTTTGCAATCCCCATGCTCAGCCTCCGTCCCAGCCACTGTCAAACACCCCAGAAATTTCTCCCAAGAGATGTATTTTGATAATCAATTAAAATTTTCCACCTTTGTTAGATTGATGTACTTGAATACATTCATGAGAACGAATATGTGCACGGTGATATCAAGGCAGAAAATATATATGTGAATCCATCTGACCTGAAACAGGTAGGAGACCTCTCAATGTCGAACAATTACATGTTTTTCCTGATAAATGTTAATTGGAATTCCAATAGAAGAAGAAGAATCCTTGCATTTGATGTAATACCTTTAACACCCTTTAACATCAAGATGACATCTCAAAGTACTTCACAGGATTTACTGTAAAATGTATGTTGGTAGCACTCTCACCTCTGGACTAGAAGAATGTGGGTTCGATCAGAGAGTTTGAGCTCATTGTCAAGACTGACACTCCTGTGTAGTATTGGGGGAACGTTACATGTGAAACTGAGATCGCTTCTGCTTATTTTAGGCTGCAGTAAATGAATCCATAATACTGCATTCTTTTTAAATTGGTCGTCGTTTGTGGGACATTGCTGTGTGGAATTTGACTGCCAAATTTACCTAAGAATGCACAGTCACTACATTTCCATTAACTACTGTGGAACGCACTCAGATGTTTCAACACGATAAGGTGCTATATCAATTGCAAGGATTATTATTATCAATTAAAGGTGGAAAATGTTGCTTTAAGAAGCAAAAGGCACACTTGGCTCCTGACTTTCTCACGTTATGTTTTAGACAGTTGCTGGCAGCAATTTGTCAGAGCCTATTTTTACCCAGACTGGCTACAAGGCAGTCATTGTGCATTCTCTAGTATAGGCAAATAAGATCTTTCAGCAATCTCATTTATTCTTTAACACCATTGTTCGGCAAATCAAACTTCTCATTATGAATTGTAGTTTCATTGCTGATTATGAGAAATCAACATTGTCAGGTGGTGTTTTCGTTTAGTGTGTGCTTATCCATCCGTGAGTTGAACCTGATCTTTAAATCCTTTATTATTTAATATTGAACAAGCTCTTTATATTTAGTTGGGTTGTACCTGTATGTACTGCTGTCAACCAATTATGAATTTGGGTTTCAGGTGTACCTAGTCGGTTACTACTTTGCATTTCGATACTGCCCTGGGGGTAAGCATGTTGAGTACAGAGAAGGCAGCAGGACACCACATGAGGGCACTGTGGAATTAATCAGTGTTGATTCACACAAAGGAGTTGGTAAGACTTTAGTTCCAGTGAACAACCTTTTTAGTGCCTATCTACCTAGTCTAGTAGTTGCAAAAGATTTCACTGTATTTGCGACACAGAGTACTTCTAGAGATCTTTACCAGTATTGTTCCAAGAAAACACTCCCAGTAGCTTCCCCTTCAATATAAAGAAGATGCATGTTCTCATTTGGCAAGCCTGGTTAGATCTGTTTAATATAATAATAATAATCATTGCATTTGATACAGCGCCTTATCACGTCTTCAAGACGTCTCAAAGCCCTTCATAGAATATACTGTAAAGTGAATTGACTGTATATTTTGTGGGTGAAACGCGGCAGCCAATTGCACACAGCAGTGTCCCACAAACAGTCGTGGATTGAGTGACCAAATTATTTTGATTTATTTTGAAGGAATTATTACCTCCAGAAAAGCAATCCACCAATCGACTTATCAAAATCAGCCGAGGTTGTAAAATTTTGGTTGTGCAGGAACGGGTACTAAATCAAAAATTAGAAATTGAAAATGTTGCTAAAAATACCCGTTTTGGCAGAACTTTGTCTTTTTCCTCTCCTTCCTGTCTTGTTCAAGCAAAAGGTTAAAGACACATCTTAGTATTTTATTGGAGATCCAGTGTTTAAGGCAATGTTACATGTAGGAACCAGGCTCAAAATCTGTACACTACAATAATATTCAGTAGAGAGTGTTCATGAAACATGATCTTCTGTATTTGTAAAGGGAAGGGAGGGTTAGGATTCATTTGCAGCACTTTAATGCACTGCCTGTTTTGCATTAAGGTGCAATAGTTCCCTGCATGGCCAATGAAGCCAATCCAGTTAGCAATTTTAACATAATCATTTGACACTGAAGTGGAAGCTGACTTCATACCCAACCACTCAAAAAACGAGACAGTAAAATAGTCACCAAAGCGCAACCACATTTTGCGATTGAGAAATTGTTCCAGGTTTTGACAGGCCCTCTGTGCCAGCCTTGGGAAACACTCCAGACTCGTATTAGGTACAATTAATACTTCATTTCATTTTTTAGGACCTTCTAGACGCAGCGATCTAGAAACCCTGGGTTACTGCGTGTTGAAGGCTTTGTGTCATTCTTTGCCGTGGTCTGAAAAGATTGATGACCCCAATTTTGTCATGGAAGAAAAACAAAGGTATGCTCTCTGTTTCTATCTTAGGTTTGATGGGAAACATCCAAATAGTCTGTTTTGTGTGGGTTTTTTTAACGTATTTTATGATTCAGTCACAGTTGTTTGCGCAAGAACCTCAATCGTATCGAATATCTTCCAACTGCAGTTATTAGACGTGAAAGGCACTGTACAAATGCAATATTGTATTTGGGAGAGGAACAGACAGTGTTTAGGAATGTGGCTCGGATAAGGTGCACAATGGAAATGCTGAAAGGGTTGTTCTATACTATTCGGAATTGTTCTTGATGGGAGTCAAGAAGCCTATATTCAAAGTCCATTGGAGTTTCTGGGCAGTGGTTGATGTTTTGGATACATGGAACTCAACATATGGTTTCAATTTAATGTTTCCATCGTGGGTCACTGATTACTGCAAAGTGCACAGGGGGAGAGAATGGTCTTTTCTCAGTCCGTTCTCATTCTACACAAAGCTCTTGCAATTGAATGATTGTAGCGGAGATTCCGTTGAATGAAATTATGTCATTTTCGATGTGAAATTGGGGTTGGAGGGTTCACTTAAGTTAAACAAAATAGTTGAAGCAGTTCTGAGGGAGTAATGAAAAGTTACTCTGGCTGCTGTTCCACAACCCTTTTAGCAACTGGTCACAGAGGGTCTGGGAGCAATAGTCTGGGAGAAATAGGGAGAAATTGTATTTCACAATGGAGAGGTGTAGGGGTGCTATAAGAAATAAGAGAATTGTTTTTCAGTGGAATTAAAAACCAACAAACAAATTACTTATATTTACATACCGCTCTTCAGGTTAGGATGACATCTCGAAGCGCTTCACACAGCTGACTGGTAGCCTAAGCTAGTGGGGGTGGGGAAGGGAAGGTGGCCAAAACACGGTCAAAGATAGGTCTTCATGTGAGCTTTAAAGACGGGGATGGAGAGGGTGAAGATGAAGGACTGATATACAGTACAGTCATTATAGGGGACCATATATAACATGGCACAGTGTGCGTCCACATTATACCAGAGGTGCTTCAAAGTGGCTATATATTATAATTATCTCAACGCTACATCAGTTTATGCTACAATTTCTGTTTGGGTATTATCATGTATGCATATATATATATTGTATACATTATACGAGTGCTTCTTAATTCTGTTCTAGATACAAAGCTGACATACCAAGTCTCCTCAAATATTGCTTTGGGAAAAGAAAAGTCCCAGGTAAATCTAGTTTATACTGTGAATTTTCGAGAAAGGTTTATTATTTAGTGCTGCGTTTTTTTTATCAAGTTTGCCATTTTTTGAAAACAAGCAAAAGTAACCAGAGTAAATGAAACCATCTCATTTTATAGATCGTCTCCAGTTGGAAAAGAAAAGTCTTTATACAGCACAAATACTCTATATGTAACAGTAATTATTTAAGTTTAGGTGCAAATATATTGCTTTCTTTAAAACTAGATGAAAATAAAATTTAAACCATAATGACCCTTAAAATAGCAGCAAAGTGGACAGGGTGATATAGAATGTAAATAACAGTCCTTGGCTTTATGCTCAAAGGAAGAGTCTAAAAATATGGAGGCAATGTTACATTTATAGAAAACCTTGGTTAGACCACATTTATAGTATTGTGTGCACTGTTTTACAAGAGATTGAAGCATTGTAGAGAGTGCAACATAGATTTACAAAGATCTTATACTTCACAGATTCAGTGAACTTTCTGGAACTCCTCTGTCAAAATTAACTTCTTATAAAGCCCTTCAATATTTTGTTTTCTGATATTCATTTAAAATAGGATCCTACAATGTGTCTCCCACCCCATTAATTGTGGGTTTCATACTTTAAAATCAATTTTCTTTTTACATTGGATATGGAGGAAATTTTCTCATGCGGACTTGTGAATAAGCTTTTGACAGGGAATAATATTTTCATCGATCAATTTAAGATGATTACCGAAGAAATAAAGAGGGAGGTTAGGAGGAATTATTTTGCAAAGAACATATTCGAATTCAAGATCCTCATCCTCACCTACAAGGCCATTCACGGCCTCGCTCCCTCCTACCTCTCCGACCTACTATCCCCCTACCTATCTGCCCGTACCCTCCGTTCCTCTGGCTCCGGTCTGCTCCACATCCCCCGCCCCAACCGCCCTACCATTGGTGGCCGGGCCTTCAGCCTCTCAGCCCCAAGGCTCTGGAACTCCATCCCCCAGTGCCTTCGCCTTGCCTCGCCTCCTTCAAGGCCGGTCTCAAGACCTTTCTCCTTGACCATGCCTTCAGCTCCCCTCTCGACTCTCTACCCCCTGCTCGCTCCCTGCCTTCCCTCCCCTCACCATTTCCCCCCCCTGCTCGGGTCCTGACCCAACTATACAGCGCCTTGGGACGTCCTCCCGACGTGAAAGGCACTCTATAAATGGAATCTTGTTGTTGTATTATTTATAATGGACTGAATGTTGAATTATAATTACTGTGCATTAAAATAAAGTTCTGTGCTTCTAAATATTAACGTTGTTTAAATTGCAGGTGAATTGAAGAACTACTTAGAAAAAGTCATGTCACTGGACTATGATGAGAAGCCAGATTATGAAGAGCTTCAAGACCTATTAAAGCGTGGTCTGCAGAGATTGAGGTCATCAGTTGATGATCCTGTGGACCTCTGGATAAACGCTGTAAGTAAAGACTTTGTGTGCAACTTTGGTGAGGATAGAATCGGACTTGACTGGTGCTTAGAGCAGTCATTGTCTAGTCACCATGCGAAAAATGGTCCTTGATTGAGGTACGCTGTAATGCACAGTCTGTCGACCTGATTCCCAGCCTGCCACCACCTTTCCTTAGTAAAGCAGTAATCTAGAAATGCTTCTATACCAACCAGCAGTGTCGAGCACTTTGAGATATCCTCCCAACTTGAAAGGCGCCATATAAATTATATGGTGTTTCTTTCTCTTTTTCCCCATCCTACATACATGCGTATGTAGTATGCAAGTGTTATGCATATCACAAACACGTGCATATTGTTGGGGGTAAAGAGTGTCTTTTTAGGGGGTTTATTTAAGATCAGTGCTACAGTTACAAATATTTTCTCTGTCACTGGAATGAACAGTCCTTTTATTAAGATTTGGCAAAAGCTGTTTGTTTGTTGATCAATGTAAAATTAACCCCCTATTTCCGCAACATTTATTGCTGGACTTGCAATGAGGACTCTTAGGTTTGAAAATGTTTTAGTTTCTGCCGGGCTGTTTGAACTCTCGGACATTTAGATAATCCATTCAAGACCACTTTTTCCAATTATTTATGCCTCTGTATTTTACAAGTTATAAACTCCTTCATTTATGTGTTTTGATATTAAAATGACGCAAATATCCAACATTGGCAAAAAGCCAATACCAGGAGACGACTATTTTACTGCCCTGAATAGGGGCACAAATTTAAATTTTTCCAGTCACAACTGGCTGCTCCATTTTTAAACACTTTTATGACCTTGTACAAAGCCTGCAATTAGTACAGAACCGTGGAGCAAGGCGCATGTTTATCTATGTGCACTAATGTAGCCAGCGTTCGTATCAGTAATAATTTGTCCATTTTGTTGTCCACAGATCTGAAAAATTGGTAACCAACTGTGAAACCAGCACATCATGTTGAGATGAACATTAAAACACATGCTGTAAAGATGCACTGTACTTTTTAAATCCTGATTGCTTTCTTTTATAGCCTTCAGTACTTTGCAACAGTTTCAGTGTTATTCATTCGCCCAAGGATTTTTTTGTAAAAGAATGGGCATTTGTATGAATTGATATTTTGGTCATTTCGTACATTTGGTGTTTTTACATGAAAAGTATTTTTTATTATTGGAGGCTTCTCTGTTAGTTTCTAACCTGCTGTATTTTGGCATAACTTGAGTCTTGTGCTAATTGATCTAATGGAATCAAATGGTCATCTATAACTGAGACATTTATCAGTAAATAAACTTTAGAAATAATTAGCAAAGTACGTGGTTTGTTGTAGAAACTGTAAATTTGCTTCCACAGCAGTTTTGTGCTCGTGACCTTTCTACTATCAGTAGTGCTTTGCATAGTGTCATTGTGTAACTCTTTTCTTAAACATAATACTATTGTGCCACTGCATTCCTTTGGATGTATCTACACTACGTTCGAACACATTCCAGTAATTTTTCTGTGATCTGGTGTGTATTCTTGTGCCTTCAACGTTAGTACCAAGAGAGCTGCGGTATCCTAGTTGTACTGTACTGTAGCCACCAATGTTTCCATTGATTAAATAATTTGGGATATCTGCACGCATTTGAACACAAGCTATTAGCCCAACCAATATTTGGGGCTTTTTATTTTTAGGTCAGTCGGGGTCTTGGCACACGTGGAAATGCTTCAGAGTATCCAAACCAGATCAAGTTTCACATACGCAGGGTTAACAGGAGCCAAGTGGGAAGATCTGTGCTCTCGTGACAGGCTGCCTAGTCTGTCTTTAACAGGATCCTGAGATTACTTGCACTACTGTCTGATTTTCGACTCCATTACTGCCATCCCATATGTTACACTGTGTGGCACCTACCCACAATCACCATCTTTGGGTGACTCCTGCTGTAAATTAATTCAATCCTGGAGCATATCAATGTTATCTGGGCACTGTGGCTACATGCTCTGAAAAGAATCTGGGGCTTGAGCATAATGGTGCCATCGCTAAAGTTTGGTTTGCGTCCTGAGAATGTGTGAACTTCACGGGAGGGGGAAGTTTCTTATATTCATAGAATTAATGAGTCGCGGGAATCTCCTTTACTGTAACTGCCCTGTTGTCTTCACCATTCCTTATATTTCATATAATGAATATTTCATCCACAAAAATATTCAGTTTCGAGTATATTCTGTGAAGTGCTCTCAATCAGGTGATTAGGCGCAATACCAAAGGTAAGGATTATTATTAATCTGTAAATGCCAAAAACAAGTGCATCTAGTGTTCAGGATTGTGAATGAAGCATCCAATAATTTTGTAGGAAAACTCTTCATCATTTGTGACTCACGATTAATGGTACCTAGTAGCCTACAGAGATTGTGGCACAGAAAGTATAGTATTGAGTGTGAAAGCCCAAAAGGGAGGAATCCTCTGCAATTTCTACTAATGTATTGTCAGTTTGAGCTATTAAACAGTACATGTGAAGTAATTGAAGAATAATAATGCTGCAAGAGAAATAATAATAATAATAATAATCCTTGCATTTAATATAGCGCTTTTCACGTCTTCTAGACGTCTCAAAGCGCTTCACAGAATATACTGTAAAGTGAATTGACTACTTGTTTGTGGGTGAAACGCGACATCCAATTGCGCACATCAGTGTCCCACAAACAGTCGTGGATTGAAGTGATCAATTTATTATTGTTTATTCTTGAGGGATTATTATCAGGTGTGTGGAGTAAGGAAACTTGCCCAAGCTTTCGCCCTGCCTGGAATTGAACCCAGGTCTTTCGCATGTGAGGCGAGTGCTCTAACCACTAAGCTACAGGACTCCAGTAATCTAGCTTTTCCCAGCCGCGACACTCTTATCACCAACCTTGATGAGTGGGTGTAAAAAGACAGAATGTTCCTGAATTGGTGCCTGATAGCGGAGGGAAAATAACATTCGCTTTGATTCCCACAGAAAAAGTCAACGTTATAGCAAAGGTGATTTGCGAGTGAAGAATTTCTAGCTATCAGAATTTCTTACAGATTTGTGATCACAGGAACCATTGCTGTGATCAGTGTACCAGAAAATCTCAAGCAAATTGCTTTTCCTCTATTGGCCACCCTTGCTATCATTAGATATGAATTGTTCCAAGTGTGACCGTGTAGAGAAACATACATGAAAGTGCTAGCAATCAAGCTTATCAAATTGTTTGAAAGAGGATTTTTGGTCTAAAGTAGCACAGATACAGTTTTATATACCCGCATCTTTCTCAGCTTCATAGAACTGCGGGCTAACATTAATAGACAGTGACCTTTCAGATCAACCACACTTAACATCTCGCTCTAGCTGCAGTTCAAATTACCCAAATGCAATCTTGTGTGACGGGTTCGTACTCCAAAGGATTAAAAACCCTCCCGAGAATGTTTTTTTTTCCACGTAAAACTGATGAGAGAAGATGAATTTATTATGACGGGAAGCTAAATCATTCAAGAAAATGTATCACGAATTGGAAGAAAATACTCTTAGGTTTGGATAAACGAGCAAGGGTGGCGGAAACGCTAAGCTTTCATATTTTATGTTTAATAATCTGACACTTATCCAAAGAGTTTGTCACAATGTTGCTGTAACCCAGAGGGTTAAATTGTTTGTGTGTTTGTTGACAAGAAGTTAATTACCTTCACAAGCAAGGAGGAATGTTTACATATGTGGAGTCCTGTAGCTCAGTGGTTAGAGCGCTCGCCTCACAAGCGAGAGACCTGGGTTCGGGTTTCCTTATTCCACACGCTCTGTTTATCTAACAGTAAGTAGGAACCCGGTTGTTAGTCGATTGGCAGATCGCTTTTCCAGGAATAATAATCTCTTAAAAAAAACATAATTGGTCACCCACGATTGTTTGTGGGACACTTCTGTGTGCAATTGGCTGCCGCGTTTCGCCCACAAATATACAGTCACTTTACCGTATATTCTGTGAAGCGTTTGAGACGTCTAAAAGCTGGACTATGGGAACTCTCTCCTCGCCGGCCTTCCCGGCACCTCCCTCCACAAGCTGCAGGTCATTCAGAACTCTGCAGCTCGTGTACTGTCCCGCACCAGACACCGCGACCACATCACTCCCACCCTCGCTCGCCTCCACTGGCTCCCCATCCCCCAGAGGATCGAATTCAAGATCCTCATCCGTGAATGGCCTTGCTCTCTCCTACCTCTCCGACCTACTATCCCCCTACCTACCTGCCCGTACTCTCCGTTCCTCTGACTCCGGTCTGCTCCACATCCCCCGCCCCAACCACCCTACCATCGGTGGCCGGGCCTTCAGCCTCTCAGCCCCGAGGCTCTGGAACTCTATCCCCGAGTGCCTTCACCGCTTCCTCCCTTTCCTCCTTCAAGGCCGGTCTCAAGACCTTTCTCTTTGACCGGCCTTCAGCTCCCCTCTCGACTCTCTACCCACTCCTCGCTCCCTCCCTTCCCTCCCCTCACCCTGACCATTTCCCCCCTGCTCAGTCCTGACCCAACTGTACAGCGCCTTGGGACGTCCTCCCGACATGAAAGGCGCTCTATAAATGGAATCTTGTTGTTGTTGTTGTCTAGAAGATGTGAAAAGTGCTATATCAAATGCAAAGATTATAGAAAAGTACAAATATCAAGAAAAGTTAAGTTTTGTGGTTACATTGCCTTTGTTATAAAGACTATGGGGCTTTGGCTTGTAACTTCCTTTGGTTATGAAATTGCATGTAATGCATGTAGCTCATTAGATCCTAAATACTTGGTTCTAAATTGCCACTTTTCGATGAGAATCTAATTAAATGCAAGTATCATAAAACATATTTAATGTGCAGGTTTTTCCTTTCGTATAAACGTCGAGTTTTTGGAGCACTTTGGTTTTACTTTTAACAGAAATAAATCTCCATCCAGCTCTAGACTAAAGCTGTGATGGAAAAACAGCTCAGATCAACTGGTTTTCTCTGCTCCATGTAGAGAAATCCCTAATCTCCACTCAGCATCTACTGTAACCTTGAGAATCTGGAGTCAGTGCCAGTCGTGTTCAACCATTCACTAGCACACAAAAAATTGTTCACTCAATCCACAACTGTTTGCAAGACACTGCTGTGCCCAATTGGCTGCCGCATTTCGCCCACAAAATACACAGTCGATTCACGTTACAGTATATTCTGTGAAGCACTTTGAGATGTTTCGAAGACTTGATAAGGCACTGTATCAAATGCAAGGATTAATACTATTAGTGGAGTCACTGAACACACAGCAGATTTTGATTGTCGTCACTTTTCGATCGAGGAGACAATTGGTAATTGGGTAAAAATGCATCACATTTCACAATGTTTATGTGAAAACGATATAAGCTATGGAATAGAAAGGGTAGGTCACCGAGGAAGCCACTGTTGAAGCCGATTAATCTTTATAGGTCAATCCTCTTACCCCTTGACCTTGTGTCACATAAACTCAGTGACCTTTCTGAATCATTCAATTCCAAAGATTTGGATAGTATATCAAGATAAATGTTGAATGAGATAAGACCTGCACAGCAGAACAGGGCAATAGTGTTTTAATCCTACTTTAGGGTCATGAAAGTTGATATGGTAAAGGGCAAAGCCATTTAAAGTCTTTACAATTGGTTACTTAATATCTTAAACTGGTTTAAATTATGACTGGTTTGTTTGTCACAATACAATAAGTAGAGTTAAATTTATTCAAGTGATATTCTTGTTGATGTACCACTTTTCCAACCAGAAATTACTTAATTAATAATCTTTGCATTTGATATAGAGCCTTATCACGTCTTTGAGATGTCTCAAAGTGCTTCACAGAATTTAAGTCTTCACAGATTTAACTGGAATACCAGAGCTCAAATCGATTTAGTTCTTATCTGATCCACCGTGTATTGTAATATGTTAGAAATATTCCTGTAAATGTTTCACTGTGCATCAGTCCAATTAGTCATAACATAAAATTAGTCACTCGCTCCATGGCTGTTTGTGGAACATTGCTACGTGCAATAGTTTCACTCACAAAATACAGTTAATCTGCTTTACAGAATTTCCTGTGAAGCGCTTTGAGACTACATGATAAAGCTCTATGTAAAATGCAACAATTATTATTAACATATTATTGTAGGAGTCTCCAAACAATCTTATCATCCAACTCTTTAAACACAATGAACATCATCCGAAATTAGCTGGAAACTTACATTTCCTCTTTATCTTAAGAATTTCCTACAACGTACTAAGTCATGGAGGCTGCAATTCTCCCTCTGGTGTGGATTTATTATTTTAAATGTTTTGGATACAAGAAAAGGCAGTGCCCGCAAATGGAAATAGTCAAAGAGACCACAAGTCACTGTCCAATTTTCTATAACATTATTGCTGTGGCTCAAGCCAAGACATCATTGTGTTTATATGTCACTATGTCATTGTGTTTATATAAGTAACTTACATGTTAGTTGTTCAGAGATGAGCTCATCTGAAGACTAGAATGTGGTGATGCACTTTCCACTAAGTGTATGATCCCACCCTGCATTGAACACTCACAGACTTCTTTTGGTAAGTCTGATGCCTGACACATGCGGAAACCTGTCACGATATGCTTACTATATAGTTTCCAAACCAAAT